TCAGGGCAGGCGCCGCTTTTGTTTTAAACGCACCAGTAAAACGCTTCTGCCCGCTCAACAGCGGTGCCCTGACGTCTGAATCTTTAGGTTTTCTGTTTCCAGCAGGTGTGACGAGCAGCAGTGCTTTTTAGGGACGGAAGATGGCGCCAGAGACCACGTTACGCAGGGAAGCAGCGCTTTAGACACTTGATCTGCGTTCTCGGTCCCGAGTTGCGCTCTGCGGCCGGCGGGCGGGGCGCGCGCCGACCAGGGAGCAGAACCCGGAACCCAAAGGCTCCTGATGGGTCGCCGGTCTTCCTCAAAGCCCTCGTGACTGAGGCTGAATTCTAACATAAGGACCCTGCGGGCCCCTCCCGGGGCACGCGGGCACCTTTGCTGGGTCTTGATCGCGTTTCCGGGACCGGAGAGAAGAAAATTAATATTTGCGCATGAATGTTTATTTTCTGTCTTATTGCCTTGCCCTCCCACGTCCTACGTCCTCCTGGGACTCGCTCCCCTCTTCCCAGACCGTTGTGGCTGACATGATCATTGAGAGCTCCGCTTCCCTTTCCTGTTGCCCGGGCGCTATTTCTGGCCTTCAAGTTGCAGTACTTTACGAACTGAAAAGAATGATCTGAAACCCAAATGCAGCGGGGCCCGTGCAGGGTCTGCGCTTTCCCCTCCCACTCCGCGTCGCTGCACAGAAACACCGAAAATTTAGGGCAGAGGTGAGGTATTACTAAAAAAAGTTCTGAGCCCTGGATCGTGTGGCCCAGTGGAGTGAGCACCGGCCTGCGAACCCAAGGGTCGGCGGTTTGATTCCCGGTCAGGGCACAGGCCCGGGTTGTGCGCCAGGTCCCCAGCAGGGGGCGCGCGAGAGGCAACCACACCTGGATGTGTCGCTCCCTCTCTTTCTCCCTCCCTTCCCCTCTCTCTAAAAATAAATAAAATTTAAAAATAAAAAAATAAATCCTGAGACCATGACAGAGGGGGTGATACTGTAACCAGTCACTGCACCAGTCACTGCCCTTCACCGGATTAAACTGGCTCCTTCCGACGAGGATGAACCGCCAGTCGGGCGCAGCTGCTCCGCCGTCCGTCCCAGCTTTTCTGGCTTCACCCTCCTTTGGCAAAACAGAACCCAGTGGCTTTGTTATGGGGGAGGGCGGGGCCCGGGCAGGTCTGCCGCCGCGCAGCCTGGAAATAGGGCTCTTCGTGGTGTCGCAGGAAAAGTTTCGGGGGCACGCGCGGAGGAGGGTTTTAGGCAGTAGTGGCAAGAGTTACGAGAGCGGACGGTGGCAGCTGCCCCTCGGAGGGGCAGCTGCGTGGATGCAGGAAAGGAAGTCACAGAGGCAAAAGGACAGCCCTCCGCCACTTGCTGCTGCCCGGGTGCGAGTCTCATGGGGACCCTTCGAGTTTAGGGGGAAAGAAGCCAAAAATGCAGGCACGGCTGTGCCCCAAGGCCGGCGTGCGCGGGTGCGCGGGTGCGCGGTGGAGCCGCCACGCAGGGCCCTGGGGCGGGGCGGACAAGGCTCCCTTTCCGGCTGCCCCGCCTCTGCCCCGCCTTCCCCAGGGCTCGAGGCCAGTCCCCTCCCCCTTCACCAGCGCCCTTTGGGCTTCTGATCCTGTGAAAGGAATTTCCCTTCTTCCCTTTCCCTCTCCTCCTCCCTCCTCAGCCCACTCCCCTCCCCGTACGGGAGGCGGTCGGTCCCTGCGGTGACTGAGGGCACCATTCCTGCCGGTTCCGCTGCCTGGAGTGAAACTGTCCCTTCCCGGTGAGTCGGGCGTAACCAGATGTAACAGTTTCCGGGGCTCCCGGCTTCCCCAGGGAGGCCCTTCTCTTCCAGGAGGACGCGTCACCCACAAGCCCTGCTTGCAGCTAAGAGACCCTCTGATCTGTAAGGCTTCCCTGCGTCAGCGAGAAGAATTGAGTTTCTGGGAGTTTCTCCAGTGCCACCTGAAAATGTGCATTTGATTCTCCCTCCTGTCACCTCCGCGCACAACGCTACCTGGACACCAGCCGTCACCCTCTTTGGTCTCCCAGGCGAGGGGGGTCAGGGCACCCGGGCATCTCCCACCAGCGTTTCCTGCCGCGGGGCGCCCGCCGCCCCCTCAGCGGACCCTCCCTTTCCCTCACCTGTGACCTCCCGTCCAGGGAGCAGCTGAAACAAGGCCTTTCCACCACCTCCTTGGCCAGCGCTGGCCTCCGGCCTGAGCCCCGTGGCCCTGCGGCCTCAAAGTTTCCCTTTCGTTGACTGAGCAGTAAAAAATAAATAAATGACTCCCCCAAGTTCACCCAATGGACCCCTGCTGGGACCGGGGTCAAGCTCACAACGGGGGGGGGGGGGGCAAGGGTAGGGGGCTGGGTGGGCGTCTCAGGACCCCGCTGGCTACCACACAGAGATCGATGGAAGCCTGTCGGCCTAGGAACAAGTCCCATCAGAGTTTATTTGAGTAAAACCGACGACACCTGCCGGGAAGCACCCTTTCAACAGATTGAGGAAACACCCTGGAGGGCGTCAGCATGGCAGCTCCTTTTATACGTTAGGACCAAAGGAGAGGACAGGAGGGGGAACGACTGGAAACCCGCTTAGGCGGCGGCCTGGCGGGCGGGAGGAAGCAAAGCCGGGACTTCGCCGGGTGGATGAAACGCGAAGCGAGGACCCGCGCCTGCACAGCGGGAGCTCGGCGGGGCCGACACTCCCAGGACACGGAGGCGGCGGGTGGCTGGCCGAGGACAAGTGGCCCGGTGCTGCTCTGGCGCCGGCCCCTGCCGCCCAGGGGTCTGGGAAAGGATTGCCGGCGTTTTCAAGGCATGTTATTTAGACTCACAGAGACAACAGGCGATTTCTAAGGCAGAGGCCGACCTTTGTCAAGGAAGTCACAGGCCCAGGACACGCCTGCCCACCAGCCCGCCCTCGGGTGCTCGTGGTCTCGGAGTTGGGGGGACCTGGCACGCGGGCCCGCCCCCAGCCCGCCGGGGGCGGCGTGTGGCCGCTCTCTCTTCCAGCACTGACTCTGCAAACGTCACTCCAACTCCTCCCGGTCCCAGGTTTTGTTACTATGCTAGCCTGTCACTCTTTGCCTTTTAAAGGACGTTCATTCTTTCTTGTCCTTTTATGACGTGAACGTGCTGTCCCCCCCCTTCCTGTCCTACCTAGGCTCTCAGCGCTCGGTCCCACGGGAGCCCGGCACTGGCGGTAAACGCCTGGCTCCAGGTAACCCCCGCCCACCGGGGGCCTCGCATCTTGGCTTCTTTCTCTGGTCAACCAGGTGGCCCGTGGAACGCTCACCTCACAGGATCCCCAGATGTAAAACCCGTCCCCAGGGACGCTGTGAGCGCTCCCGAAAGCCTCCTCTTCCCTTTTATAGAACCCCCCAGGGGCCTGCTACGCGCAGGACGGCAGAGACTCATCCGGAAGATGAGCAGGAGGCCTCCTCCGCGGGGACCCCGGGGCTCACGGGCAGCAGCATCCCTGCGGAAAGCGGGCCCTCGCGAGCGGTCCGTGCGGAGAAACCGAGCCATGTGCCGCAAAATCGCGCAGGTGGGCGAGGACAGAAAAAGAACCAGCGACGCCTTCCAGCAACTGGCACCAGGCTAACTGTGGGCTGCAGTCCGTCTGGGAGTAGTTAACGATATAAGTCGTCTGTCTCGAGTGTGGGGTGTAAAACAGCTTCCCATCCACCTGTCTTTAAAGTGAGCCATCAGCGGTGTATCCTGAATCCCAAGTACCTTTGGACAACGATGTCCTATGTAGTAGCTCTAGCACATACGAAAAATTAAGAAGCCCAGGCATTTAATAAAACACTTATAAAATGTCATATCCATAAAGTTTATTTTAAAAAACTGTTAAAAACTAACCATACAGGAATATTTATTAATATACTTAAAAAGTTTGTTCCCCGTGTTGAAGGAAAATACATTAGCAACATCTTCCAAACACCATCTTTATAAAATTAAAACCTCTAGATGTTGAAATGTACTACAGTAGATTCTATAGTCTCCTCTCTCACTCACAGGATCGGAAATCACTCTCCCTACGACCCCGCCTCCCCAGCGTGGCAGTCACCGCCCGGACGTTGACGACACGCAACGGCGTTCCGCTGCCACAGACCCTTAGAGCGCACACGGCACACCTGCCAGTAGAGAGTCCTCTCTGTTCATGGGCAAATAATGACTTCAGATAAGCAATTGACTTTAAGGACAAAGAGAAATACTACATCCCGTGACTGTAAACATTCACCAAGAGCTTCCAGGGCGGAACGAGGGGCGCGTGGCCGCGAGCCGCGCGGGCGCTTCTCCCTCGTCCCGCTATTGCTGAGATCAGGTAGGATCTGAAGGCGAACTGCCGCGAGCCTCGCGCGCACTCCCGTTAGGGACGTAGGTCTGGGTGTGTATCGTAGTCAGTGAGTGTATAGTCTAACGACTATACCAAGCACCATTTTCACGTACTTAAAGACAGAGTTAAGCTCAGCGGTATGTAGATGATCATCAAGGTCAGAAATGAAAAGTAACTGTGGGTCTCCAGTCCCCTCCCGTGGGCACGCGCGGGGCACGCGGGCGCCGGGGGAAGTCGCTCACGCCCACCGAGGGCGGCGGCTGCCCCAGGGCCGCGTGCCCCGCGAGTCTGAGGCACAACTATTACGTTTGTCCGTAGATGCTCACGAGCAGATTTAAGGCTGTGTTCGGCTCTAAAGAGTTCAACCTCCTCTTTAGTTCTCTCTACACCCGTCCCATCCACACAACTCAGAAGTCCATGGGGGGAGGTGAAAGGTCCCCGAACACTTTTTAAATATTCTTCTCCATAAAATTCATTGCCAGCATATTTACATAGGGGAGTGTTCATAATTAAAACCATTTTTTAAAATGCAATCATACTTTAAAACTCTTATTTATCCCATTTCCCCAGGATTATCCTCATCCTTATTCTCTGATTTTTGGCCAGCTGTACACTCGTCGGATTGTTCCCTGCGGTCGTAGGCGGCTCGGGCGTCTCTGCGAAGGCGAGTGCAAGTCCCGTTCACTGCCACCCGCTCTGGGACAGGCCCGGCTGCAAGGAGAAGGGCGTTCCCGGCGTGGACGGGTAGCTGGGGAACCCGTCCGGCGGAGCTGGGTAGCCGTCCAGCGCGGAGGCCGCGTGCGCCTGCGGGGAGAGGAGGGGGCAGGTGAGCGGGGCGGTGGGCGGGGCTGTGGGGGGCGTCCCGCCAGGTCGGCCTGTGCGGCCTCAGGGGCCGCGAAGGGAGAGAGGCCGGGCGAGATCGGGCTGCGAGGTCCCCTAAAATTTACAAGAAACATTCAACTTCTTCCGAGGGTGGAGGTGCCCAGAAATGCCATTATAATGTTTCATATTCTTTAAAAATTAAAAAAAAAAGGTTTTCTTAAAGTTTAGCTTGACATGTGGAACACAAGACAACATGTAACTGTCTCGTGTGAGATGCCGTTTGTAACCTCTCAACACTGAGACTTGAAAGCGGGAGGAGCGGTCCGCACAGACGCAGATATTCTAGCGCCTTTGTCAGCAGGCGCTGGGACAAGACACGAACGTTTTGCAGGTTTGGGGAGAATGAGTCACCGCGCCTACAGACGTCCCGCCAAGAGTCACTCGTGCCAGTGCGGGGACCTCGCCCGTGACGCTGGCAGGTGCCGGGAGGGCGCGGCCCACCGGCCGGGCCGCACGCGCCGCCCCCGCCGCGCCGCCGCCCCCGCCTCACCTGCTGCCGCTGCGCGGCGCCGCCGAGCTGCAGGTCCTGCAGGGGGGGCTGCGAGGGGGTCTGGGCAAACCCGGGGACGCCGGGCAGGGACAGGAGGCCTGGAAACACAGAGCTGCCCGCAGCCTGAAGGCCCGACGACAAGCTGAAACGACAGGGGCAGGTCAGGGCGTCAACAGGACGGAAAAGCTGTTCCCGTGCTTGTCAAGTTCTGCCTTAACGCGCGGAAAACGTCTTAGAGCCTCTGTCCAAGGAACCATGAAAGGCAGCCACTTACACAGAATTACTTTGTTATAAAGTATATTATTCTGAATTCCATTAGGTCTACATTTTGCACTGACATACTGAACACTTGTGTTTTATAATGAAGGTGCAGCACCAAACACAAACCCTAAGGCCATCCGAGCAGGCGTTCATGTTTTACACAGTCGCCTTGACGGGACTGAAGGCCAGCGGGCGCTTTATTTTAGGCCCTCAAGTTCCAGCCAGAGAAGCGCCGTTTAGCGGCGCCAAACGGCGCCCTTCCTGTGACGCAAGAGCGAGCCCGCGCAGCACAAGTTAGTAGAGAACGAGAGTCCCGCCCCCAGACGCGCACGTACCCGGCTTGTGCAACAAGAGCAGAGTTGAAATTGGAGCTAAAGGCCGAGGCGAAGCCCGGGAGGACGGGCGCAGGTGCCGGCGCGGTGGCGGCCACAGGTAGTGGGGCGACGGCGGCGACCGAGGAGGGTGCCTGCAGCCCCGCCAGCGAGGGGAGGGCGGGGGCCGCGCCGGCGACGGAGAAGCCGGGGTAGGGGGCGTTGGCGGAGGAGAGCGGCCCCTGGGCCACCGAGAAGAGCGAGGGGACCGCGGCGGACAGGGTCAGGGGGAAGGGCGCAGCCGAGACGGGCGCGGCGCCGGGGAGCCCTGAGAGCGCGGCTGCCGTGGAGCTGGGGTGCGGGGTCGCCGCGGAGGCAGCAGCCGCGGACGAGGTGACCAGCAGCGTCCCTGGGAGAGACACCGAGGGGCTGAGAGCCGGGGTCCCCGTCAGCGGGAAGCTGCCGGCCAGGGAGGTGAAGGGCGGGAGGGCGGTGAACACGGGCGCCAGCGCGGCCGAGGCCAGGGCGTGCGGGCCGTTGGCGGGCGCGCTCAGGCCGGACAGCCCGGACAAGGCGGGAGTAAGGCACGCGGGCAGCCCGACAGGCACGGACGTCGGCGGGTACGTGGGCCCCAGCGCGCCGGGCAGGCCTAAAGTGCCGTGGGCGGCGGCCACCGGGTGCGACGGGCCTTTGAAGGCGGAGGGCGTGGGGCTCGTGGGTTCGGTCTTAATGGTCACGGGGCAGGCGGTGGCCACCGGGCTCGGCGGGACCGGCTCGGCTGGGGCGCCGTGCGTGGGCGGGGCCGCGGGGCCGCCGCTCACAGGCCCTGAACTGGAAGCCGGGGCCGGGGCTGCCAGCGGGGGCGGGACGGGCGGCGCCGGCGGAGAGGCTGCGGAGGTGGCCACGGGCGAGGGCAGGCCCGGGAACAGGGCCAGGCCCGCGGCGGCGGGGCCTTGGCGGGCAGGCGGGGCCGAGGGCGCGTAGCACTTGCCGGCGGCCAGCGCCGGGGCGTCTGCGCTGTGGCTGGGGAGCGAGGGCAGCGTGGCTGGCCCGGTCGGGACGGCGGAGGGCAGCGAGGGAGGGCTGGTCAAGCCACTGTCGCCGGAAGTCAGGAAGCCTTTCAAAGCCGACAGGAGGGGGCTGCTGACCCCGAGGGGACAGGCCGCGCTGGGGGCGGCCCCGCCGGCGATTGCGGAGGGGGCAGGCTGGGACGCACCGTGGGAGGCGGGGGTCAGGGGCAAGGGCAGGCCCGCGAACACCGAGGACAAGGAGGCGGGCCCGGGGTGGCTGGTGGAGGTGGCCGTGCAGGGCGCGGGGAAGGGGAGGCCCACGAAAGGGGCGGCTGCGGAGGCGAACGCCTCGCTGGGAGCGGGGGCAGCCCGGGGCGCGGGGGCAGCGGCTGCACAAGGACCCGGCAGGGGAACGAGGCCCGGAAAAACGGAGGGGACCGGAGCAGGAGCGGGCGTTGCGCTGTGGACGGAGGCGGCCGGGGTGGCCAGCAGCGAAGGCGTTCGGACGACAGCTGGGTTTGGCTGCAGCGCGGGAGCGGCAGCAGAGACCTGACCCGGGAACACCGGGAGGACAGTGCCCAGCAGGCCCGGCCCCGGCCCCGTCGCGGCAGCAGGCGTGGACGGGTGACCGGCCGTCTTGACCGGGGACGCAGCGGGAGCAGGAGCGGCAGCGGCTGTCGCAGGGTTGGACCCGTGAGGAACGAAGAGCTGACTCGCTGGGGCAGAAAAAGCTGCAGGGGAGAAAGGCAAAAACGTATCACCATGCTGAGATGCCCAATTTTAAATCAAAAGAAACACACGACACTCTTTGTAATAGTTCACGAGTGTGGAAGACAATCAGTGACCAGTGTGGCAGCTCTTCCCGTGGATGAGTGACGGGCTCCACGGCCTGACTCCCACTGTGAGGCCCCAGCAGGTCCAGCGACACCCAGACGCGGCTCCGCAGGGCGCACCCAGCCACTGCAAGGAGGCCTCGCCAGGTCAGCAGAGACTGTCCCTTCATGGGGCCCAACTTTTAAAACGTTAAAGAATCTATTTTAATTGCAACTGATGTGGGTGCTATGGCTCTTCCTTTAGTTCTTTCAAGCCACTTACCTGGAGAAATAAGACAAGCCACATCCCCTGCTATGAGCCTGCACGACATCCGCTCTGGGGCCCTCTGGCCTCTGATGGGGAGCCCCCCAGGGAGCGGCCCCGACTGGCTCCGGTTTCCGACTTGTGGGCTGGCTCCCTCCCAGCCTCTCCTGACTCCAACTCCTCTCTAACTCCGGGGAGCTTGTCCTCAGAGCCCGCGCGGGCACAAGAGCCACGTCCGCAGCACCCACAGCCTCCACACCCCGCCCAGCGCCCGCACCTCCAGTGCGGTCCCCTTAACCCAGCCCCCGGGCCCACGTGAGGGCCCCATGCGAGAAAAGAAACACGGCGAAGAACGGACACAGTTGTGTGTAAACACATCAGCTTTCATTTCACTCCCAAAAAGGCCCACTTCAGACCCAAAGGTACAAACTAAAGCTGAAAGGGAGGGGACAGAGGCACACACCAGTGCCTGCGACCAACCCCGGCTGAAGTGATGGTACTTAGAAGACAAAGGAGGGCGTTAGAAGACAAAGGAGGGCGTTTCAGAACGGTAAAGGGATCAAGCCAACAAGGAAAGGCGGCCCTTGGACACGTGAGCATATCCACCCTGAAGCACCTAAGTGGACACATCAAATACGGGCAGACATGGGGCAGGCGACAGGACTGTGAGGCTGGCGGGTGCGCGCGCCCCTGGACCTCGCTGGGCGGGCCACTAGGCAGAGCGCCAGCGAGGAAACACCAGCCTCGGGATGCTGAGAGCAGATGCGTCCAGTGGGAACCGCACCTCTCACCCCGGAGCGGCAGGCGGCACATTCCTTCCAAATGCACATAGAACATAGTCCACGACAGGCCACATTAGGCCACAAAACATGTCACAGTGAATTTAAGACTGAAATTTTTTCAAGCATCTAGAAACGAGAAATCAACTACGAGAAGAAAACAGGAAGGACAAGCACATGGAGGCCACTTAATATGCTAATAAACAGCGAATGGGTTAACGGTTACATCGAGGAGGAAATCACACACACAAAAATAAAAGCACCAGGACCCAAAATCTGTAAGACACAGCAAAAATAGTTCCAAGAGAAGAAATTTATAACAATAGAGGCCTACCTCAAGAAACGAAAAAAAATCACCAAGAGAACCCAACCATTACTGTTTGCCTTATGCAAAAATCTTCTACAAAATATTAGCACACCAAATCCAGCAATACGTTAAACGTATCATAACCATGATCACCTGGGATTTATTACTGGTATGCAAGGTTGGAAATAAAATGAAGTATAAAAGTCATATGATCATATCAATCATTCTACAAAAATCATCCATTTATGATATGATAAAAACTCTCAGCAAACTGGAAATAGAGGGAACATACCTCAACATAATAAAGACCATATATGACAAACCCACAGCTAATATCATACTCAAAGGCTAAAAGTGTTTTCCTCAAGATCAGGAACAAGACAGGGATGTCCACTTTCACCACTTTCAGTCAACATAGTATTGGAAGTTCTAGACACAGCAATTAGACAAGAAAAATATATAAAAGGCATCCAGATTGGAAAGGAGGAAGTAAAACTCATTATTTGCAGATGACAAAATACTGTACAGAAATAAACCTAAAAGATTCCACCAAAATAACATTATTAAATCAATAAAGGGGGAGACAAAATGAACATTCAGAAATTGGTTGCACAAACTATCAGAGAAATTAGGGAAACATCACATTTATAATTGTATCAAAAAGAATAAAATACCTAGTAATAAATTTAACCAAGATAAAAGACCTATACGCAGAAAACTACAAGTCATTGATGAAAGATAGAGAAGATAAAAATAAACAGCACCATATGGATAGGAAGAACCAACATATCTAAAATGTCCATATTACCCAAAGCAGTTTACAGAGACCATGCAAACCCTATCAAAATACCAATGGTATTTTTCACAGAATTAGAACAAATAATTCTATATGAAAGAATCAAAAGACTCAGAATAGCCAAAGCAATCTTGAGAGAAGAGAATAAAGTTGGAGGTCTCATGCTACCTGATACCAAACTATACTACGAGGCTATAATAATCAAAACTGCATGGTACTGGCACAAAAACTAAAATATAGCTCAATGAATCAGAATACAGAACCCAGAAATACACCTATACCTATACGGTCAATTAATTTATGACAAAGGAGGCAAGAATATACAACAGGGTACAGACATTCTCTTTAATAAATGGTGTTGGGAAAAGCAGACAAGCACATGCAAAGAATAAACTAGATCCTTTCTTACACCATATACAAAAATAAACTCAAAATGGATTAAAGACTTAAATATAACACCCAAACCCATAAAACTTCTAGAAAGAAACTTGCACAGTGCATTCTTTGACATTGCTCTTAGAAACATTTTTGGATATGTCTGCTTAAGCAAGAGAAAAGAAAAAAATAAAACAAATGAGACTACATCAAACTAAAACGTTTTTACAGAGGAAACCATCAACAAAGTGAAAAGACAACCTACTAAGTGGAAGAACATTCACCAATATACATCCAATAAGTGGTGAATATCCAAAATGTATAAGGAACTTATAGAACTTAGCACTAAAAAAAACCAACAACCTGGTTAAAAAATGGGCAGAAGACACAATATAACGTACAGATGATGTATTACAGAACTGCACGCCTGAAACCTATGTAATTTATTAACAATGTCATCCCAAAAAGAAAACAAAAATGGGCAGAGGACCCAAGTAGATATTTCTCAAAAAAACATTCAAGAAAAGATGCTCAAGGTCACTAATTATCAAAGAAATGCATCTACCATGACCCAGCAATTCCATTTCCGGGTACTTATCTGAAGAAATCCAAAACACTAACGCTAATTTTGGGGTGGCCAAAAAGTCCGTCTGGTTTCCCCCCAAGACGGCTCTAGGGGCACGTGAAACAGTTCTGTTAGACGGCACTGCGGTGGCTGGCACATCAGCGTGCGTTTAAAGAAACGATCAGCATGGGTGAATTTCTGTGTAGCCATTTTAATGTGGAAGACGGAAGAAAATATGCAACATCTTCAGCATATTATGCTTTATTATTTCAAGAAAGGTGAAAATGCAACTGGAATGCAAAAAAGGATTTGTGCAGCGTGTGGAGAAGGTGCTGTGACTGATCGAATGTGTCAAAAGAGGTTTGTGAAGCTTCGTGCTGGAGGTTTCTCGCTGGACGATGCCCCGTGCTCAGATGGACCAGGTGAAGCCGACAGAACTCAAATCAAGACACTAACTGAGAACAATCAATGTTATACCACTCAGGAGACAGCCGGACACTCAAGATATCGCAATCAATAAGGTTATTGGTGAAAATGAAAAATGCGTGTTTTGTTTGACAGAGTAAGTGAAACAGACGTTTTGGCCGACCGAAGAGCCATGTGCATCCGAACGTCCCCTGCAGCGCCCTGCCCCACAGCCGAGGTACAAAAGCGACCGAAGCGCCCCCGGACAGGGGCGTGGGCAAAGCGGACGGGCGCGTGGACACATGGGACACCACTCAGGCGTAACGAATAATGAAACATTGCCATTTGTGACAACACGGATGGACCTAGAGGGTCTTGTGTTCAGTGAAATAAATCAGTCACAGAAAGACAAATACCATAAGATTTTACTTCTATGTGGAATCTTAACACAAAGTAAATGGACAAACAAAGCAGAAACAAACCTGTAGATCCAGGTAACAAACATGGTTGAGGGTCGAGGGGCCTGGTGAAGCGGCAAAGGGACCGAGAAGCGAGAAGCAAACCTCGGCCATTTCCAGGCAGCCCCGGGGCACCGGCCCTCCTGGCGGCCACGCCCACAGGTACAGAAACGCCTGCCCCGCCCGGCCGCACGCTTGGAGCCAATATTAAATGTTAACTGTATTTAAAAAAAATTTTAAAAGGCACCTGTTTTTAATCAAAATAATTAAGGTAGTACCTGATATAGCATTTTTTTTTTATCGCCCTGTGTGTTTTCTGTACAAAAGGAAATGAGGCTTCCAATACCACACACTGTGGAGTGACCGTGGAGGGAACCCACAGCAGCTCGATCACAGTGAAAACTCCGGTAACATGATACAAGGGCGCAGGGTTAACGTTAAATCCAGCGAGCGCGTGCGTTCCGAGGTGTATGTGCACCATGCGCCGCCACCAAGTCTCTTTCCGCGAGTGCCGATCAGTTCAGTTCTTTAACCAGGACTCACCCGCGAGCACAGGGACCCCGAGTATGCTTGGGCCCAGATGTCATCAGGGAGTGACAACAGAGCAGACTATCGAACGGACACCAGTTACCTGGGAATCAAATGTGGTACTTACTTGGATTCTGTGGTTTTGAAGAATTGGAAAGGTCTTCATTTTCTGTATGAAAATAAATAAAGAAAAGTTGATGGGAAGCTTTAGTCGAATTATTTACCACCATAATAATAATCAGCAACTGGGGTAACAAAGAAAAACCCAGGACACACAGGTGCCCTGCGTGAGCAAACACAACGTGTGCCGACACAGCACAGCGGGAACCGCCAGAATCGCAGCGGCAACTATGTACAGGCGCCAGCGTTAAGGACGACCGGCCCCCTGCACCTTCTCCCCCGCCTGCAGTCTCTGAGCCAGCGGTCACCTCACAGACACGTTTACGAGCCCCTTCAGGACAGACGGTGGCCTCAGCGCCGCCCAGGAGCAAGTGCAGCCTGCCCGTGCGGCATGGGGAGCAGCCGCTGTCCCCCGCTGGGTAGCCCCCCAGCGTGCGGTGCAGACCTGGGGGCAGGGGCAGATGCAGAGCGCGGCGCCCTCCGCCGTCTGAGGAGCCACCGGCGAGCCTCGCAGCCGCCAGGACAGCAGAAACAGGCTCTATGCCAGGGCCCGAACTGCCCCAGCGAGACTGACAGCCAGACACGGCCCCAGCGCCGGGTCCGAGGCCCGGCCGTCAAAGACGCGCTGCGGAGAAGGTGGCCTCTCGTGGCTTGGCTAGAACTGCCCAGGAGCCAACACCGTGATGCGGAAGGTCCAAGGGACCCACAGCCCAGACGGCGTCCCCTAAAGAACGTGTCTTGTTTAAGGAACTAGAGCAAACGACTACACAGGGTGTCTATCAGCAGAATGTCCCTGAAAGGAAGGGAAGAACCGTGAAACCCCACAGCGCAGACTAAGACCGCGCAGGCGCACAACGCTGCCAGATGCGCGCTGAGAGGGCGAAGACTTAGAAATATAAAAATCCGACTCCGAAATACTAAATGCAAGGAATGGTAAAGATCAGAAATAATATTACTTCAAGGCGAATTACTTAGGTAGAAGAAACAAACAAAAATAAACCCCACTGGGAATGGCAAAAATACAAAGAAAAAAAGCTATCATAAATAAAGAGATGAGCCACTTAGAAGACAAATACAGTGCAAATGAGGAGCACCAGAGAGAAAGGATGGGTGAAAAAGCAACAATTAAAGGAACAATAGGAACAAAGCTCCTGAGCTCCCCTTTGCACATCCATCCAAAGGGCCTGCAGGCCGGGACAAGAGAGGCAGGACAAGAGAGGCAGGACACACGCCAGGCGTCCTGGGGAAAGCGCTGCTCGCCTCTGAGGACACCTCTGACCCCTGGCGTGAGGACGCCGCTCCTTCTAGGCTCAGGGGAAGCGCCGAGGTTCTCATGAGGGAAAGGAAATAAACTGGAACTGGTTTCTCAGCTTCCACCTACACACGCCCTTTCTGAAGAAGCTACTTAGAAAAATGTTCTACTGTAAGAAAATGAGAATGAACAAATCAGAACAGGAAATCAAAGAACAGAAGAAACAGGAAGAAGCCAGGAGTCCAGAGGCAGAGACGAAAGGACGGGCCGCGCTCCAGCAGAACCAAAATGGACCAAGAGGGAGCCCGGCCCGGCGCGCCGAGCACAGTGCGGCCTCCCTGCTGTTATGCACCGACAACCACGGAGGACGTGGAGGCGATTGCTAGCGACAGTAAAGATAAATTTAAGATGAAAAACTGGGATACCATCATGAGCAAAAAATAAAATGGAAGAACTAAGAATATGTAACTTTTACAGTTGTTGGAAATTCCTAGTAAATCTCCCTCACCTGTTTAAAAATCAGAATCCATCTAAATATCATTCATAAACCAAGTAAACTACCAAAGAAACAAAACCCTAAAAAAATCAAAACTAAAGATTCAGGCAAAATACTTTTGTAAAATTTAAAAAAAAAAAAAAAAGGAGTTAAGACAATGTTAACACCCAATAAAGCCAGGGAAAAAAGAAATACTGTCATAGTAAAATACAGCTCCACTGATGTTATGTTAGACCCAGGAAACTCAAAACACTGTCAAGATTTAAAAAAAAAAAATAGGTGATCGGTAATAAGTAGCTAGAAATGAATTATTTCATTTAAAACTGCAACAAAAACTACTTCTAAAATCCCAGAGGCACAGAACCTATACTCTAGACAGTGGCAAAGTCTCCTTAGAGGGGCGGAAAGCAGCAGCCCCGGGCGGGAGACACCACCTGATGTGATGCACACAGGGACGCAGGGTGGGCCGGGAGGGCTCATATTATGAAAATGCCAGTGCCCCCCAAATTATTCCATAACTATACGCACACAAATTTAAGTTTTACTTGCATAAAATAATCTTTAAGCTCAGAGGGAAGAATTAGTTTCCAAAAATAGTTTAAAAATATGAAAACAATGACCAAAGGCAGCCTTATCAGTTATCAGAACACACTATATAAATCTGTTAATCAAGTCAATATAGAACTATCGTAACCTAAAATAACTATAATGGAACACAGTTTAAAAAAACACCACCACAGAATTAGAGCCCCATGTGGTATTTCCAAACAGTGGAGAAAATGCCTCCGGGAATAAACGACGCTATCATCTGGGTGACCTTCGACTCCAGATGGAGCAGGGCTCTCCCGAGACCCGGGCCACCTATGGCCATGAAGGTCTGGCCCACAACAGCGTGGTCCCAGCTGTCCCTTCACAGCCTGTGCGTGGCTACGCAAAAACGCAACACTCTCAAGGCAAGAAAAACGATCTATTTTGCAGAACGTGCTCTGCAGCTCTTACGGGTCAGAATACTCAGCTGCAAAACAGAACCGTTCTGGCTAGTGAAAAAGAATTTATTAAACGCTGTTAAGTAACTCTGAGTCTCTAGGAAGGCAGAAAAAAAATTAGGTTCTATCCCTACACTACACAGATATAAAAATAAATGGCAGTGGATTAAAACCTCCCTATGAAAGAAGAATCACTATAGACGTAATTAGAGAATAAAACACTATAGATGCTATTTCATACTGTTGGGGTGACACTTCCTAGGCAAAAAAGAAAACTCAGGAAAGTCAAATTTTAACAGCTAATCAAAATAAAAATTAAACTTCCATGTAAAATGTAAGTGAAAATGCACACTCCATCAGCCTTGTCAGAGCGGCGCGCGTTCAAAACTGACCCCACCCGAGTGAGAGTGCGCGAAGACGCGGCCCCAGCCCCTGGGGAAGACAGCTCCGCGACGCGCAGCGGCCAGACGCAGCCCGCCTGGTGCGGCTCAGCGGGTCAGGCGCCGTCCCACAAACCGCAGGGCCCGAGGTCCTTTCTGGTCAGGGCGCCTGCCTGGGCTGCGGGCCAGGTCCCCAGCAGGGGGCACGTGAGAGGCAACCACACGCTAATGTTTCTCTCCCTTCCCCTAAATAAAATCTTAAAAACAGACAAACAAGATTCCTACTTCACATCCAGTGTTCCCAGGAGGCCCAGGAAAAGGCTGAGCCAGGAAGTGCTGGGGAGAGAGGTTAAGCCCCTCCAAGCCCCCACAAGACTGCCTTCCCCACCGTGCATTTGCCTAAATGGTGACATTCACAAAGTCGATTAAACACTTTCTGTCAGTCACTGGCCCCTGAGGAGGACTCTCCTGTGTACCCTGCTCCTGCTCACGCACGCGGGGCAGCGGGCGGGCTCTGAGGGAGGCCGGGCCCGCCCAGGGGCCGCCTGCGCGCCCTCTGCTGCCACACAGCCCTCCAGACACCCCCCCATACCCCAGACTGCGAGCAGGAGGGGGTCGTTTCCTCTGCCCGCCAACGACACCACTGCTTTACCTGTCCCTGCGGGGTTCGGGGTGTACGCAGGCGGAGGGGGCACACCCGGAGCGATGACACTGGCCAGCGGCACCAGGCCCGCGTTGTTATAAGCACCTGTGATAAAAACAAAATAGAAAAAATATAGAACTCAGTGTCATTTTGTGGCCCCGAGCCCCAACTATATTAACGCACCTACTACTTTATTTTTAAAACTGCTACACAACATAGCTGCCTTCACGCTGTGGGGGTCCGTAGGATGACCACAGAGTCCCATGCGACCCCCGGCGCAAGCTGCTATGCACCAGCTCCTGGGCAGGGCCCACCGCACCGAGAGCGCCCGTCCCGCGTTGGACACACGCCCTCGGCCACCCGGGCGAAGGGCCTCCTCGATGGCGCCTTTAAGCGCCAGCTACCAGAAAGGGGTTCGTGCTGATGCACCAAAGCGAAAACCCGTAACCGTTAACAGTGGCCAAGGATAATCTGCAAGTCACTCGTGGACGGGAAAACGTCCTCCACCAACTCCGCCTGCTGCCCGGCTGTGGACCAAGATGCAGCCACCAACCGCAGGACGGTTAAACCGGGCGCGTCCGGCGAGAGCGGGAGCTTCCCCAGGAGCCCACACCCACACCGGCTTTCTCTTCACTAAGCGGAGAGCGCCAGGAACAGACGGGGCCTGCGAAGGCGTCCTTACTTGGTGTGACGGTCGCGTGGGGCCGGCATGGAGGTATCGGGTACGGGACGGGCCGGTGAGGGTTGTACGTGGAAGGAGGCTGGGCGGGGACAAAGCACAGTGGTTAGGGGAGGCCACGCGCACAACCCTGCTTCACAACAGCCCGAGAGGCTGGCGACGCCCCGAAGCACTTCCGTCACTGGACCCACACAGGGCACAGTCAAGGGAAACGTCTTTGCTTTAAAGGTGTGGCTCCTGCTAAATGGCAGAGGTGGACCCTGCAAAGGCCCCTGTGAAGGCGCTCCTTTTTTATTTCAGAGGATATCACCCGCAGTGAATGGTCAGGCCTTAGGCTGATCAGCAGACGCCCGTCTGACCTGCCTAGTCTCAGTCAGGTGCCGCTGCCGCCGCCTCCGCGACACACGAAACCCACTCGCTTGTGCAAGGTCAGCCCCCCAATCGAGAACCCCCAGACCCTCCCGAACCCACGAGGAACTCATCTCAGCGTTCTTACCCTCGTCTCTCCTTTTGGGAGGAAACAAAGCACTGTTTTCTTAAGCAGTCGGCATTCTGACAAATCCAGCAGAATGCAGACTGGAGCTGTGAATCCAGTATTTAGTCTTTTCGCCTTTTGAAACCCACAAATCTTTTATCGCTGATGGAACGTGTATAAATAACAAAGAACATTAAAAGAACTACTCTCTAGTGCTGACTGGCGGGCTCAGTGGGGTGGGCCTCACCCGGGAAAGCGGAAGGGTGTGGGCCCCCTCCACCCTCAGTGCACAGACCTGGGTGCGGGTTTGGCCACCGCACAAGAGGAAGCCACCGCCATCAGTCTGATAGTCGGTCTCTAGAGACCCAGAGCTAAGCCAACAGCACACTTGTAATGAGAGAGAGAGAGAGAGAGAGAGAGAGAGAGAGAGAGAGAGAGAGACGGGGAGGGGGGTGCTCGGGCTGCCCCCGACGCCCTGCCCTGGCCACGCCCTCCCCGAGGTGTTGGGCACCCTGGGCCCGCCCAGCACCGAGCGCAGCAGACACTCTGCAGAGACAGAAAGCTGCGTGAGAGCCCTGACCCGTTCCACCACTTGCATCCTGCACGTACCGGTTTGGACGGTCCAAGGATGCGCGCAGCTATTCCTTTGCCTTCACTGGTGCATTCTTCACCATCTTTTTTCAAAGGGGTTCCCTGTTTTAACAAAAAATAAAATAAAGACTTAAAAAAAAAGCCCCAGAGCAAAACCAAAACCAAACCCAGCCCCTGGCTGTGCAGGCCTGTCTCACTCTGGGGCACCCTTCCTTTATGCGTGTCCCCTCGCGAAGTAGGGCCCCCGGCCATGGCAAGCTCACGGCTCGCCTCCCAGACCACCACCCGTGCCGAGGTGGCCGCGAGCTGCCCCGCACGTCTCTACGGTCCGCCTGGGTGGCAGTGAAGGGAAGGGCTGAACTGCTCGGCATTTAAAGGCCAGGTCCGGCCCGCCCTGAGCGCGTGGCCCCGACAAGGTGGCACCCCATGCCACGGCGCTCCCCGCCAACCCCGCACGGGATGAGCGGGAAGCAGCCTGTTCTGGCCTCTCCCCAGGACAGGTGCGACCGGAGCTGCCGTCCGGCACCACGGCGCAGGCCACGCACAGAACCAGGGCCCGCGCTGCAGCCGAAACTGGACGGGCGAGGTGGGCTCGCGAGCGCGGGGCGCGCAGTCTGCACCGTGCAGGGCCAGGCGAGGCCTCCTTTACGCCAGTGCTTTCATGTGGTTTGCACGTCAACTTTCACTCTGTGCATTCAGTTGCTGACACTGTAACTTCCTTTCCTTTGTAGGAGCCCCGCCAACTGGCATTTTCTTTAAATATGAGAACTATGCTCAATCCACATTTCGCCACATGACGTTTCCACGGCGGCCACCAAAGCATGCTCACTGGGAAAACTCCATTAATGCGGCTCGGTCTCCCTTTTGGGTACGGGTTCCCTGGGATCGTCCCGCAGGAAGATATCATGGCATGAGGAGCTTTGCAGCCTCCCTTGAAAGCCTGCACCGTGAAAAAGAAGAGAGAGGAAAAGAAAAAGTCAGCGTCCTGGACCTGCCCGCGCCGCTGCAAGACATGCGCTACGGAACAGCCTCCCGTGCAATCAGCCACCATTTACAGTGCTGAACGGGACCAAAGTTAATGAGTAAAATCGCTTCATTTACATGGAATTGCTAATGACGGTAACAATGGTTTTAACATCTCAGTGATGGGCCCTGTACAAAGGCATCTTCGCCCTGCGTTTGGTAAACTGGGCGCAAAAGCCCGTTAACCACGGGCTACGTCCCATTTCTCCAATGACCAGGAGTCACAGTGTCCGTCTCTACAAACTGCCGGACACGGGGTTCAAAACGATGGCTGTGAGGGCACACAAGGGACTTGGTGAGAACTCCGACAGCACGAACAAGGATGGAGGAACCATAAAAAAGAACCGGACACAAATGAAGGACACACTAACTGAAATGGAGGCTACATTACAGGGAAGCAGCAGTAGCGTAGATGAAGCCAAGGATCAAATCTGCAATTTGGAATATCAGGAAGCAAAAAACACCCAATCAGAACAGCAAAGAGAGAAAACAATCCCCTCCCCCTCTAAAAAAGCCACTGTAAGGAGCCTCTGGGACCATGAGGGTTCGGGAAGGAGAGAGGGGACGAAACTGAAAACCTATTTGAAAAAACAAAGACAGAAAAGTTCCCTCACAACAGGGACCAAAGAGGCCCACTCCAAGACACAGGAAAATTAAGAAGCAAAAGGTTCAAGACAGAGAGAATCTTAAAAGCAGCAGGAGAAAAGCAGGTAGTTCCCTACAAGGGAGCTCCTGTAAGACTGCCTGCTGATTTCTCACAGATACTTGGCAGGCCGGAAGGGACCGGCAAGATATATTCGGAGTGATGACAAGCAGGAACCTACACCCTTACTCTACCAGCAAAGCGGTCGTTTAGGATCCAAGGACAAAGAAAGAGCTTCCCAGACAAGAAAAAGCTAGAGAAATTCATCACCACCCAACCAGCACTACATGAAATGTTAAAGGATCTTCTTTATGAAGGAAAAAAAGATAAAAAACAAGAATAATAAAATGGCAATACATATCTATCAACAATTGAATCTTAAAAACGAACAAACAAGCAGAACAGAAACAGATTCACAGAGACAGAGAGCATTTTGCTGGTCACCAGAGGGGTGGGGTTTGGGGAGAGGGCGGAGAAGGGGACGGGACTCAAGGACAGGCTGGTAGGTACGGAGCAGCGGTGGGGACGTACAGTGCAGGGAATACAGTCAGCAACCGTCTGATAACCACGCACGGGGTCAGGTGGGTACCAGGCCTGCCGGGGCGACCACTTGGTAAGTTACACACACGTCTAGTCACTGGGGTGCACGCCCGAAACTGATAAAGTATTTTGTTAACTGTAACTGAAAACAAAAAATGATTGAACAGAAAGAAAAAACAGGGGCTCAGACACCGCTCCTGTGGCTGCAACCGACGGCGAGGCCGGCTCTGCCGCCCGGGGCCTGCACGGGCGGAGGCCCCCCGGCGGCCGCGGGGCCCTGGTCCTCCTCGGGCAGGGCTGCCGCTGCTGCTTCAGGGCCAGCTGCCCACGCCCTGAGGAACAACCGCCTGGAGGACGACTCAAGTGGCCCGGGCTCAGGCCAGCACTGCTTCTCCCACCCTTAGAGATTCTAAGTGAATAAACGAGGATTTTGGTTTATCATTCTTCTCGTAAGCATTTGACTGATACGTATAAATGGAAGGACAACCGAATTCTAAAAGGCAAGTTCCTAGACACACAAAGCTACAGACGAAAGCCCAGAGCCCTGGCAGAGCCACCAAGGGCCAGGGCACACCCAGCGGGGGCGCGGGTGCTGCCGCCTGCCCCCGCCCCCGCAGAGCCCCCTGGGCGCGGCCCCACCCCCCGCCGCGGGCAGGGAGCTACCTGCTCCAGTACTCTCTTGCACCGCTTCTTCTCGGACATGTTTATCCTGAACAAATCTTCAATGGGACGAGAGTTCTGTGCATCGACAATGTTTCTACGAGAGAAAAACAATTTAGCTTTTCATTGAGGAACAGGGACAACACACTGAGGCCAAGGACTTTTGTTTACTGCACAAGTACATCCGAATGAGCTGCTCTCTGTGACAAAAAGGAAAGTGTGACTAGCTGGTGACTGTAAACAACATGGAACATAAAGATGGTGAAGTAATGATGGAGGTTAATCCGGTTTCCTCAAAGAAACAAAATGACCCTATAAATCAGACCCCTACGCTGAGGCCCCGAACGCACCGGCTCGCAGTGCGCGCTGGGAGGGCGATGGTGCCAGCACGGGCCCGCGCGCCAACTGCCCAAAAGCCATGATCGACCTCAAGGGAGGTTCCACCTCATGCTCAACGGTAGTCACACGTTTTGTGGACATCTGTAAACATATGAGACTTAAGCGTGCATGCGCAGCAAACAGCACTCACAGACTCATTACGCCAAGAGCAGGACCCTCTCTGAGCTCGCTTCCGCTCACTGTGACCTCAGGCGGCACCGCGCTAGGCGCTTGTGCACGTCCCGCCATGTTTAAAGTTCACGCATCCCCCTGAGCGGGCGGGACCCTTCTTTTTACAATTGAGGAGAATAAGGTCCAGAAATAGTACGTACATCTTAAGCGCTACCCTCCCCCCGCAAAATACCTTTGTCGGAATGTGGCAGAACTTATCTAACTACAAATCCTACGACGTGATCAGTGAGCCTTTCAGGTATTCCCAGTAGGAAGGCATGCAAGTCATTCATATACAGACATTTGCAAATAAATAAACTTGACAAGCCCATTACTTTGTAAGTTATAACCATGTGTCATATGCACACTAGACATTTTGATGTAAGAATTCAGTTTTATGTTTTCATAGATTTTATTATAGTTCCATTTACTGATATAAATCTGATACGTTAACAAACACTGAGTTAAAAGACACTTAAAAAGCCCTCCAAATTTCCTCCAATGAAGTAAAAAAAGAGAGGTACTCACGAAGCTAACAGCTCAAGAGCAACCAGCTTGTCTTTACTGAAGGTGAAACAGTTGAGGATATTGACCACTTCCGCTGGGTGGACAGCCACCATTTTCTATTAATATAAAAGATCATTTAATTTCAAAGCGAGGCAGTTTCAAAGCAGAAATTACCATTTTGGGGGAATGAACGTTTATATTCATAACACATGTACGTGAGGTGGAATCTGCCTCCTCACAGGCAAGCCCCACCTAACACGGGAATTAACTCCCGCTCCTCGGTGTCGCGATGTGAACTGGGACCCAGGTTCCCCGCCATGCGCTGCGTCCCCACGCCCCTCAGTGTGCTCGTCCACAGACAGAGCACGCACGTGTGCCGCTTCCCTCACACAGGTTAAGCAGAGTGTATTGGACCCAGGTTCCTTCTTTTTCAAGAGCAAGGAGAAGATCTGGCCGATTTATAGGTTTGTGTCACCAGTGAAGGGAACTCAAAAGCCAAGCCGACGTCAGAAGATCGGTTAGAAGCAACACCGACCAGGTTCCTGAAGTCCGGGGTGGGGGTTTGCTGACATTTAACGTGTGCACTGCCAAAGAGCTGGTGAAACTGCATAAGCCTCTCTGTTTTTAAACAGACATCTACAAAATTACCAGGAGTTTCAGTATTTGCAAAAGACCTATTTCCTCATTTGTAAGTTTATTATATGTTTGTAAAGACCTGGAACTACTGAGGGAGCTCATTTATGAAAACGTATCACGTAACCTAATTGTCGAAGTCTCTGGTGTGAAAACAGGCCAATCAGATGTCAGGAAAAGCCGGACTCATTTCAGTCCAAGTAAATCCATCACGTTGTGCCAGGGGAGCCTCCGTGGCTCTCGGCTTTAACCAGCAGGTAAGCTGGGCAGGGGGCCGCCAGGCCCGCCCCGGACAGAGGTCCGCGCTCGGCCCACCCCCCAGGACACCACCTGCCCCTCTGGCCCTCAGGGAAGGAGCTCCCCCGCCCTGTGACGGGCGGCGGCGGGTGAGACAGCTGGCTCTTCATAAGGCAGAACACAAGCAGCTGTTCAGAGAAGAGGCCGCACAGGCCTAGAGGCCTTCTCAGGCACGGTTGCTTGAAAGTTCAGGGTCCCCAGGCCCTACGGCCACCCACGCCTGACCCCGGCCTGACCCTCTATGAAACCACCCCGCACAGGCAGCCACCTTCGGGCACTGCTGAGCGCGGCTCCAGGGCGGTGCGGCCCCACGTTAACTAAAACAGAAGTGTGGCTCCTCGGGCAGGGCCCAGGGACTGTAAGTGCTGGGAGCCGGGGCAGCCGGTGAGGCGGCGCGGGCCCGCAGGGCGTCGCAAAAGCCCGCCTGCCTCCCCTCCGACCAAATATAAAGGGGCAAGGCTATCCGAAAGCAGGAGCCAGAAAAATACTGACAAGCTCAAATCCTGTGTTTGGCTTGCCTAACAATATCCTCTCCGATCTGCCAATTAAGAGCCTATGGTATTTGGTCTCAGAACGGTGTGCCGTGTAGTGGCAGCGTGCACACAATTCAAATTCTACACTCGAAGGGAAAGTAAGTTACTTACGTGCTGTAATGCTTTCATGGCCTTCAGCTGAGGCTCGGCCCAGGAGAAATACCTCAGTAAATCAACCACCTGGAAGCAAAGACGGGGTTTAGCTCTGATGACCGCGGGTCTGGAGCATCTCTGCAAAAGTTATGGCGGCATCGCGAATTCCTGCGCTCGGTGTGCTTCCCAGGCGCCGTGGCGGGGGGGACGCCAGGCAGCGGGGCTCAGGCTGTGTTGCCAGAGCAGCTGCGTGCAGCCACTTGAACTCTAACCCTAACCCTAATCGACTGAAATAAACCCAATAAAAGTCCAGTTCCTTGCTGGCACAAGCCACGTGAGGTGGGCGGCGCCCACCGTGGTGAGCGGGGACAGGGCACAGCTGTGGACCCCGGGCAGCGCCGGCCGAGAAATGAAGGACAGGGCAGCACAGGGACGCAGGCACAGGGACGTGCCGGCAGAAGGGGCGGGAGAAGCACGGGATGGAGACAAAGCGCCGGCCCGAGGACACAAAGATGCTCCGCGGCACCTCGGTCCTCGTCACCAATTCACCTGGAGCTTGTGACGAGTGCCCACACCCACCAATGCCGAGTGACGAAGAACTTTCTGTCATCAAAAAGCGATGAGTACAGGGTGGGATGAATCTGAGGCCGACGAGCACCGAGGGGCAACTGCATCAGCAGCAGAGAACTTTACACGTTTAGTGGGGGGCGGGCGTTAATCGTTCACAGGAGGGTATTCAGAAGTTTAGTGCAGGCCCACTGACTTCCATTCCTTTACTTGACTCGGGAGGGCCTAACGCTCCTTTTTACAACACAGATCCACCCCTTAAAGAAGCGAGAGCCACCAGGAACTGCTCGGAACGGCAGGCCACTTTGAGAGCGGCGCTGGCCAGGCCCTCTGCCTCCACCTCCAAGGATGTCACACAAGCCAGGGAGCTGGTGCGACAGCTCGTAAGAGGTGAGCAGGGCACCAGCCTCACATGACAGGCCCCCCACAAGGTCGCTACCACCCTGGTTAAGAGCCTCCAAGACACTCCAGATTAAACACACGCACGCACGCACGCGCACACACAGAGGCTCCGGAGAGAGTAATATAAAATCTGGGTTAATGAATCATGTTACTGTGAGCTCCTGAGAACAGAAGTTCTCAATAGTTCTATGAAGCAAGGTTAATTCTAGAAACCGGAGTGGTGTGTGTAAAAGAATAAAAATACTTTTTATTCCTGAAAAAGAGATTTAAAAAATAGCAAACAAGTATCACGTGTACTTTCTAGATAACTTGTTAAGAGAGCATTGTATGTCTTTACTCCTACAGGCCTGTGTTTACTACACAGCAGATGCTACCTGGCGCTTTGCCAGCTGCACACTTCGATCACCGCCAGGGCTGACACAGGAGGAGCCTTTGCCACCTCGAGGTGGCTTAGAAAGGCACATGCTTAGAAAGCGGCTTAGCGGAGTTTATAACGACTTTAGCAAAGTGGAACCACCCCTGAGAAGTTCTGTCCAACGGTTCACATGTGTGCGCACATGCACCAAGGGAAGAAAGCTATTCCCTATGAGAAATAACAAACCTTTTCAAAACATTTAAATTTTTAGAAAGCACAACGTGATTCTGAACAGCTGCGGTGGAGGAACACATGAAATGGCAGCAGCGTGTGCACGTGGCAGAGCGGCTCTGGGAACTTAGGAGGCACAAGCTCCACAGGCTGACGCCTCAGCCTCCACGCTGTGACCATCTCCCGCAGCGGCCAAAAGCTGGGGGCTGACGAGCTTGATCTGCGGGCGCAGACGCCGCCGCCCCGTCTGCCTCCCTCTCCAGGCCTCTCCTCCGGGTACGCGGGTCTGTTTTTGCCCTATTTCCCTATCAAGTGTTTTCCAAGTGCCCCTGGGAAATCAGTTCAGTGAACGTGTGCACATGCACACGCGTGCATATGTTTTTGAAGTGGCAAACTCTTCCTCTAGGTAGGTGGAAAGTTCTCACTAAACTGCCACTGGTCTTCTGGCAGGTACAGAAACTCCTTATTAGACACTGTATTTTTTCCCTTATTGTGAAAACTTTTATTTAGTGGCTTCATACAGGAAAATGTCTTCATTTAAGTTTTCTTTTACAATATGTGGTGAATTTTGCTACTATTAACTGATAAATGCTATACAAATTTGAGTATGTTTACCACTAGAAGCTTATAAATTTATGTGACATTGTGCCCAGAATGCCAAACACTTTGAACTGCTTTTTTTAGACACTGCATTTTAAAGTCATGTGCGTGTATGACATTGTGGTGATACCACATATCTGAACTATAAAATACCTGAACTATAAAGTTTCTAATGTTTTCTTCCAAAACTAAAAGTGTCTAAAGTTCCTGAATAAATACAGCAACAAAGTAAAGCAATTCTGACCCTGACCAGCAGGTAAACAGACATTAACCAAAAATATGTATTAAAAAAAAAACTTTTGATTAAACAGAGGAATACCTGTTCACTAGAGAAATATCCGTGCACATATTCAATTGCTTTTAATTTGTACTCTGTCAAAACAGCCTACAAAACATAGAAAAACAGCATTAATATAAGTGAACAGAACAGCAATATGTATACAGCAAAAATGCCCTCGCTTTAAATGATTGAAACGACACCCAGTATCACCTGCAGACCTGGGATACCAGGAATAGATCACCTGGTTTCAGCGGACTGACATTTACAAAGTCTGAGGGTAACTTTTAAAAACCAATGGTAACTCTCATACTTAGATATGCCTGCATTTTCATCCCAACTTCATAGACCAAGACAATATTGACACACCTAATTATTTGGCACAGGCAGCAAAAGACGTTTGGATTGCGTACCAGAAATAACGACTTAAGTGGCTGTTTTGTGTAACCATGATTTCCAACTCTGAAAAACTTGCTGTTCCCCTCATCAGTATTTACCATGTGATCTTTTCACAACTTAGAAAGGAGAGAATATGCAAAGTGACACCCTACGGCTTCCAACAGTAGAGGTCTACTGGCCCACCTGAATGCGCAAATTAGTTTCTCATCAACAGTAATTAAGTATCAGTTCAGGAACAAGTTGTGGCAAATTCCAAATACAGAGAAGCAAGCTGACATTTTATTGCAAATCTTAATTGGATAAACTGGGTTTGCAAAAGCAGGCATTTCCTTCAAAAAAGAACGTTCAATATCGTTGAATACGTGAATTCCACCTCACGTGCAAATTTGAAAAATGTTTTCGAAAAAATCACAAAACATTCTGCCTTATAGAGAATGAAGAAAAACAGCACATCCACAGACAATTTTGTTAGTAATTTCATAAGCTGAAACGAATAATAAGCGCCAGGCACAAGGTGACAAATGCTTCCCAGTCAGTCCCGGACCCAGGAGGCAGGGAAGGGAGGAGACGGTCGTCAAGAAGCGCGGGAGAGGCCCCTCTATTAGCATAAGAATGCGACCTTAAGTCCTTCCTGTTCTAAGCAGGTAAACGCTCACCTAAGCCCTGGAGGGAGCTATGCTCCAGGCCACATTCCAATTTTTTTTTTTTTTGCTGCCTGATTCTTTCTGGGAGGTAGGCTACATACAATAGCCTCAAAAAGAAGCAAAAACTTGGAAAGCAGGAAAAAAGGAGAAAAAAGGTTTCGGAATTCAAGTTATTGAAGCCCATTCCTCAGGGTGTGAATTTAAACTTCGTGTGACTTTAAACGTGAAGCCACACTTTTCATTCAGGCACCAGCGCTGGCTGCCCAGGCAACAGAGCGTGCCGATCCTCAGATCAGAAAACCGGTCCTACCACCAACGACCATTAAAGGAACATTCTACGCATTATCTCTGGCTTTCAATGTCTTAAGGGACTGAAAGGGGAAGACATCGGTCCAGACAAAGTACGAGGAATCGCGCCTCCAAAACGGGAGCGCGACTGAAGATCTGCAGAGCCAGCTTCGGAGCCGAGGACTCTTCATTTCACATCCCCGACACCGCGCTGTCAGCGTGTTTAAAGCGTTAACGTAATTTCTATTTGCGTCGTGTAATGTACCGAGACCTCATGTCCCACACTCTAGGTTAAAATTCCACCTAGTTTTGCAATCCTAAAACCCGTTATTTTGCACAATCTGCACGGTGCCTCCAAGAGAAAAGAGCATGAGAACTCGTTGCTCACAAAATGATTAATGGAATTAAATGTAGTTACCTTTCTAATTTCATCCAACACCATTTCAAACGACTTTTTGTCCATCTTGACGGCTCTCTCGGCGTGGTTTTGACAGTTACACTTTCAATGACAAAACGCTCGTCCCTGCTCAGCTCTGTCAGTCAAAATGTTGACAGCCGACGACGAAAAAGACTCCAGGAGCAAGAGACAGGATGCGTAGAGGTAGACTACTTGGAACTCCGGGAAAATATTCTAAAAATGGAGACTTACAAAGACTTTTTATTAAAAAACAAAAACCTTCAGGCTTCCGCAGCTTTTGCGCACAAAGCTTCAGGACACTTTGGGAAGAGCCGGGTCCTCTCTGAGTCCCGCAGAGAAACCCGGGTGTCGGCAGCCAGGGCTGAGCGCCGGTCCCCGCAGCGCGAGGCCAGGGCCGCCGGGGGACGGTCGCGAAGCCGCTCTTCCGGGCGGAGCGGCCGGGACCGCGGGGGCGCCCGAGTCCCGCGGGCGGCGAGGACGGAGGGGCCTGCCTCCCCGCCCGCCCAAGCGCTCCGGCCGCCGGCCTCACCGCCGCGAACCTGGACCCGTGGCCCAGCTCGCGCTCATCCCAGCAGCCTCGCCGGCCTCCTGGGGCCCCGCAGCCCCGCAGCGGCGGGCGGGCGGGCGGGCTCTTTGTTACCAGCTACACGGCTTCCGGGAGCGGGCCGGCGGCCGGGAGCACGGGGGCCGAGTGGAGGGGGACTCCGGAACCCCGCAGCGCCACTCTGCCAGGAGCCCCTCCCGGCTACCCCTCCAGCTCCCACCGGCTCCTGGGGGCCTTCGATGAAGCCCGTCGCGCCCAAGCAAACTCAACGCTGCGCCGCTAGTTTAGGCCACTCTTTCCTGAAAGCCAACGGAGGGGTCCTTGTGTGGGAACGTAGGTGTCCACGACATATGCCTGAATACTTCGGAATCGGATGCGGATGAACTGCGTCGCAGAACCTGGCAGGCAGTTTTTTGAGGGCCGCACCCCTATGGCGCGGGTTTGTGTGTGCCTGCTTCTGATTGGTCGACCTTAAAGTCAAGAGAATGAACGTCGAGTCGTTACGGCAGCGCTATGGGCGCCCTTATTTTGGCGGACAGAGTCCTCAGCGTAGGGCCGCTTTCCCGGAGGGGCGGAGAAGGTTGGTCTATGGGTCAGCCGGAGGGCACGTGACTCAGGGGCGGGGCTAGAAGGCACGTGGCACGGGGGCGGGGCTCCAGGGACGCCCTGGGGATCCCCGACCACCCAGCGTTGTGGTCCCTGCGTCTCTCGAACACGGCGCCTCCGAGGAAGGGCGGTCGGAGAGGAGCTTCAGCCCGGAAGCCGGGCAGTCGCTGAGCGCCGCAGGCAGCCGTGCGGACCGAGGCTGCTCGGCTGCCTCCGCCGCCTGCCCCAGGGCTTCGTCGCGCTTCCTGTTCCGTCATGGCCAGACTCTGGCTCTGCGCGGGGGGCGCGGGCTGCTTGCTCGTTTTTCTGGTTTTGCACTCGCGCCTTTCTGGCTCTCCGGTGAGTTGAAGAGCGAGGAGGTGGCTGTCTGGGGTGTGGACAGCACTTTTGGGAGGCGACGCTCCCCGCGGCACTGGAGGCGGTGGGCGCGGGCTTCTCTCTAGTCGGGGTGGGCGGGGTAGGGGCGCGGACCCCCGAGGGGTTGCCCTGGGTTAAAATGCACGCGCGGGAGGGCGGGGACATGGAGAGGGACCAGGGTGTAGGGTGGTTAGGTGGCGATGGAAAACAAAAGATAAGCAAATAATAAATTTCGGGGGGGAAATGGTTCTGCAGAGGGTCGCTGGCGTGTGGTTTTTCCGCGTTGCGATGGTGCAAAAGCGATACCCTTCAGGAGACGGTGCTTGCACGGGCTAGCGCTGTGCGGGTCTGCACGGCGTCCTGTGCTGTCAGCGTGTGGGGCTCTCGTGTTGTCGGGTCCCATCGAGTTATAGACACACACCTGTGTCTCTGCTTCTTCTGAGCGGAGGACGGAGGCCTCGTGAGATGAAACTCGAGCTCACGGCCGAACTGTAGGCTAATGGAAGTGTGCTGAGCACGTGTAAGGTCGGTTAGGCTGAGACGTTCCCTAGGTTTCGTGGAGAAAACGCAGTTTTGACTGAGGGCATTTTAAAATGATGGTGGGCTCACCGGGTTTTCCGGCTACGGCGACAGCCTCAGACAACGTGCAGGTCTGTGTTTTGGTCATCTTGGTGTTTAAACGAGTAAGGCCGTTTCTTCCCCCTCAGTTCTGACCTCTGTGTCAGGTGTCGAGGGATGCTTAAAAAATAGGCCTTTTTTTTTTTTAACCTAGAGTATAACCTGAATCCCAATCTTCTGATTTTATTTAAGGTTTTGAGGGAGTTTGTGTTTCAAATTTCCTGGAGAACTGAGGACGTCCCGTACCGGCTGGACGTGGGTTGGCCTAAGCACCCCGAGTACTTCACTGGGACAACATTTTGTGTTGCCGTTGACTCCCTGAACGGACTGGTTTACGTTGCCCAAGTAAGTAAAATTGGGGTTTTTAAGAAATACACGAACACAAAGGAAGCATCACCCTGTTCTACCCCACTAAGTAGCCACATGTTTTTATATCACGCTAATTATGGAATTGGCTTTTTGAATTGCTCTCACGTGAACACGACGACATTGAATTTGATACACGTTAATCTTGTTAGGTTTTGAAGCTGAGTTTTTTTAAGTGTCACTGGATTCCTCCATTAACTCTGGAATGGCGCTGCTTGCAGCCAAAATAAAGGCGACTTCCTTACACCCGATCCTACCTCGGCTGTTATCTTCGTGTCCCTCCAGAGAGGGGATGGCATCCAGAAGGTGTTAGTGTTCACAGAGGACGGGTACTTCCTGCGAGCGTGGAACCACACGGTGGACGCCCCACACGGCATGTTCGCTGCCAGCGCGCCGCAGGAGCAGTGGGTCTGGGTCACGGACGTCGGGAGCGGTACGTGTGCCAGCGCGCGGAGCTGTTCCGGCCTCTGCCGGAAGGTCCCCCTTGGCCCGCGCTCTAGCTCGTGCATTTGAAAATCACAGTCGCCCGATCTAATTTGCATTCGCTTACTGAGTCATGAAATCACTTATTTTTAAAAACAAGCTGTACTTCTGTAAAATTAAGACGTTTAACGAGGAGGCTATGTTAGAATTTTTAAACTTGATAAGAGCCTTTTTTTCTCTTTGAAACTTATTTTTCAATTTTTCGATAACAGCTTGCTTTTTAGTATTATTTTGTATTGATTTCAGCTTTACAGCGTACTGACTAGATGACCGTACATGTTCCAAAGTGTTTACCCTGATAGTTCCAGTCCCCACCTGGGACCATACATAGTATCCCAGTATTTTTGACTATTCCATGTGCTGTGCTTTCCGGCCCGTGACTGCACTGTGACCACCACCATGTCCTCCTTAATTCCGTCACGTCTGCCCCCCAGGCCCCCAGCCCCACTCCCATCTGGCGGTTGCCGTCCAGTCTCCGTGTTTATGGGTCTGTTTCAGTTGGGTTGGTTGGTTGGTTTGTTTTGTCCTTTAGACGCCCCGCGTCAGTGAGATCATAGGGCGCTCGCCTTTCTCTGACTGGCTTATGTCACTCGGCATCGAATCCTCTAGGTCCGTCCACGTTGTCACAAGTGGCAGGGTTCGTTCTTTCGATGGCCGGGTGATACTCCATTGTACCTGCGAACTGCAGCTTCTCACCCACTGGTCGGGGGGTGGGGGAGAGGCCCGCCCTCCCCCGGGACCCTGGTGGCTGTTGCCTCAGCTCTCTTCCCGGGGCCGGGGGCCCAGGCCCTGCTCACTCGGTTCTGGTCTGCTCTGTCGTAACTCCAGGCCTACGAGGTTGTCCCCTGATTCCCAGAAATCGACAGAACACCCTGCTCTCCTCATGCTTCCTGTTACAGCTCGTTTTTCCAGGCGCAGATCTGAGGACAGTTGCTGTGCTCCTCCCCATTTTTAAAAGGAACAAGTTCCTTTTAATAAAAACCTTATTTTGCAAATCTACGTTTGTTTGTACTATGTATGGTGCCAGGTGGGGACTGGAACTATCAGGGTAAATACTTTGCAAATCAGCTCCTTTCTTTTTTTTTTTTTTTTAATTATTTACTGGTATTCTATTTCCTTGGCTAATTCTTTAGACACTTCGGACTTGGCTTTCTTAAATAATGTTTTGTTTTCTTACCGTAGCTACCAGCTTTAGCTTAGGCCTTCAAACCAAATGTAGAAATAAAGACAGTTTTTAAGCGAGAGTTGTAATGCAGGCTCATCCTGTTTAAGTCCAGTGAGCACAGCGCATCCAGTTTCTCGCTTGGAGGGACCCCAGTCTGGTCTGGGTGTGCTTTCAAGTTGATTTCTGTTGGCGGCTTTATGGTTTTTCCCTAGTTGTTAATATTCTTTACTTTTGCTTAGAAGGTAGTTGTGACTCCCAAGAAATTATAATATGAATGAGAAGATAAATAATAGTGATTTGGAAAGATTTAGTCCCTTCTTAGGAACGAAAAGTTTAATGAGTTAGGAATTTGTTTCCACTAGGAGAAAATGTAGTTTCAAGAATCTGTATTACAGAGAACTATTTTGTTGACCTACTGAAATTTGAGATCTGTGCATGAATGAGTGAAATAACAGTTTTCAAACATAACTGGTTTTTCCCAATTCCATCTTGACTTCCTTTTTCAAGTAATGCTTACTCAGAGTCATAAGACGAAATGGAAAATGGTGTGCTAATAGTTTAATGTGAGCTTTGTGTGTAAGGAGTCAATTTTCTTGGATTTATTTATTTGGATATCGAGTCTATTTATCTTGGAGTACCTGAGGTTTTTACTTTATGAATAGGTTTGGCTATAACTAACAAGGAAGCTCAGTTGCTCGTCCAATAGAACATTTGAGTATCTGAGTCTATGAACTTTTTATTACTATCTAATACTAATCTGTTCTTTGCTCCTGGTTTATCATTGGCCCTTGAACAACATGGGTGTGAACTGGGTGGGTCCATTTATATGAGGATTTTTTCCCACAAATACTGTAAATGTATTGTCTCTTTCTTACGGTTTTCTTAATACCGTTTTCTTTTTTTAGTTTATTTCATGGTAAGAATACAGTGTATAATACACGTAATGCACAAAATATGTGTTGATTGACTGTACATTTCATTGATAAGTCCCAGTCAGCAGTAGGCTATCAGTAGTTGAGTTTGAGGGTGTTTTAAGTTACCTGTGGCTCAGGAGTCAGCTGTGCTTGAGAAACATGAACGTTTGTGCTGCGGTTACATTGGTGGAATGTTCGTGCCTGTCTTCATAGGACCCTTTGGTCACACCGTTAAGAAATACAGTGCCTTCGGCGACCTCGTCCAGGTCTTGGGCACCCCGGGCCAAAGGGGCACGGGCCTGAACCCCCTGCAGTTCGACAGCCCCGCAGAGCTGTACGTGGAAGACACGGGGGACATGTACATCGTGGACGGAGACGGAGGGCTGAATAACAGACTGATCAAGCTGTCCCAAGGTGCGTGGCCTCATTTTGGACGCCACTACGTCCGAACATCGGGTAGTAAGTTGGGTTTAACGTGTTTGATAGTTGATACAAAGTTACAGCTCTTGTGTGGGAATCTGTGTGAAGGGCTCAAGTGTGTCCCTGGGGAAAGAGCAGCCCAGGCGTCGGGGCGGCGGCGGCAGGCCTGCTCAGGCTTCGCCCGCAGCGAGGGGTCCCTTGGAGATGCGCGGGAGGCAGCGCGAGGACTCCGCTGCGAGTGCCGGGGACGAGGGGTCACCCCACCCCGCAGGGGCTGGGTGCCCAGGGCCCGCACCCCCGCGCCGAGCTGCCTGCGCTGGGCCCGCGGAGTTTTGCGGAATCCCCTGCCCTGCGCGTGCAGGCCCGTTACAGACGGGACGGTGAAATGCTGCTCTGTGGTGCTGTTTTTTGTTTTTGTAAAGCGTGAGCATTAGGCAAATGGGTATATAACAGAAAGCGAGGAATGGACGCATCATTGGAAAGTTTGCATCCAGTGACGTAAACTGTAACGGGCACGTGTGCAAGGCGTTCTCTGCGTGGGCCCAACCATGTGCGTTCACCACGTACAGATTTCGCGATGCTCTGGCTGCGTGGGGAAAAGGGCACAGGGCCTGCCAAGTTCAACGTGCCTCACAGCGTCACCGTGGATTCCTCTGGTCGGGTAAGAGCGCCACGTCCACGTGTCCGGATGTGTCTGCCTGTGTGTGTGTGTGTGTGTGTGTGTGTGTGTGTGTGAGCCTGGGCCTCCGCCTGCGCCCGCGGGTCTTGGGCGCCGGCACATGTCTGACCATCAGGGACGCGCAGGCATGTTGGTGGGCGTGTGTGCCTGGGCGTCTGGACAGCGCCTTGGGGCTGGGGGCACCCCACGAGCCCTCCCCTGGACGCGAGCCCCATGATGAAGGCGGCTCCCAAGCGCTTCCCAGCGGGCGGGAGGGACCCCCTGCTCCCCGGCCTCGGAGACGGAGCACATCCTGGGCTGGGTGAGTCAGGGTCCCCGGAGGGAGAAAGACCAGGCCGTTTTCCCACTAGGGAGCCACTGTGGGTATTCAAATACAGTTTTAATTCTAGAATTAAGCAAAGTTAGTTCTAGAATGTATTGATCAAGAGAGAGAGAAAGGAGGTTCACCTGGGAAGCTCGAATAAACAGACGCGCGGGCAAACGCTGGCCCTCGCCAGCTGCGCCCTGGCCGAGGAGCGCAGAGCCTCCCCCAGCAACCTGCCACGGGTGTTTCTCCGGGCGCGCGCCTCTTCTGCTCTCAGACCCCTGTGAACGTGACCGGTCGGCCCGTGGGCATTGCCGCCCCACAGCCAGGCCCCTTCCCGAACTGCCTCATCGCTTGTTTCTCCGTCTGACCCCCGCCGTAGCCCGTGCCCCGCAGTGACAGGGACTGCGAGAGGCCAGCCCCGTCGTCCCTCAGCAGACAGGCCGGCGAGGCACCCCCGCGCCCCTGCTTTCCGCCTCGGGCCTCGCGCGCGGCGGTCACGTCATGTGCGTTTGCTGAGCGCCTGGGCGTGCAGTGGGTCGGACCGCCTTGTTTTCGGGCCACGGAAACTGAACCCACCGTTCTGGGCTCTGCCAGCAGCTTCCGGAGTTGGGATTTGGCTTCCAGTGTGGACAGAGCGTGAATGTTCTGATCATAATGTTTTCAAACACTTAAACCGTCACAGACAGGAAGGTAGCTGAACGTGTGAGCTTTGTCCGTAAACTGGGAACTAGAGAGCTGAGACCCACTGCCGTCCTCGCGGGGTGCGGGCAAGATCGAGCCTCTGAGCGAGACAGGCTCAGACCCAGGGAGCCCACGCGGTGAGGGGCCCTTCTGCGCGGCCCTGGAGGTCCCTGGCGGAGACGCCGGAATTGCTGAGCCCCAGTCCCAGGGACTAAACTGTGCGTCCTCCTCCCCCCTCGCCAGCCGAAGACGGCAGTCCCCAAACCAGCCGCCTACTCGGCTCAGCAGCCTCTCCCCAGGGGCACAGACAGCTTTGTTTGTGGTTGGACATGAATTCAGTGGCTGCCAGAACTCACACAAGTTGGTGAAGACACAACCAGGTCACCCTGAAAACGCAGCCCACGGATCCACAAACCCAGGAACGCCGGGGGTCCGGGGGCAGAGGCGCAGGTCGGCAGGTCGGCTGCCCTCCGGTCCCTTCCTCCTAGCTCTCCAGAGCCCCTGCCACGTGTTGCTAGGGGTGACCCCACCGTGTGACCGCTGCGGGTTGTGTAGATCAAGTGCAACAGCTCTGGAGGTGTCATTAAAGCACACCTCCTTGCTTTATCACGGCAGTGTCCCTAGTGACTGGCAGCAGCCTCTCGCAAACCTAAGTGGCACCTGCTGTCTGTCGCTATTCACGTGGCGCTCGAGCCTCCCCGGCGCCTGCTCTGCGTGGGCCAGCGCTTCAGATGCACCTCAGCACGGCCAGCACGGGCCACCGCTCCTGCTGAGCGAGCGAGCCCTGGCTCCCACGCCTGAGCGCCCCAGGCCCGCGGCCTTTGACCGCGTTCCGTCGCCTGGCCTGGGAACGGACAGGCCAGTGGGGCTCGGCGACAACATGCATTAGAGGCGTGGGCAGGCCGTTGCCCCAGATCCTCGGCGCTGGGCTCCGCTCATCCGTCATTGTTCCTGCGCGCAGTGGAGCTGACAGGGCGGCCTGGGTTTGGGGTTGAGACCGATGGCCGTGAGCGGGTCTCCCCCTTGCTGTCGGCTCACTCCAGACAGACATCCAATCGTGAAAACGGGGCCTTTAATACGCCTCTTATTTGGAGACCGCTGAGTACGGAATGAGACTGTATGTGAGGTTTATGCAGGTACACGTCCCCCGCCCTCCTCTCCCCGCCTTTTCCTCTCCGCCCGTCACGGCGTAGAGCTGCCCCTGCGAGCACTTGTTCTGGTTCCCCAGGTGTGGGTTGCTGACCGAGGAAACAAAAGAATCCAGGCCTTTGAGAAGGACACCGGGGAGTGGCTGGGAGCCTGGGACGACTGCTTCGCAGAAGAGGGGCCTTCCTCCATCAGGCAAGTGCTGCTTGTTTGTTTGTTTTTAAGACTTTATTTATTCTTAGAGGGGAAGGAAGGCAGAAAGAGAGGAAGAGAGATTTCGTGTGGTTGCCTCTTGTGCGCCCCCTGCTGGGGACCCGGCCCACAACCCAGGCCTGTGCCCTGAGTGGGAATCGAACCGGCGACCCTTTGGTGCGTGGGCCGGCACTCAGTCCGCTGAGCCCCAGCTGCCAGGGCTTGTTATTTTAAAATGCTTCTGTCGTTTGCTTTACAGTAGGTTCCCTGAAGAGCTACCTCAGAGTTTAAAATATTTGTTGTGAGTGTGACGCAGGGAAAGGGGGGGAAACTATGCAGAAAACACGCGCTCGGGTTTCCAGCCCCAGGCAGCTGCGCCTGCAGTGCTCTGTGCGGCCCAGGCCTGCGCCCGGCCTTTTCTAGAGATTTCCCTCAAGATGCAGTTGGGAAACGTTTAAACACAGAAGGAAAACGAAGGTCTCGATTCTGCAGCGTCAGACCCAGCCGATCACGAACTCTTCATCGCCTTCGCTTTGCGCAGAACTGCGACGCTGCTGCTTTCTCATCCGAGTTAGTCTGTGTCTGTGTCTGCTGTCACACATCTCTTGCTCCCACATTGAAAGAATGTCATTAATTAAGATTCTTTCGAAAGGACACTGGCGTGCGTTCTGGCCTTCCCTCAGGGCCCGGCCCGTGCTGGTGGTTGTGGCCCTGCCTGGCCGCGGTCCTCGCCCCAGACCCCCATCTCGGGCACCCCCTCACCCTCTGCGGGGCGATCGCAGCCTGGACAGGGGCTTGCCAGCCCCTCTGCCGCCGAGTCCCCACTGTTGATCCCCCCAGTAGAACACGAAGGCGGGAGAGGCGGGATTGGGGCTCCTTGTCCGCAGCGGCGTTCTCGGTGCCTGAACAGGGCGGGCTGCGAGGAGGATGCATGGATGAACCAGTCTGGTACGTAAGCTCACGCGTGAAGTACTGCGTGGAAGCTTTTTCCTTTGTTGCTCTTTGTGTGTGTGCGCGCGCGTTACTGTATGACTATATTAGGCACAGATAAAAACCAACCCAGCACACTACAAATCTAGAAAATGTGCTGCCAATCATTGATCAGCCAGAAGGGCTCATAAAACAGCTTTGGAGGGAGAAAAACCTTCCGCAGGTAGGTGCCTACTGCTGCTGCGCACGGGCGGGGGGACTGACCGGCGCGAAGTGAATGCGCGATGCGTCCACGAACGGTGACGAGCCGCGCCCTCCGCAGGTTCACCCCGGACGGGCAGCACGCGGTGGTGGCCCAGCTGAACCTGAGCAGGCTGCTCCTCATGGCCGCGCCCCCCGGGGGCCGCATCGGCTCCTGCTCCGTGCGGCGCGCCGTCCAGCTGGCTGACCAGGTCTCGCCCCACCTCGTGGACGTCAGCGGGCGGACTGGGGCCATCTACGTGGCAGAGATTGGAGCAAAACAAGTACAGAAGTACGTCCCTTGGAGGAGCTCTTTCCCGCCCTTCCATTTATGACGCCGCTTGGCCCGGAGCCCCTTCAGGTGAAAGTTCAGACTCTGCACATTGCTGTTAAGTGCCTGAGAATAACGTTCAAGTGCAATTCATTTCTTTATTTTTTTTTACCTGATCTGGTGTCAGAAAACTTGTTTCAATGTCACGAAGAATTGTATTGCGTTGCCGTTGTCGTGACTTAATTTTGCATGTAAATGCACAAGGATGTTTTGCTGAAACATGCTGTAACTAAAAAACAGGTCAGAGAGAGGGAGTAAGGCTGTAACCCCGTTATTTGTCCTGGTAAACTGTTCCTGGGGCCGGGGGAAGAAACAGGAATCAAAGTGGGTTTTTAGGATAACTTACTGAATTTTACGCGGAGAACCACAGACCACCGGCTGACTCACGTCACGTCAGATGGCCCGAGGGATGGGGCCCGCGGGCGCTGGCCCAGCCGCTGCGGAAATGGCGAGGCAGGGTCATCCGGGTCCCGTCGGGCAGCCCACGGACGCACAGGACAGCCGTTCACGCGTGCGGTGGGGCTGGGGGAGGTGCCCGCCCTGGCGGTCGGGGACCCAGAGACTTCACGGTGGGGGGGGCCCGCCGGAGCTGCACCTTGAAAAGCCGGGGCGGAGAGGAACCTCCCAGCCCAGGCAGACAAGTGACCAAGCGTCACAGGCGGGCCGTGAGCTCGGGGGCTGCTTTGAAAAAGCCCTGCTTGGCTTTGGCCCTTCGGTTGTGAGATGCAAAGGCGTTTTTGCAGACGGGGCTCCCCTCAGTGCCCCCCTTTCTCCTCAGCCTGCGTTCAGTGTTCCCAGTGTCTGTCCACCTCATGCAGGCCCAGGATGACCGCACGGGGCGCCGGCCGAACGGAGCGCGTGAAGGGACTCGCTCCCCGCCTTTCTGTCTCCGCGCCTCTTGTTGGCACTGGGGTGAGGACAGCAGCTCTCCAGTGAGGACTGTTTTGCAGTTTCCTAGTTCCTCTGAGATGCGGGTGGACCCTTCGCCGGTTCCCGCCTCCCGGATCACGCTCCCCCGGCCCCCTGCCTTCCTCTTCCTCCCAGCGCATCCCAGCGGTGGGCCAGTGCAAGGCGTGAGTGGACCCTCTGTCCCTCCGCACGCCACCTGCCGTGCGGCCTCGCGGGTTTCGGGTGCTGGGCTCCCGTCTTCGTGCTCAGGAGGGCGAGTCTCCCAACAGGAAGCCGCCTCCGGGGGCGCAGGGCCCAGGCACACGTGGTTGCACCCGGATGGGCTGCGTGGTCTCAGACCGAGCAGCCTCGGTCCCCGCCCAGACAGGAGGATCACTCTCCCCCGCAGGGCGGCCGGGGGGGGGGGGGGGGGGGCTTCCATCTGCGTCTGCAGCGGCGCCAGGGCCTCAGAAGCATCTCACGGTCCGAGGGGCTTCTCCGCTTCCCTTTACCTGATGCTGCGCCTTCGCCTGGATCTCACGCTTGTTTCAGAACGTATCTTTGTAGAGGTTACGGGGTTTAACCAATACCGGAGCTGTGTTACTTGTTCTGCGTCTTCACCAGGACAGGGAGTGCGAAATGTCTCTTCCGAAAGAACGCCGCTTAGGGAGATGGACGCTGTCACTTCAAAAATGTTTCATTTAATTTTGCTTCGTTTTCTGTTATATCTTGTATAATGTTGAAAATATTCTCCCATCTTGCTAAGAACATTTTATCATTCCAGGGATCATGTTTTCCAATGTTTTTCCTTTGGATTAATTGTTTAAATGGATGAGAAATGTATTTTCTATTAAAATATATTAAAATTTTGGAAGGTAAAGGCAGTGTTATCTGGCTCTCCAATTATAGTTTGACTTTATTGTTAGAAGAGCAGTTTGTAACTTCTCATTTCATTGAAGAAATCCAACAATCATGAAATCACAGGTCGATGCTGAGTTTTTCTCCCAATACTGTGCTGTTTTGATTACCGTAGCTCTGTTGTGTAATTTAAAGCCAGGTACGGTGATGCCTCCAGCTTCCCTCTTCCCTCAGGGTTGCTCTGGCTCTTCGGGGTCATCTGTGGTTCTACGCAAATCTAATGATTTTTTGTTCTGGTCCTTTTAATAAATGCCATTGGAATTTGATGGGGATTGAATGATGTTTGTGTATCACTTTGATTGCTATAACCATTTTAGAGCTGTGTTCATTCTTCCAACTCATGCACATGGAGTGTTTTTTCCATTTCATTGTGTCTTTTTCAATCTCTTAATAATACTTTGTAGTTTTCAATATATAAGTTCTTCACATCCATCATTAGGTTTATTCCTAGGTTATAGTTTCTTAAGAAATTTTTTCAGAGATGAAAATGTTTTTGCCTCACTGATTTTGTTTTAGAAACTAATTTTTTTTTATAACTCATATTTAAAAATCTTGGAGGCCTCAGAAATGAGTAAATGGATCCCGAGACCTAAAAGTCTCGGCGCCACTTGTGTACATACTGCCCTTTTGTGTAAGAAAGGGAAGAGAAACGTCTTCGCGAGGTTACGTATGCGTGAAGCAAGTCAAAGGATAAACAAACCAGTACCGTGTTATTTTTGAGCTATGCAAAACCGCTCAGAAAATTAGGAAGGAAAAAGAGCTGGAGGCGGTGGCGGCCTGGCGGCAGCCGGGCACAAACTTACAGGGAACAGGGACACAGCCTGCGCGCCTGCCTGCCCCGCCCCCGCCCCCGCCCCCAAGGAGCCGTGGCAGGCCAAGCGCGCGCAGCCGGGGAGCCTTCTCTCTCTGAAGTGCTGGCAGCCACGTGGACCTGGTGGAGGACGAGACACGCTCAGTCTTCTGTTGTCTTAGAAGCGTGACTACACGTGCCACCCGTGTGTTCCTGTGGAAATTATGTTCTCGTGTGCACCGGGCACGGGGAAATGTTTTAGTACTAACAGGTACAAGCTCATTCCACTTACGCCCTGCGAGCTGCTGAGCGAAGATCGCCGCTCCTGGGGCTCAGGTTCACCCGGCGCAGCCTGGCCGCCGCCGGCCTCGGACACCGTGAGGGCTCATCCAGTTGCCGCCTTCCAGGGGACAGCGCGTTCCCCGGCACCCGAGGCAGGCTCCGAAAACGGCGCTCTTGTCCGCGATGCAGCGGAAAAAGCGGGCGGTGGTGTGGCTACGGAAGTTTAAAAAATCGACTGGTGGTTGAGTGTTGGGTTGGGAGGGGGAGAAATGGTGAAGAGTTTTGTTTTTTAGTGTCAATAAATTGAATAAAAAAACACGTGCCTTTAAAGGTTAACATCATTTAATGTGTTATTTTCACTTATAAATATACAATTTGCATATACAGGGGAAATAGGTTCCGTGGGTACAACAGAATACTAGAGACAGGGAAGCAATCAATCAACTCGAGAGGAACAGGACAGAACTGCACGCCATGCCTGTGCGCACGTGAACACGGGACGGGAAGGAGGACGACGCGGGACCACAGCCGACGCAGGGCATGACAGCTCGCGTCCCGACCCCAGGGCGCCGCCCCCGCCCGGCCCGGCCACGACGGGCCGACCCGCAGCCACGGGCTCTCCCTGCCCCTGGCTGGAGATGGAGCCCCTGAAGTTACCTCGGCTGAGCAACAGCTGAAACACTCAGACTGATGTGCACAAAGCCAACGGCCCCTCCTTCCGGGCGTGTGTTTCAAGTGCACAAGGAAAGCGAGTCTTGGCCGGAGTGAGTCCCTTCCAGCTGCCCCAGCGTCCAGACCCAGGGTTCCCTAAGCAAAGCACCCGAAAAGGTCGGCGCCCACGGGACACCCTGTCCACCTCTGCCCTGTGTGCATTTCCTGTCAGGATCAAGTCACTAGTGACAATGAATTTGGGGACTCAACTATGGCTGCCCACAGGCTTGTCCCCGCTGGGGCGGGGGGTGGGGACGCACACACATGCCCAGGCTTCGGCCCACAGCACCGTCCCTCCGGTCAGAGGCCAGCCGGGGAACGGCCTGTGCGCCAGCGGCGTTTCACTGCGACATAACACTGCGGTTCTAGGGACTCCCAGTTCAAAATCCACACTCAAAGGCAACATTAAAAACTTCAGTTTCTGTAAGTAAAGCACAGCTTTAATGACGATCATCTGGAAAAGCCACTTGTTGATGATGTGAAGTCACAAACGCGACACCTAACCGTGAAGACCAGCAGTCTGCACATCAGACGTGGCAGTTCTGCACCACATCCGGCCTCAAAGGACGAGAGTCAGTCCCACCTCCCCTTGGGTAGAAACAGGCTCCAGACACCCATGGCAGGGGGTGCACTCCCCCCAAGGTTCGTCTGGCATTGGGGTCAGGGACACTGTTTCCGTGGGCAGCGGAGGCAGCTGGCCGAACAGGAGGAGGGGGCCCCTGAGGCCACGGACCAGGACAGGGTCTGCACCGCTGGGGGTGAGGGGGGGCGCAGGGGGGGTTCGGGGCCTTCAACGCGCTGAACTGCACTTGCGAAGGGACATTTTCAAAGCACGCAGGACAGAAAGGAGGTGGGGAAACAGGAGCTGTAACGATCTACATGCTGAAGAAGTAAAATCGCAGGCCTCCGGGTTCTGCAGAGCCCGCACACAGCTGCAGCTTGGAACTATACTGCTCGTGTCAGGGGTCAACACTGGGCGGGTTTTCCCTTCTTCAAGTTTTAAAGAATAAAGCCCTGAAACTGTGAGGCTCAAGTCAATTCCAAACTGGTTCTGTTTTCCAAAGATGGCTACCAAAACCGCGGGAGGCAGACCAGGCCCAACAAGCTTTGTATTTTCAAAGCGGGGACTGCCCCCCGGGGTAGTCAGCCAGCCTTGCCCGAGGTCTGCAAGCCCCACAGGCCACAAGCTGTCACCCACGGCCTCGGGGACGTCCCCAGGTGGCTCGCCAGCCTGCAGCGCCGGAAGGAACGAGGCCAGTTCTGGTCTGAGGTCTGAAAGTTCGCCCTTCACCCCAAGGAGGCCTAGCTGGTCTTCCCGCCACAGTCTCCCACGTGCTCGCGCCTCTCCGCACGGCCAGCCGGGCACCTGGCGACGACCCCTCGTGCACTCGCCTCCCCCCAGTGCCTTCCAACACGGCCACTCAAGCCCCGTCCTCCAGGGGTTCCCCAAGGAGCCAGCGGAACCGGCTGGTGCCCCCAAAGAGTCTGTGTGTCGGCTGTGGTCTCTGGTCCTTATGCGGACGAGTTATAGTTATGACATCACTACTTTCAAAAGAACGATTAAAGAGACTATTGAGAACATGGATCACACACTGAAACGCCTGCCAGCAACACGGCTGCGCATGGGCAGGGGAGGCCTGCCCGGCAGCTGCAGGGCCTAGAAGACCCAGAACAGGGACCCCAGGGCCATGCCCGTGGCCGCCCCGGCCAGCATGCCCAGCGCCAGGTCGCCGTCACTGCCCGGGCGCCGCTCTCGGACGACGACGTGGTGGGCGGGCTGCTGTCCGTAGAATCCTGGAGAGAGAGAAGCAGGCGCCTGAGCAGTCTGTCCTGTCCCGCAGCCCCGCTCGCCCGACGGGGACCCCTGCTGCGAGCAGCCACGGTCACGGCCCAGGCCTCGGCCGCCTCTGGACAGCGGGGGCGGGTGGGGAGCGGCTGTGGACACTCCCGCTGTCTGCCACCGCCAGCGGCGGGACCGGCCCGGCCCTGTGAGAGCCCCTCGCTGCTGCGCTACCAGAAATCCAGGTGTTCGGCCTCCCTGGGTCCGAGGTCCCAAACACGACCAGAGAGCGGAGCCCTGATGAGGCCGCGACGCCCCACCTCGGTCCCGGCACCGCGCCTATCAGGGCGCCGCTGTGAGCGCGCTCCTCTTCACGAGGAAAGTCAAGGGCAGGATGGCCTCCGACCCCCGGGAGCCCCGCCACAGGCCCGTGGGCAGGACCTCGCTCGTCCCGCCGTCAGGAGCAGCCCGGGCCGACCGCGGCTGGCTCGGGGGCGGGGGTGCCCGGGCTGGAGCTGGACGGCCCCCCAGCCCAGGACACATGAGCAAGACACACAGCCCGTTGGAGGGGAATCTGATTCCATCCGACGACGTCTCCCTGCCGGCCGTGCTCACAGAGACCAACCACCGCCGCTCAACGGCTGTGCCCTCGTCTCAGCAGGCCAGCAGACCGCCCAGCGCGGGCGCAGCGGGCCACCTCCCCGCGGCAGCGCGGACCGGTGCACGGGCCCGGGACCGACTGCAGCCCCATCCACGGGAACGACATGGAGTCCGTGTTTCCCTCAACATCGTCCAGGGGTGCGGCAAGGAGGTGAAACCGAACTGGCCCCCGTGCGGGAACTGCCGAGGCTGCTGACGGACCAGTGACAGTCTCACCGCTGTCCCTGCTCCTGTGCACGGGAAAACCTAAATAACTTCTTAAAGGTGTCAAAAAACACAAAAATGTCTACATCCTTTGACATACTGATTTAGCAGAAATGAAAATGAAAAAAAGAAAAAGAAAAAGAAATGAGCCCCGGCTGGTGCGGCTCAGCAGACTGAGCGCCGGCCTGCAAACCAAAGGGTGGCTGGTTCAATTCCCAGTGCGGGGCAAATGCCTGGGTTGTGGGCCGGGTCCCCACCAGGGGGCGCACGAGGGGCAGCCGCACAGGGATATTCCTTCCTTCCCCTCTCTAAAAATAAAATCTTTTTAAAAAAGGAATGAAAAGCGTGTCCTATGACATTTAACAGAAATAAGAAAGGAAACGACTAGCAACGGGCAAGCCATCCCTACAACAGCAAAAAGGAAAGCAATGAGCAGCCACCACTATATCTAACAAACAATATACTATGAGGATGAGACGTAAAATTCTAAAATGGAAAAAGTAATGTAAGATCATGAATAGGAAAATTTCGTTTTGGATGCGGAAAATAACTCAAATACAAATGGCTGTCCTAGGCCCAGCCAATGCACAAACACTGCGCTTTTTCGCGTCACTATTTTACTGGCTTTCAGTTTGACAGGAACACGTCGGAAAAGGGAGACTCCCACCCCCGCACCGCCCGCCGCCTGGGCCGCGCGGAATTTCAGGAGCAGGTGCGGAGAGGGGCCGCCAAGTTAGACGCCGAGGCACCAGAAGCCCGGCCCCCGACGCGGGGGCAGGGCGGCCCCGGCCCCACCGCCCCAGCTCGGCTCGCGGCCCTCGGAGGCCGGTCTCTCCCCAGGCTCTGGGACCCCGTCCCCACCCGGACCCCACACGCCCCTGCGGACCGCGCCACCGCACCCAGGGCGCACCCACGCTGTACTCGGTGTCACCCCCGTGGGCCTCCACACACGGCCACAGAGGAGCAGGGAGACGCCCATCCGAAGCCCCCAGGACGGTCGGCCCTGCGGGGCCTCCGCTGCCCTTGCAAAGCGGATCATCGCCTCAGGAGGGGCCCGTTTTGAGGGAGGTTATCAGCAGGCAAAAAAAAAAAAAAAAAAAAAAAAAAAAGGGAGAACGCACGCCTCTCACCCCTAAAACGGGCCTCTGAGTTGAGTCGCGTCTTAACGGACGCCCATCCCAGTAACAACCCGGCCGGGAGGCTGCGCCAGCCACGCCCGGCGCGCCAGCGGGCAAAGCGGTGGGACCCCGCCCAGCGCTCCACGGGGAAAGCCCAGCGCAGAGGGCCTCGCGGTCCAGCACCCGCGACCCAGCCGCGACCCTCCCACCGAGAGGCGCGTCCCCCTCGGCGCGGCGCGCAGGGCGCCCGACTCACCTGCGGCGGGGAACTGGCAGGGGACGGCGTAGGCCTGCCCGTTGGCCGCGTAGACGATCTGCGGGCCCGGCGCGAACGCCGCGCTGTAGGGGCCGTAGCCATAGGCCTGCGGAGAGAGGCGGGCCTCAGAGGCGGCCGGCGGCCGGCTCCGCTCGGAGACACGGCCCCGGGCGCGCCGGGCGCCAAGGGACCGAACCCCCACGTGGCGACGTCCACGCGTGTCAGGCCACGGCTGCCGTCTGGCTCCGAGGTGGAAGCTAAAAGCTTTTCCCCCAAGAACAAAAATCAAAGACGCCCGCTCTCGCCACTCTTACTGTGTCACGACGACAGAGCTGGGCGCACGTGCACGAGCTCCCCCCACCGGAGCGACCGCGGCCCCCCTTGTGAACCTCTGATAACTTCAGAATTAAGTATCAAACGCGCGCGGCGGCGCCCACCACAGCAGCTTCTCCACGTCCAACCGAACACCCGGCCAGCATCTCTGCCCACAGCACACGCCGCGGTCTTTGGTATTGGGCATGCGATTTTTCTAAGGGTTACTTTCTTTTTTAAAAGCAGTTTTCTTATGGTTAGACACAGAATGTAAGCAATTCGTGAAGTATAAACTCTAAGCCGTAGGAGCCGCGCTGCCAGCACGGCCGCCACTGCGACGGCTCAGGTCGGGGCCTGCCCTAGAGACGAGCTGTGAGCGCGAAGGTCACAGGGCGCTCGCTCTATTTTATGACAGCAAATGGCGAGAATTTGTTTAAAGAGAAGCGTTCGGAATGTATTTCTCATTTCTCGGATACCAGCTCCAGTTTTGCTTGTCTTTTTAAAGAGACAGGTGAGTGGCACCGGGACCCCGGCCGTGGTGTCCTGTGCCCTGCGGCGCGGGGAAGCGCTCCCTACCTCGGGCTCTGGGGCGGCGTAGGCCGTGTACGGAGGCGGGGCGGCCACGGCCGGGCCCTCATAGGCGACCTCGGAGCCGACGTAAGCCTGTGGGGAGAGAGAGGGAAGCCAGCGAGCCGCCACGGAGCGGCCACAGCGGCGCTCATGACAGTACACACATGTCCTTCTCATTTAGAAAAGTCCTTTAAAACAAAAATGTTCCCTTTGAACAGCAGAACAGCTGGGAGGCACTGAATGGCAGCGGAGGGCCCCGTCCCCCGCCCCGGGCCCCATGGCACCCAGGCCCGTGGGGAGGGCACCCACTCCTCCGTCTGGCCGTTCGCCACCAAAGGCCCCCTAGTCTGAAACGGAGCGGCCATACACTCTGCTCACAGCATGTTTCTTGCATTTTTTAAAAAAAAAATCCTTCTTTTAAATTACTCCCCAGTGGAAAAGAAAAATGTGATTTAAAAAAAAAAGAAAAAGGCCCCCCTGTAGAGAACGACCCTGCCCCGAGGTTTGGGGGTTATCAGCGCGCACAGCTTCATCCGAGGAGAGGACGTGCGTGGAGGGAAACGTAACTGCAGGCGCGCAGCAAGCCCGCGGCCCACGGGGGGGACAGGGCCCCCGCGCAGTGAGCCCCACCGGCACCTGTCCCGTCACACACGCCGCTGCCCCTTCCGCTCCCCCGCCCCAGGGAAAAAGGGGGCACCCATCCGAAGGAGCCGCCGCCGCAGGCCAAGGGAGCCGTGACGCCCCACCCCGCCCCGTCACCAGCGGCGCTGGTGGCGGCAGGGGCCTCCGAGGCCAGAGGCAGGGCTGGAGACAGGACCGGGAGGGGGCGCAGCCAAACGGTCAGAGCCGCCTCTGCCGCCTCTGCGAGAAACGCACGTTTCTGGAAGGCCACCCTGGAACCGGCCCCTCTGCCCCCCACCCGCAGGTCCAGCTCGCTCCAGCCCACCAGGGGCGCCCCCCAGCTCCGCCTGCCCCCCCCTCCGCCCCACTCCCTCTGTCCTGTGTCCCAGGGAGTCCAGGGGACACGTCCCTGCTGGCTGCCCCAGGCTGGCACTCACTGTGTTTGTCCTGCAGTCCTGGAGCGTGAACTTCCAGGCCCTGGAGGGGAGAGAGGGGCTGCATCACCGGAGGCGGCAGCGCGGGGCTCAGGGCCCTCCCACCGGCCAGGGCCCGAGGCGGCCTGTCCCAGGAGCGGCCGCACGGCCCGGCCACCGACCCACAAGGCCACTCATTTGATAAGTGCAGTAAAAATACATCACGTGTGAAAAACACGCCTGTCATATGTACCATGTCTGACAATTCACACACGCTCCACACTGCCGCTTGTGGTCTGCCTTCCAGCAACTGTGAACCACCAGCTGAACCGCACGGCGCCCTGCTCCACCTGCTGCGCGGCGCCACGACGCGCCGTGACCGGGGGCAGCAGTGTTTCGCAATGAAGCCTAAGGCTGGCATTTTTCTGCCAGCCTCGGAAGCTGCCATGCATGTGTGCCTAAGGCACACAAATCCTGTGACACACGTGTGGTAAAACCATCACCACGGCACGTGCACGCCTGTCCCCGCCCACGGTCGCCCTCCACCTCCTCCGGTGACGATGCCTGAGCTCTGCTCCCGCGACCCCGGCGTGCGCTGCACTGTTCACCGAGCGTCAGGAGCCCAGAGGCTCCCTCGCCTCCGAGCTGTGAGCTCGCACCCGAGATCAGTGCCTCCTGCCCCCAGCATTCCGCTCTGTCCTACACCGGCTGCTTCCTGGGTTCCACCTTTCCGGAAAGTACACGGGGCTTGTCTTTCTCTGGCTTCCTCCACGGAGGTCCCTGTGTTGGCGCGAAGAGCAGGCTCCCTTCCCACCGCGGGCACGCAGCGACCTGCCGCCACCCGCTCGTCGCCTCCTGCAGACCCAGGCTCGCTGCCTCGTCGTGGGTGCCCGGCCAGGCTGCGCGGAGCACAGTGGGGGCAGGGCCGGGCCCTCTGCTGCCACCTCACCTCCCTGACACGCGCGCAGCCGCGGGGCTGCAGAGCCAGGCATGGCCCCGTGTCTCGTCTTCCGCGAGGAGCCACCACGGTGGGTCTGCGGTGACTAGTCCGCTTGTGTGCCCACAGGACCGTGCACGGGGTGGGTGGGGGGCTCCCTCCGCCCAACGTCCCCAGGGAAACTTATCCTTGGTCTCTCGGACGCAGCCGTCCTAAGAGGTGCAAGGCGACTGCGGCTTTGACTTGCATTTCTCTGACGGTGAGTGATGTCGAGCACCTTTCCATCCACCTGTTGGCTTCTGAAAACTGTCTTCTCAAGCCCTGGCAGGCAGCCCGGTGGGGCGGGGTACTGTCCTGTGCACCCAGAGGCTGCTGGCTCGGCCCCCGGTCAGGGCACGTAAGGGGCGGCCAGCTGCTGTTTCTCTCTCACACTGGTATTTGTCTCCCTCCCATTCCTCTCTCTAAAATCAATACACCAACCTCAAGTGAGGGGTCAAAGGACTGTCCACTCAAGTCCCTTTCACGCCTTTGCGCCGCACTGCCTTCTCTGCCACGGAGCTGCACAAGCTCCCCGCGTGCCTGGGCATCGGCCCCTTGCCGCGCGGCCGGGGCCGGCCTCTCCCCTCCGCAGGCCACCCTCTCGCCGCGGCGGCGGCTCCCGCGCTGTGCGGGCGCTTTTCGGTTCCACGTGGCCCTGCTCTCCCACCACAGCTTCCGTTGCCGGTGCTTTTGGTGCCACCCCCGAACAGCATTGCCGAGCTCCAGGACAAAAGCCCTGCGTCCTGCGGCGCCTCCCTGTCGCGCTGCAGTTCAGGGCGCCCCCCCCCCCCGCGACAGGGCTGTCCTGCCCCCGCCCCGAGCGTCCCCGGCCCCCCCGTGAGATGCCCGCTGCCCGCACCTGCAGGGGGGCTTCCAGGCCCTGGGCTCTGTCCCTGGGCCGGTGGGCCTGTTTTTACGCCAGCGCCACACCGTTTTGATTACTACGGCCTCAGGATACATTCTGAGATCAGGGAGTGTGATTTCTGGCCTTGTTCTCCTCTCTCAATGCTGCTTGGGCTGTTCGGACTGCTTCGGGGTTCCACACAAATTTTAGAATTGTTTTTCTATTCCTGTAAGAAATGCCCCACCTTCTACTAAAACATTTGTATTCACGTTGTATTTTCATAAAACCCAGCAGGCTGACGGGTCGGAGCGCCTGCCCCGCGTTCACATGTACAGGGCAGGGCGCAAAGCAGGTGTGCAGCCATTCGTGTGGAAAACACCATCACTAATAAACAACATAGGAATAAACTCCGTGTTTCAGGCACTCACAACTGCCAGCCTCCTTTGCCTCGCCCTGTACACGTGAATATTGTAACCACCTCTGTTAATGCATCATTGTGATGTTCCACATTAACGCGTGCAGCGCTGCTGAGTGGACCAGAAAAAAGAAGAAACCCCCCCTTCCCAAGTGCCATTTGCTGGGTGCGTTCCAGATTCTGGCCGCACACCAGCGCCCCCGAGGACAGGCTCCTTGCAGCTCCTGAGCCTCGTTCAGAGACGGGACGGGCGTGAGAGCCGAGAGGAGGGCCGGCCGGCATCACACAGATGTCAGGGCTCCTGAAAAAGGCACCTCCGTAAAAAGTACGAGGCTTAACCCGTTCAGTTATGCCCATCACCGGTGTGCACCCCGCGAGGGAAAAGGAGAGCCCGCGGGGATGCTGTGCCACACTGCACGGCCGCCACCCAGGCCGGACACAGGCACAGGGCGCAGGCACGCGGGGCGGCCACCGGGGGCAGCAGGGCCCACACGCCGCCCCCCACGCCCTCGGAGACCCCCAATCGGCAGCCAAGGAAAGCCCCACTCCCGTTCTCTCCCCTTCCTGGCAACTGGAAATTAAAACAAAATACTTTTTAAGAGTAAACACTTTCTAAGAAACAAAACTTACAAGCAGTCATCTGGGCTTTCTGCGCAAAGACTGATGGTCTTCCCGTCTCGGCAAACAATCTGCAACATACAGTCTTTCGGCTTCCCATCTGGAGGCTGAATATCTATGAGAAATAAGCACAACAGTAGAATAAAGGAACACACACACACACCCCCACCCACCCCCCACCCCCCACCATCCCTTGAAGGATTTCTTCTTATCTAACAGCTCAGACAGACAAAGCACCAGTACTTCCCAGCACGTCACGTGCGGAACAGCTCTGCGCTAACCCACCGCCCGCGGGAGGAACTAGCCTTGAGTAGGGGGCACCCACACGCAGACACAGAGAATGGCCCGGACGTTAGAAAAATAAGCCCCACACAATTAAAACTATTACAAAGCGTACGACAGCAACACTTGCTGACTTCATACACAGGAAGCATCAGACTAGACCCCCGCTCCGCTCCGAAGGTGAGACCGGGCCTCTAGTGCCTCTGTGCGCGCTCTCGGAGCCCCGGGCGCCTGTGTGTGACGGCCGGCGGGGGGTCAGAGGCCAGTGCTCCCTGCGGCAAACTCCACTCCGAAGGGCCACGCGCCGACAGCAGGGCTGTCTGCCCGCGCCGTCCGCCAGAGGCAGAAAGCTCTGCGCCTGCTACCAATCAAACCCTTTAAACGGGGAGGAAGGGCTAAGTCCAGGAACCCAAGGCATCAGACTTGAAGATGCCGGCTCCGGGTCACACACCGGCCCCGCCTAGGGCGGCCCGTTTCCTGCGGTCCCAACGCCCAGGTCCCTGAAATCTCCACCACCTCCTCCACGAGAGGGGAAGGAGCGTGGGCTCGTGGGTCTAACTCGGAGGAAGAATGAATGCGTTCCAACCACCGGGCCGACTGCGGCCACCTCCCCTCAGGGAAGCGCCCCGGGGCCTGTGAGCAAACGCAGGGGGTCAGGAAGGACTCAAGGCCACAGAGAGCGGCGAGGAGGGAGCGGCGGGAGCCGACCGCGGCAGGCGCTCACCCCGGCACTGCAGCCCCGAGCGCAGGTTGATGCAGTCCACCGGCACGTGCACCTTGTCCTCCACGCTCTGCCGGGTCTGGTCGTCGTAATAGATCAGGTGACCGTCGGACCAGAGGTCGAACCAGTTCTTCTTCCAGCGCTTCAGAATGGTGCCTGGGACACAGCGGGGAAGGCTGGCTGTGAGCTCAGCGCGGGAGCAGCAACGAAGGGAGCCGCCCTGGGCTCGCCAGGCCCCTGCACCCGTCCGAGCCCATCCCAGCTCCCGGGGCTGCCGGCGGCATGCGGACAGGACCGGAGAGCACCGCCCGCTCCAAGTTCCCCAGTGGTTTTTAACCTTCTCGGGGTGACACAGGTTAATAAAGTCACACAGGTTTCAGGCGCACAGTTCCATGGAAGGTCATCTGCACGCAGAGATTGGCCAGAGTAGGTTTACAGCTGCGAGTACACGAAGCAGAGGCCGCTCCCGGATTACTGTTGTTACTGCATTGTTCCCCATACAAACAACGGTGAACCTCCTTCCGCCCCAGCTGCGTGCACTGTGCGCCCACCGCCCAAAGCCAACTCTTCCGTCGCCGGGTATTCGACCCCTTTGGTCTTTACGACCCCCGCCCCCTTCCCTCTGGTCACCACCACGGTGTTGTCTGTGTCCATGAGTTTTTGTTTTCCTGGCTTGTTCATTTGTTGCTTTGTTTTATATCCCACAGATGAGTGAAATCACATGATTCTTAACCTTTTCTGTCTGACTTACGTCACTTCGCATGATATTCTCAAGGTGCACGTCTGTCGTTACAAACGGCAGTAGTTACTCTCTCTGTGGCTGCGCGGCGTTCCGTTGTCTGCATGCACCGCATCTCTATCCAACCCTCTACCCAAGCCGTTTCCCTGCCTTGGCCGCCGCGGACACCGCTCATCGGCCCGCCGAGAGCGGCGGCCGAGCCTCGGCGGCCAGCAGGGTCGGGGCGAGGGTCGGGGCGAAGCCCGCCGCGAGCGCAGAGGCCGCAGGGGAGGCCGCCGGGGAGGCCGCCGCCCGACCACCCACGGGCGCTCCACCTGTGCTGAGACGGCCGGGGATCCCTGGGAATCCCGGCAGGAAACCAGGGTGGCGGCAGCGACCGGCTTTCCCCCGTTTTGCTTTCACACAGACAGCGCCCAGGCCGCGCCCGCCCCGCCCCGGGCCCAGCCGTACTCACTCTGCCGCAGCAGCCACCCGCTCTTGACGCAGGCCATCGCGCACGCGCACGCGCACCTGGGGGAGAAGCCAGCAGCGTCAGAACCGCTCCACGCAGTCCGACACCCCGTGGGCGGGGCTTCCCACACCGGTACCCAATCCCCAGCTCCAGGGCCCGACGGGGCGTCTCCCGAATCAACCCAAACCCGACCCGAACCCCCGAGTCGGTCTTGGAGCCCAGGGCCAGCTCCCACCCCCAGCCTCGATGTGCCCCCCACCACAGACGCTCTCGGCCCCTGTCCTGGGGGGCTGTTCAGCAGGTTCCAGGGGTGTTCACTGGTGACGGGCCTCCGTGTCTGTGGAGATCCCGGGAGGGGCACAAGGCGGGCGCCACTGGCGAGCAGCCCGCCCTGCATCCTGGGGCCCCCCTGCCCCGCGCTAGCGCCGGCTTGGCTGTGTCTGAAAGGGGTTCCGTGGGAACAGCGAGGTGTGCCCGGCCCCTTACCTCCCAGGAAGGCCCAGGGTTCTAGGCGTTCACACGTCTCTTATTATATCACAAAATGACAGCCGCGAGCCTGAGTCTCCATCCTCACCCCCTTCAGGGTCAGCGGAGGGAGGGACCGAAGCCACTCCACCTCCCTGGCCACCTGGCATTGACCGAACACCGTTTGTCCTCAGCGGGGCCAGCACAACCCCACCGCGCTCCCACTGGGGGCTCAGGCTCCACCCCGGCGCCCCCGGCAGCCCACGCCCAGCAAGAGTCAGCCCTGCCGGCGAGCGTGGCTGCCCCTGACGTACCCGGCGTCCTGCGCGCTGACGTCCCGCGGCCTCGCTCCTCCCTGGGGCGCCCAGGCGACTCCACACACGCGCAGTCAGGTGCGCGCGTCTGTCCGCAGGTGCCGTTGCCAGGTCAGGGCAGAGCGCCTGAAAATCAGGGAGAAAAGTTCGATAGATTTAACCCTTAAAAATAAAAGCATGAAGAACCAAAAAAAAAAAAAAAAGGTTAAGACCAAGAAAAGGTTAAGAAAGAACGTTTATAGCCACGAGGCTGCCCTGAGTCGACTCCCTTCGCTTACAAAGCTCACAGGGGACAGAAAACGGCAATCGCTCGGCAGCTCAGGAAAACCCGCAGGAACAGGGAAAAAACCCCAGGAAACTCATTTCCCTCAGCTGAACAGGCCAAACACAAAACACCAGCCACTGAGAGTCCCATCAGATCGGCACAAATGAAAAGAGCGGGCGCCCAGAGAGGAGAAGGTGCGACGCCGGGAAGGCAAACCTGCAGGCCCCCGGGAGCGGACGCCACCGGCACCGAAATCCTCCGCGGTCACGCCCTCCGACTCCGCCAACCCCTCGCGCAGGCGCAGAGGCTCCCCAACGCACGCGCGTCGTGGCAGCCACGCCCACTGGCGCGGCTCCCCCGGCTCCAACCGGGGCGCAGGACTGCTGGGGACGCCCGCCCGCGGGCAGGTCCTCGTGCCAACAGGCCGCGGCCCGAGGGGACGGCCGACGCCGCACAGCTGCGTTCTGGAAGGAACCCGAGAAGCTGGCACCCACGCCACGGGTCTACGAGGGCAGCGATGCCGCGACTGTCTCAGAAGACAAGGTGGCGATTCAGTGCTATCACACCCTGCTGCACTATTTAAAAAATTTTAACAATGTGCATGTGTTACATCCTGTTTTTTTGAAATCAACAGATACTAATTGGAGGCTGAGGTACCAGGCCACTTCTGTTTCCTGCTTCGGCATTTTTAGGTATTTTCCCAGGGGAGCTGGGTTCCGGTTGGAAAAACAGAGCAAAAGCCTAAGGGGGCCCCTCACAAGAGCAAGTGGGTCGCCCTCATTTAATTTTTCCCAGGTGGAGGTATGGCTGAATTCTTGCCTGTCTCCAAGCCTTTAGGAAAAGAGCTCCACGGAGCTTTTACTCATCTGAAATTCCAGCCTCTCCAAAGTCTCGCACTCGGAAGGTTCTAACCTCCTTGCGATCCCTGCCGATTCACGCTGTGTGACCTCGCCAACAAAGGAGAGGAGTTTTGCATCCTTCCCCACCTTCCGGCCACACTCTTAGGCTTTTCGGTGCTCACACAGCACGGGGACCGGCACTCAGCCTCTCCCCTTCCCTCCAGGGGATGCAGACGCCGCTCCCCGCTGCCTGCAGCCACTTTGTGATGAGGAGGGAGCAAGGGTGTAGGGCAAGGGGCTGTGAGACAGAAAAGCGAACTCTGTGGAACCACAGACTCAGCCGACCTGTGCAGCAAAATGATTGGTTTTTTCATGATTTAAACTGTGTTGAACTGGTTTCCTACAAACGTGCAGCCTTAAACATCCCAAAATGATCATTTACTTCCAAAATGATTTGAGACGGAGAAATAATACCATTATATTTTCATTCAACAAATACCCTTTGAGCATCTACAACGTGCTCCGCCTTGGAGTGCGACCGGGGACTAGAAGTGACCACGCCAGAACCCCTGCTTTTGCGTAGCTTCCGCTGCAGCCGACGCAGCAAGTTACACTAGAAACTAAGAGGCCGGGCAGTGGAATGTCACAGCTCTCCGGTGATACGTTCCCCCAGAGCAGGAAACTGGAGGTGTTCTGACTAAAACCTCCTCCCTTCATGACGTGAATTCTTAGTCTGTGGTTCACGTGAAAAAGCAAGCAGCTGGGAACAGGCCCAGGTGCTCCCAGCAGGTGCGGGGAGCTCCGCAGACCCGGCACAGACACACTGTCTGCGGCGCGGCCACCCAGCTCTCTGCCAGTGGCCGTGAAGCCCAGTGAACAGTCCAAAAATGTGGAGGAATGGCATGGAGTTTCCTGAATTTCTGCGATGTTTTTTTAAGTCTCTAGCGATGCCTGACGTTAACTTGGTTGTGTGCGCTGTTGCTCCCGAGAGTCGGTCAAAATGTCCGACCAGGTGCACCGAGATCAGGAGCTGCTGGTCCGGGAAGGGCCCAACACACTGGTGTCCCGTGCTCGGCTCCGGTGCTCCCAGGGCCGATACCAGCCTACAAGGCCAGAGCTTCTTAGAAGCAGCAGGGCTCCAGACAAAGCCCGGGATCCCGATTTCCTGTCGTCGGATGATTGGCCGCTGATTGTACGCATCAGCGATCACCATCTGAGGGGAGACAGTGCGCCCGCGTTGGCTTTGGCGTGTCCCTGCGGTGTGGCTGCATCTCCCGCTTTTCAGGCAGCCGGGCTCGAGGATGTCAATGAGAGGAAATGCAGCCGCTGACCTGGACTCGACTTCGGGCCACTGGAGGCCTCGCTGTACAGCAAGTTCCGGGAAAAAATGTTTACAAGTGCGTTTCACTTGAGATAATAGAAAAACGGAGCTGGCTACACACAAAGGAATGAGGGCTTAAGCAGTGAAAACTGTCACAAGATGTCTGGTTCCCCTTTTACTTTACCGATTAGATCACTGACTCATAACCTCAAGGCCTCTTGCAGAATCTTAGTTCCCCAAACCAGCTGATTCAGGTGACCAGTTAGGGATGATCCAGGCAAGACGATGTCAGGAACTCAGTGAGTCAGACGCGAGAACTCAGCTTCACCCCGGTCCCCAAGCTCAGCTTCTGCCTGGAGCGGCCCTCGACTAGGGGGCTCCAGGCACAACAGCCGGGCGCGGGCGCGGCGCACCCCCACCCCCGCCCCGTGACCACATTGAAATTACAGCTGCATCAGAGCGCAGCCACTGAAAAAACCCTCTGAAGTCTGGCTGGACAGGAGTCCGATGCTAAAAATATGCCAAAAAAGCCACTTCCCAGCTGGTAGGAGGGGCAGGGACACAGGATGGGTGAGCCCCACACCCACGCATGCAGCCAAGTTGCAGCTGGCGCCAGAGACACGCAGGACAATGGGGCTGGTGTGGCCTCGGGGCAAGGTTCCCCCCCCCCCTGCCCGGCTCAGCCACCTCCCTCCCCGTGTCAGACCCTCCCCCACAGGCCCCAGGAGGGTGGCAGCCGGCCTCTGCGCACCCTGCGACCTGCTGAGCGGCCTCAGGCCCGCCGGGCGCAGAGTCCAAACCTGCATCGGCCTGTGAGCACCGCCTGCCCCACCCTCGTGGTCGCAGAGACCCCCCTCTCGCACCTGGCCTACCCCCGGAGGCTCTTCCTGAGGCCCTCCCGGCGGCGGCGCCTTACAGGCCTGCGGCTGCGGGTCTCCGGGGCCTCGGGCCTTCAGCTAACCTGCCCCAGGCCCAGTACCGGTGGCAGCCGGCCCGGGTTGGCGGCTTGGCCCCTGCCACACAGCCAGACCCGGCACAGGCCCCAGGCGGGCAGCCCGGGGCGGGACACCGGCCGCGCCTGGCGTGGCCCTGCTCCTCAGTCTCTCCCAAGAGGCCCCAGAACCAACGCGCCGGGGCTGGCTTCCAACCGCGCCAGAGCAGCGCCCAACTCGCTGCGCGAGTGGCATACCCGTAGGGAAGCCCACAGCCCCAGACCCCGCTGTGGGCACGGGCCCCGCACAGCAGCTCCCGCCCTGTGGCCGCAGCCAGTCCCCACGGTCAGCCCGCCTGAGGGCCACCAACGACCAAGGCCCGACTGCCACAGGAGGGCGCACACCACCCACACAGGAGACCCTGCAGGGCCCCAGCTCAAGGGACCGGAGGACTGAACCACGGGGCCCACAGCAGACCCACCGCATACCAAGGCGCCGCCCCCACAAGGCTGGGAGACACCGCAGATCCACATCGTCCGTGGAAACGAACACAGGAGGCCGCCGAGACGGGGAGACAAAGAAACAGGCTCCAAAGGAAAGAACGGGACAAAGCTCCGCACAGAGAACTAAACAGAACAGAGGGAAGCGATCCACCAAATCCAGAGTTCACAGCAACGCCTACAATGATGCGCTCGAGGAACTCAGAACTTCAGCAAAGAGATAGCAACCCTAAAAGGACAGAGATGCCATAAAAGAGAACCAGCCGGAAATGAAAAACACAGTGACTGAAATGGCGAATAAGCTAGGAGGAATCAGCAGAGTATTGGATGAAGCAAAGCATCAAACCAATGATTTGGAACACACGGTAGTTGAAAGCACCCAATCAGAGCAGCAAAGAGAAAAAGGAATTTAAAAAGTGGGGATAGTTTAAGGGACCACTGGACCCACATCAAGCATAACAACAACTGCATCTTGGAGGCACCAGGGGGAGAAGAGAGAAGGCAAAAGACTGAGAACCCATTTGAAGAAATAATGACTGGAAACTTCCCTCACCTGGTGAAGGCAAACGGCACACAGGCCCAGGAAGCACAGAGTCTGGAACAAGAGGAACCCAAGGAGGCCCGCAGCAAGGCCCATCATAATTAAAGTGCCGAAAGTTAAAGGTAAAGAGAGAATCTTCAGAGCAGCAGGAGAAAAGCAGAGAGTTCCCTACCGGGCAGCCCCCATACAACGGTCAGCTGATGCCTCTGAAGAAACTTCGCAGGCCAGAAGGGCTGGCTCACCACAGTCAGTCACGAAAGCGGGGCCCTCGGGCCAAGACGGGTCCACCGTCCCGGCTCCCGTGCAGAACCGAAGGGGAGCTAAGGGCTTGCCAAGCGAGAAAGAGCTAAAGGAGTTCACCACCACCGAATATGAAAAATGTTAAAGGGACTTCTTTACGAAGATGGAAAAAATAAAGGGAACATAAATATGAATAACACAATGGCAATGATACATATCTATCAATAGTCATTTAAATGTAAATAGATTAAATGCTCCAAGCAAAAGACATAGGCTAGCTGAATGGATAAAAAACAAGACACATACACATGCTGCCCACAAGGGACCCCCTTCAGATCCAAAGACACACACAGACTGAAAGTAAAGGGATGGAAAAGATATTTCAAGCAGATAGGAAAAAAAAGCTGGAGAAGCTATACTAATATCAAACAAGACAGGCTTTCAAACAAAGGCTTTAAGAGACATTGATTTGGTAATAATAAAAGGATCACTCCAACAGGAGAATATACCCTTTAAATAGTTATATAGCCAAGTAACATAAGGAAATAAAGATCTTAAACAGATAGAATCTAAAAAATATATAAAAGATCAGTGAAGCCAAGAGTTGGTTCTTTGAAAAGGCCACCAAAATTGATAATCCTTTAACCGGACTCATCTGAAAAAGAGAGAGAGGACCCAAATTTTAAAAAAAATCAGAAATGAAAGAGAAGTGACAACTGACACCACAGAAGCACAAGGGATTGTAAGAAAATGCTACAATTACACGCCAGCAAACTGGACAACCTAAAAGAAAGGGATAAATTCCAAGAAACACAATCTTCGAAAACCGAATCAAGAAGAAAGAAAATCTGAGTAGACGATTCTAACTAACGAAATCAAAGCAGTAATCAAAAACTCCCAGCAACTTCACTAATCAGCCGGGAAAGGCAAATTAAAACCACAATGAGGTATCACAGCACCTCCCGCCTGCCAGAATCGCTATCAATAAATCAAGCGCTGGCAAGGACGTGGAGAAAGGGAGCCGCGGCGCGCTGTAGTTGAGAACGCGGACGGGTGCGGCCACTGGGGAAGGCAGCGTGGAGGGTCCTCACAAAATTAAACATGGGTCTGCCTTCGGACCCTGCGATTCCACTTCTGGGAATCTATCCAAAGAAACCCAAAACACTAATTCAAAAGATTAAATGCACCCCTGTGGTCGCTGCAACGTTTACAGTAGCCAAGACATAGAAGTAATCCAAGTGCTCACGGACACACAAGTTGATAAAGAAGAGACAGTATGTATTGGGTTGGAATTTTCCTCCTCGAAATCCAAGCGCCCTCCCTCGCGCAGTGGCCAAGCAGATTCTCAGGGCCCAGGAGTAAAAGGCGCTTGGAATTAACCATCTTCCCCTAGATTTTTTAAAATTGAACGTATGGGGGGGGGGTGAGGCCTTAGTTAATAAAACTATCTAGGTTTCAGGTGTACAATTCTACAATACATCATTTGCGTATTGTATGATCCTCCCAACTTAACTCTTTCCTCCACCCACCTTGAAAAACTGGAACTTTTATTATTTGCTCACTTATGAAGCCTCCTCTATGTAAATTACTCTACCTTTGAGATTAAAATAAAAATAAAAATAAAAACTGCTGTGCCAACGCGAAAGAAAAATCCCTGACCTCCTCCGGAGTTCCCAACCTCGTCGGTGAGAGACTGAAAGGCGGAAAAAAAGATTCTCTCGAAATGATGTGCAATCGCGCACCTAAAGCTACGAATACTGCAAAACCGAGCGCGCGGAAGACGGCGCGGAGGGCGGCAGGCCCGCCAGCGAACGCCAGCTGCCCCGCCGACCGGCGGAAAGACAGTGAGGCGGTGCCCCCGCTCGCCGACCCTCCCCTGGGGACCCGGACCCGGGAAACGGCGGCCGCCCGGCAGCCCCTGCGAGGCGGGGGCGCGGGGACCAGCTGCTCGGGGAGCAGGGCCGGAGGGGTGGGGATGGGGACAGGGCGCGGGCCGGACCCCTCCGATGGGGCGCGGGGGAGCGGCAGAGCCCACGGCAGTCCGGGACTGCCCAGACCCGACGGGGCTTTTACCTGCGAATATCCCGGCGGCCGCCGTCGCACTCCAAGCAGATGAGCGCAAGGTCGCCAGGGAAACCCACGGCCCGGCCCGCTGCGCGCCTGCGCTCTGACCGCCCTCCCGCGCCCCCACCCGACCTCCTCGCCAGGGGTACGCATGCGCACTCCCGGCCCGCGCACGCAGGCTTGGACCCGCGGCTGTGCCCGGGCGAGCCTGGGGTTTCCGAAGGAGGAGCCGAGGGGCGGGGTCTGCGCATCTTCAGCCCTGCTCCAGTGCACGCTGAATTTTCAGCCAAAGAGGGGTCGTCTGCGTCCTTCCTTCGAAAGCCCGTCCCCGATCCGGGCTCCTCACGCACTCGAACTGGAGCAGGGATACACAGAAGCTGAGCCTGGGGCCCCCGTCGCGACGGAAGCAAGGAATGCTCAAAAAAATAAAGGTGGGGAGGCCCAGGAAAGGACGCGCCCGTGAATCTGAAAGCTCCCCGGGGCCAAATTTGGAACAATCGGCGCAACAAAATAAAATACGTAGTATTAGATTCAACTTAGAGTATAAACTAAATGTATTAGAGTTCATTCTGCTCTAATAAGTGATTAAATGAATTAATGGTAAGAAGAGGTACATCTTCCTTACAGAATTCTAATTACTCATACACCATTTAGAGAGGGTGTTAATCCCTGACCCGATCCGCCCCACCCCCACCCCCATGTATGCTGTGCAAGCGACATCCTCCCAAAGAGGACATTCTGAGAAGGGGAAAAATAGCTTTGTCGCAGGTGAGCACGGGTAACCAGGTTCTTGGTGATCGCGTGCAATGAATTGAAGCGAACACACAGTTTATAGCAAAGAGCTCCGAAGCAGATTTATTAAGCAATAATATACACCACAGAACACGGCAGCCAGCCAACTCCGAGCAGAGATTGACCCTCAGTGGCCCGAGGGATTCTATTCTTACAGGACGGATATTTCCTGGCTAGTGTTGGTGGGCTTTTATTGCACATGGACAAACAGTTACATTACTTTTAAGCTACTGTGCATGCGGTCTCCCATGATTTTCCTTGATTGCCCACCAGGGGAGAGGGTTCCCATAATGCTAATTTATTATAACGCTATTATAATGAAGCTGGGGTCAGTAGCATCTTCTGCGCCGGTGCCGCATGATTCACCATGATTCAGCGCTTTTCCAGAAAGCAGGGAGAGCCGGTCTTAGAACAGGGCCTCTGTCCTGTATTGATGCCCCTTGTTCTAGTCCAGGGGAGCCTCTGGAATTTTCTCACTCCTGACTATCTCCTGCCTCAGTCACGCGTCTGGCAAACCGAAGGGTCAGGGCACCTACCGGGAGGCAACGCGTCGAGGATTCTCTCTCATTCTTCTCTCTCTCCTTCTCCCTCTCTCCCTCCCGCCATGTATATATACAGGGAATATATGGAATAATTGTATATATATGAAATTATATATGAAATAATTCCCAGAGGTGCAGGAAAAGGAGAAACTTCATGCAGGTGAATAGTTTGCAAAACGGGGAAACACAGTTTCAGCTGGAAACCAAAAGTGTGTTTTAACCAAAACAATCCTTTCCCGAAGACAGGTTAACTGATTTTAGAGAGCAAGGGGGGGAGCACATCTGTGTGAGGCAGGAACACCAATTGGTTGTACATTTATATCTTTTGATTTGGATATTATTCTATGTTGTAAGGTATAGATCCAATTTTACATTTTTTCAGGTGGCTCTCTTTTGTCCCAGTACCATTTATTGAATAGCCTATCTTTATCACCAGTAATTTATTTGAGATGCTACCTTTCAGATAACAACGTCCTAAATTATTTGGGGGTATTTCTAGATTTCATTATATTTCATTGGTCTGTCGACATTCACACATTAACAACACACTGTTTTATTGATTGAGGCTTTTAAATCTATCTTCTTATAGAGGAGGTCTAGGAGTTCCTCCCTGTTACTACTCTCTATTTTTCCAAGTTTTCCTGGCAGATATTCTTGCTTTTGATTTTTTTTGTTGATTCTTTGTTTCATATGTAAATTAGAATTACTTTAGTTAAAAATAATTGTGTTATAAATTGTATTAAATTCATAATTATTTTAGGGAGCATTGACATTCTGATATTAAATCTACTTATCTTAGAATATGATGTTTTTCTCCATTTTTGGGTGCCATTTGGTGGTTACTTAAACTTTTATTCATATAGATCTTGAACAATTTTTATGAGTTTATTGCTAGGCATGATATTGCTATTTTATATATTTATTTTCCCTGTAAGTAATCCTGTACAAAATATTTTGTTATCTCTTTAAACTAGTTATTAAATTGATAGCTTTTTTTTTTCACTTTGATTACTGCTTGTTGATGAATTCTCTTATTTTTCGTGTACTTTAAATGATCCCAGCTGCTTGGACCCAATACATAAGTGAGAAATAAACGTCTGTTGTGTAAAGACACCGAGGTTTGGGGCTTGTTACTGCAGCATTTCCTAGCGATCTTGAGGGATAGAAGTGATTAAACACCGACAAAAAAGGATGCCCAACACACTAATATATTAGGTTGAAATTCTGTAGCAGAAGGGGAAAGGAAGCAGGAAGTCAAGGAGAAAAAGACACAATGAAATTTTATCCTCTTATAGAACTTACTCATGTATTTTTATTTTTTTAAAAATATGTTTAAAATTTATTTCAAGAGAGAGGGGAAATGAAGGAGAGTGGGAGGAGAGAAATAACGTGTGGTTCACGCGCCCCGCGCTGGGAACCTGGCCCACAACCCAGGCAGGTGCCTTGACTGCGAATTGCACCTGCGACCCTTTGGTTCCCAGGCTGGGGCTCAGACCACCGAGCCTCACCAGCCAGGGCTTATTCATGGATTTTTAAAAAGATTTTATTCATTTTTAGAGAGAGGGGGTTAGGGAGGGAGAGAGAAAGGGAGGGAAACATCCACAGGTTCCCTTCGGTAAGAGCCCCCCGCTGGGGACCAACCGCACCCAGGCCCGGGCCCTGACCCGGAATCGAACCTGCGACCTCCAGCTCTGCAGCCGCGCCCAGCCCGCCGCGGCCCCAGGCCAGGGCTCCAGCGAGTCCTTTCCGCATCGCATCAGTGGGCGCAGCGACAGCAGCTTGAGAAGAAAGGCCACAGGAGCGTCTGTTCGAAAAGGTCAACGGAGACATACAACCCCCGCAGCCAAGGGCCTCTGGGGCCACCGGCCCGTCCACCAGCCAGCAACGCGATGGTATCCGCCTCGCCATCCGGGGCCCCGCAGACGCCGACGGGAGCGCGCACGCCGCCCCCGAGCCCGGAAGGGGCCTCCGAGGGACGTGCGGGCGCGTCCCCGCCGCGGCGCGCTCCCGCCGGAAGTGAGGTCGGAGACCCGTGGCTGCGCAGCTTCGGCCGGGAGCGCGGGCTGCGGGGAGGCGGGCCGGGCGAGGCGGCGGTGGCGACAGACACTCGGCGGCTCAGCCCCCGCGTCGGAGCAGGCCTCCGCAGCGCTCGCTCCTCGCGCGGCTCCAGCGCCCAAGCCATCCCAGGCCGGCGTGCGCTGGCCGTCGAGGCCCAGGCCGCCGCCGCGGCGCGGTGAGTGCGGGCGGGGCCCTCGCGGGGCGCGGCTGCCCGGCCGGAAGTGCGGCGCTTTGTGCTGCCGGCCTGGGGCGGCACCAAGGTCGAGCCCGCCGCCCGGGGTTCGGCGCGTCCGGGAGGGGACCGTGGCGCCTGGCTCCGCGGGGCCGGGCGGGGTGGGGGAGGGGGCCGGGAGCGGAGCGCGGCGCGGGCAGGTGCGGAGCGAGCGGCGGGGCCGCTGCCCAGGCGGAGTCTGCACGAGCGCGTTCCCTGGGCCTCTGGGAGGTCGGAGTGCGAGCAGACCAGGAAAATGGATGAAAATCGGGGAAGCAGCGGGTGGTTCCTGCAGCTCGGAGTTAGGTTCTAAGATGTTGATAGTCTTAACGTGTAAACGATTCACTTTGCGTACCCCCAAAGTAGAGATTCCGTTTGCTGGGCAGACACTTGGTGTTCGCCCTCCTGCGTGAAAGGATTGTTTTCTAAAGAAAAGACGTTTCGTGGCCCAGTCTGGGTCAACTTTGCAAAAGAGAGGTGCCGCTTTTTATAATGATGTTTCTAAGTCAAACACTTCATGGAGTGTTTGAGTTGATGTTTAATTAAAGCCACACAAAAATCTCCTGCAGTGTTTGGGCACGCAAGAAATTTTTTGACAAATTTTTAATGACAACCCTGATGAAGTTACCATCCTCATTCATTCCTTCAGCCAGAAATTTTTTTAAATGCAAACGTTCGTCTTGTTCCCACTCCTTAAATTTTCTAGTCATCCTTGTGTATGTCACGTGAGGTTTCTTTCCCAAATAGTATACGAAAAACAAAAGTTTTGGGGTTTGGCTATAATATGGGCACATTTTTTAAACTTTGATAAGTGTAGATGTAGAGGATTTTTTTGCATTGACAGACAAGAATTGAACAATTCAAAGCTATTTTTTTTTTCCTAATGTTGAAGCTACTGTGATGCACATTGTGAAAAAATTTTTTTTGTCCTAAGCTACATGGGCTTGCAGCGCCGAATCTGCATCGGCCACGTAGGTTTAGTCGCGGTGTCAAACTAAGGTCTGGTGCAGGTGCCCGAAGGCCTCTTTTTTTTTTAACTTTGTTTATTGTTGACACATGCAGATGTGCACGTCTCCGCCCAGCCCCGCCCCCCTCCTCCTCCCACTGGCCGTCGCCGCACTGGTCGCGCCTGGGGGTCCTGCATTTAGGTTATTTGGCGGACCCCCCCTCCCATCCTGCCCCCTCCCCTCGGACAGCTGTCAGCTGCCGCCAGCCTCCCGGAGTTCTGCGGGGTGTTTCCTTGTGCAGCAGTGGCTAGAACCCCCAGCAGGGAGCGCTCCTTCCTGCCTCCTGCTCGTCGGCACCGTGGGAGGGGTGGGCAGCGTAGGCAGGTCAAGGCCCCATACTCGGGGGAGGCGCAGGGAGGCTGCACCTGCCGCACGGTCCCCGTGAATCCTCACAAGCGAACCCCAGATACACAGCCGAGGGCAGGCCGGGCCTCTGGCTTAATTGAGAGAACTGCAGCGTTTCTTGCAGCAGCCCTGTGACCATGTTTCTGTACCTGTAATTCCCGAGGACTTTTTAATCGCTTCAGGAAGTATTTATTATCCTCAGGGGAAGTAGAAGTGTTTTCAAGGGAGGTAATCTCTGGGTAGTTTGGAATTATGGAGTGTATTTAGAATTCAGATGCAAACCTGTGAGTGTTCAGTGGCAAAGGTAGGTACGTTTCTTACTCTCTGGACTACAAGCCACGTCACTGGACAGGAGGGCCTGTGGGGCTCGGTGCTTTCCGTTGTTCCGAGTTCTTGGCCGGGAGAGGTGGTGTGACCTCCACACTTGTGCACTGGCTTTTGTGGGGCTGTCTGTTGGATGTCCCTGGGCAGTTTCCACCTCCATGTGGCATTGCCAGGCCGCCTGGCGAGCTGTTCCCACTGCTGCACTGCCTGCCTGCCTGCAGGGGGCGTCGCCTGCCCGGCCCCACGTTTCAGGGCCTCCGCGGGGGGCCTCCATCCTGACCCAAGTCTCCACAGCCGCCTGCTTGGTCCCTGCGCGCAGCCTGAGCACCAGAGTAGCCCTGCCGCCAGCTTCCCGGAAGGTCCGCCTGCATTTTCTCTCTTCTGCGGCTTCTGGGGGTCTTCCCTGCTGTGTAGAGCTTACTGGAAATACCTCCTCTGTAAATCAAGTTTTCCTCCCCCGTCTCCCCTCCCGCACTCAACCCCGAGAACATAATTTTTAAAAGATTTTCTTTGTTTAGTTTCAGAGAGAGAGAGGAGGGAGGGAGGGAGACGTTGATTGGTTGTCTCTCGCATGTCTCCAGGGACCCGGACAGCAGCCCCGCCCTGCGCCCTGACGGGACCAAACCTACTCCCAACCCACTGAGCCGCTCCAGTCAGGGCTCAGGGCGCTATTTTTTCCATGGCTCGTAACACACCTTGTCCTGCCATTATTCATGCCTTGTCTAAGAGACCTCTGTTGCCCAATACGAGAACCGTCACCTACAGGTGACTGTTTAATTAAAACGTAACGAAAAACGAAAAAGTAGTTCCTTAGTTGAGCCGGCCACATTGAAGTGTCCAGTGGCCACTGTGTGTGGACAGAGCAGACGCATTCGCGTCTTCTCGGAGGACTCTGCTGGGCGGTGCTTTCCCAGACTGCGGGCCCGGAACAGGGCCTGGGAGCTGCCGCTGTGGCCTTCGCATAGCGCTTTGCTCGTCTAGGCTTTGCTTAAGAGAATAAAAGTAGCTCCTGGCACAGAATGAGACAAAGAGTTCTGGGAAGTAGTTCGCTCCTTGAGAGATGATAGTTGAACCAGAAACAGATGAAATACATGAGGGACCCTACAATTCTTAGGTTGTAGATCCACCCGGAACCTGTTAAAAGTGCAGGATAACAGGGATCGGCAGTGGCCAGGCCGCTGCTTCTTAACTTGTGGGTTAAAAATCCACGATCGGCTCTCGTGCTTGCTTGTCACCTGCTCGCCCCTCCTCGTTCTGCCCGTCTCTTCCCTAGGCCTGCACTGTTCAGCGCCATGTGCACGTCCACTTACACTGAAATTAAATCGACCGAGGGGTCCGGTCTCAGGCCAGCCTTGGTGTTGGGTGCGCGCTCGGGCATTCCTTCTAGCAGCCGCCTGCCCGCGGGGGCAGCCAGGCCTGGGCGCACCCCTCGGCCCTGGGGCAGGCAGCCGGCAGGCACTCTGGCAGCCGCCCGTGGCTCGGACGCGCCTGCACAAGGAGACAGGCGGGCAGGCGGCGAGCGTCCCCGTCACTGGTGTCCCTGGTTATTCCCGGTTCAGTTGGAACTTGTTGCAAAGGCCAAGGAGGCAGCCGTGTGCACTTTTCTGTGTTGGCACTGCTGTGCTGTGGACACTCAAGTTTGTCAGGCAGCTGCAGGCATGCGGTGGCTTGGTGTGGGCTCTGTCTTTGGAGTGGAATGCGGTCCCCAGAGTTTGGAGGTACGAGTGTGTTTTAGAAGGCCAGGGTAGTGTCACCCCTCCGGTGCCAGACGCCTGCCTGTCGGGGGAAGGGTGGGGGCTGAACGAGCAAGTGCATGTGCACTTTCTGTGTGTCTGTTTTTTAAGACACCTTTTCAGAGCAGTTCCAGGGTTGCAGCAAAATGGAGCGGAAGCTCGGCGTGCCGTGCGCTGCCTGTGGCCCGCTCCTTGCCCCTCCAAGCTGTTTCTGTTGCTCAATTTCAGGTGGCCTTGGCCCTCAGTGCCACACAGATCGGGGCCCCGCGCTGGGTGGGAACCCCAAAGGGTCTTCCTCGAGCTCACTCTTGCAGATACGGCGGTGATGGCACTCGGAGGGTCTTGGGGTACTGGGGGGTCGCTCCTGCTGGGGAAGGGGAAGACCCGTGATTGTAGCTGTGCCACTTCTTGAACATTTCAGGGGAAAGGATTGGGAATGAGGGAGCATCGAACAGCTGATAGTGTTGCTGGGCTGTAGCTAATCTGTCTTTTCTGGAAGACGTCTGTGCATTTAACAGGTAACTTAAGAAACGGGAAAGCGCCGACGAGATACTAAACCACCCCCCCAGAGACCGTTGCTCTTCAGATCTCTGTTTCCTTGCAGGCTTCTTTCTTTCTTCCTTTTTTTAAAGGTTCGTTTTATTCTCATTTGGAAGAGAGGGGAAGGGTGGGGGGTGGGGAGGGGGAAAGACGCCCCTCGGTTGCCTCCTGTACATGCCCCGACCTCGGATGGAACTCGCAACCCAGGCGTGTGCCCTGACCGGGAATTGAACCTGCTACCTTTTGGGGGTGCGGGACGACGCTCCAACCCACGGAGCCGCCCAGCCAGGGCAAGAACACTTTTCGTTTTTCCTCCTTAGCGGCCGACGGGTTGAGCAGTTGTAGGGGTGCCTGGCAGGACTTGGCTGTTGCTTTCTGGCTCGGGATTGGGTGTTGACGACGTGAACGGCCTCGTTTGGGTGAGGGAGGGGGAGGCGGAGGCTCTTGCAGCCTGCTCTTCTGAGGCGGGTGCGGGGCGGGGGGCGGGGGCGCGGGACCGGAGATCCACAGTGTTTGACTGAGTCGCCTCTTTCCCTTTCAGCTCCGAGAGCCATGAACCCTGTCTACAGCCCTGGCTCCTCGGGGGTGCCCTACGCAAACGCTAAAGGGGTCGGCTACCCAGGTGAGCACATGCGGCCGTGTTCTCCTTGCTGCGCTGGGAGGCCTCGTGCGTTTCCATGGCCCTGCGGACGCTTTAGCTGACAAACGCAGCTCCCAGCGGCTGGGGCGAGGAGCCTGCGTCGGCTCGCGGACCTGGGAGACCAAGGGCCCAGTGGCCGCAGTGCTCTGGGACGGGGCCTCGCTTCCCGGCCTCCTAGATCGCAGGCCTCTCCGGGTGCGGTCCCCGCGGCCCCGGGCCCCTTCCCTCCCCCGACCAGCCTGTGCTGCGGGTCCCTGGGCCCTGACGGCGAGAGCCGCGCCCACCGCCTGTACTGGAGGCGGCCGGTCAGACCTGGGCTCTGAGTGAGAGCGAGGCTGTACTGTGGGGACAGGAGCCCGTTGGTCAGAAAGAGCAAAGAATTGTCCTGGCCGGCGACTCTGACCGAGGAATAACTGTCTGGAACGTCCCAGTTTCATGCGGGGTTTTGATAACGTGGTAGAACAGGTAGTTTTAAAATTCTGCTGATTTAAGAAACAAACCTAGAAAATTGAATAAAACATTTGAAATACATACATAATTGAACTTGCAAGAACATAAGAGACACATCTGCAGGTAAATATGAAAAGCAATGTAAAAACAGGCACATTTGGCCATTGAGCGGATGCTGTGCCCGTCCCGGGGCATTTGCTCTCTGGGGGCTTGAACGGCCCACCTGGGCACGGACAGGGGGCCTTGGGCCTGCGAGGCGGGGGCCGGAGGGGAGCGGACACTCAGGGTGGGGGAGGCCGCAGCAACGGCCCCCGGCCCGGAGGGAAGTCCGTCTGCCCGGGCTCTGGGCGGGGGTCTTCCCCAGGAACGCACGGTCGCACGGGCTGTCCGGGGTCCTCCTCTCTGTTGCTTGTATTCCCGGGGGCTGCGCGATGAGAGACGGCACAGGCGCGGTCCTCGGCCGCCGGGGCGCCGGGGAGTGCCTGTCAGCCGTGAGGCAGGTGCGCTGTAGCCGCTCCTGTTCTCTGGGGGCGGCATTTGGGGGCGTGGCTGGGGTGCTGCGGGCGGCCTGAAGCCGGCCCCCTGGTGGCCGGCCCCAGGGGCCTCTTGGGAGGCGCAGGCCGAGGGCAGCCGCTCCCGTGCCCGGCCCGGCCCGGCCCGGGTCCCGAAGGACCTGCAGAGCCACCCGCCTGCAGCCTGGCGCCCCAGCGCTGCCTTTGTCACGCAGACGGGGCGGGGGGGGCGCCCTGCGGGGGGCGGGGGAGAGGGGGCCGGCTGCTTGGGCGCAGCGGGGAGCTCGAGGGGCCCCCACAGGCGCTCCCCAGCTCTGGAGCAGGAGGGGGCGCGGGCGGCGACTGCGAGGCCTGTGAACGGAGAGCCTCTGGGAACCACCGCACACCCGCAGCCTGTCTGCTGTGCTGCTTCTCTTGCACCCCCTTCCCCACCCCCACCCCCGTTACCAGGGGCGGTGGCACGGCCTCGGGGCCCCTCGCTCGTACCCACGGAGGGCGGGCTGCCGGCAGGGCCGCGTGTCGGTGGCCCCTGCGGAGGCCCGGCCGTGGCGCCGGACTGCCAGAGCTTTGGGCCTTTCTGAGTTATACCGGGGGGGGGGGGGGGCGGTTTGTGTTTGGGTTTTGTTTCATTTTGCATTACATTCTAACTCAGTTTCTACCAAATGTTTGCCATTGTAGTGAGTCACAAGCACTTACCGATAGGTGAGGACACAGAACTGTGACCCACCGCGGCTCTGAGGGGGGGCACCCAGAGACAAGCTGCTCGGCCACACGGTGCCCCTGGGCCCCGCCCGGCCTTCCGAGGGAGAGGGAGAGGGCGTGGGGGCGGCTCTGGGGCCCGCGCGGGGCCCTGTCGCCCCCCCCGGTGCCGACGCGGGCTGTCCTGTGTTCTCTGCAGCTGGCTTCCCCGTGGGCTACGCGGCGGCGGCTCCCGCCTACTCCCCCAGCATGTACCCCGGAGCGAGCCCGGCCTTCCAGACAGGTAGGCAGACGGGCGGCGGGGCGCGGGTCCGCGCCACGGGGAGGGTGTGCGGTGGGGGCGTGAGAAGAGCGGTCACCGGTTGGGGGTGCGTTGACCTTGGGGCTCGCAAGCTTGGCCTTGTCGGTACGGGCAGTCGGCGCCTCGGAGGCGGCCTCTGACGTCTGTCCTCGCTCAGGCCGCACTGCGGCCCGGGCCCTGGCGGGCATGCGCTCCCGAAACCGTCGGCTGCCGGGCGCTAAAGGTCCTCTGGCTGGGGTGATAGGTGGAACTTCCACGTTGCTCACGTTTTTAGATACTACCTTAAAGATCAGTTTAGGACTTTGGTTATAGTTTTAAAAGAAAGGCCTATTTTTTATGTGAGTTTTCTATATAGTTTTCAGTCTGTCTTTTTCTGTTGTTTTGGTTTTTTCTTTTTTGTTGTTCTTTTTGAAAGTCTTATTTTCTGTGCACGAGGACACATTCACATTTCAGAGACTGGCGGTGGGCCTGGCGCCGGCTTGCTCAGCGGGCCCCCTCCGCGCGCTTCGCTCCCTGTGCTCCAGGGCAGCCCCGGGTCCCGGGGGCCGCGCTGACACTGAGCGCCTTTTCCTGGGCTCATGGGCCGTTTGGGTGTCTTTGGTTAAGTGTTTGTGTGCATCTTTTAGTTCCTTCTCTGGATGTTTCTCCTCTTCTTTCCCTTGCGGCCTGTTGGTTTGTCTCCTCTCGGCTCCCTCCCTGTGAACGTGCCCGTGTGTGAGGTGCATCTGCTGTGTCTCCGGGGCTGGCAGGGCGGCCCCGTGTCACAGCCGTCCCGTGGGGCCCAGCGGCGCAGGCCCCATGAGCACCTGAGCCAGGCGCCCCCGGCATGCCCCTGTGCAGGCTGCATCAGCCCTCCCGGTGCAGTCGCGCCTTCGTTGCTCCTGGCACGTCAGCCAGTGGCGTTGACCCAGGCAGTTGGCCGTGAGCTTGGCCAGGGCCGTGGTGCCGGGCGGGGCTGGCCCCGGGAAGCGGGCGGTGCTGCGGGGCCGCGGGGCCAGCCACGGGCCGGGCTGGTTCCGGGACCCCTTCGGAGGGGCTCTGGTGCAGGCCCTGGTCGGCCGCTGCCGGCGGCCTGCGTGCGTGACCGGCCCCGGCCCCGGCCCAGCCCTTTTTCAATGTTCAGGGTGTCACAGTCATCTTCCAATGGCAGTCAGTGGCCTCTGCTTGTCCCTTCAGCTTGTGCGTGGCTGTGGGGGGTGTCCTGGCTGCCTCACAGAGAGGTGGACTCCCGCTCAACTGTGTGTCGGCCCCCGAGGGTGCCTTTCCTGCTGGCCTGAGGCCACCTGGCGAGAGGAACAGGGCGCGCCCAGGCCAGGGGCTGCTTGTTTGAGAGATTGTAGGAAAGTCGGAAGCACGAGCAGGGGCAGGCCACCGGTCTGGGGAAGCCGCTGAGAACGGCTGGGATGGGCGCACAAACTGGGTGGGCAAACAGTGGCAGCCAGGTTGGTGGGGACGCGGGTGTGGGGGCCGCCTGCGGCCTCGTGACGGGGGAGCCCAGGGAGGGAGCAGTGGCCTCCGCCAGCACTTCGTCTGGGAGAAAGCCGGCTCTCGCCCTGACGTCTGACGCCTTGGTTCCTCCCGTGGGTCCCGGTTCCTCCCGTGGGTCCCTCCCGTGGGTCCCGGGTGCCCTTTGAGCCGCTGCCCCAGCGCTGGGGCTTGGGGGAGGGAGCCCGAGCAAGTCCTGTGCTCGGGCCCTTTAAGAGGAGCCGCCCGGGACTCCACTCACTCAGCCTCCGTCCCACTCGGCCTCCACCGACACTGGTTTTCACAGCCGGAAAGTTATGGGGACCCTTCCCCGCCCTAGAGCCCTGGGCTGGGGGCCGGGGCCCCTCGTTCCTCAGGGCGTCCTGTGCAGCCGAGCTATCCCTGCCACCTGCCACACGTGGGTGTGGGACCGGCCGGTCCTGCATCTGCCCCTCCTGCCCGCCTCGACGTGCCTGCCGCTTCAGATCCTCAGCTGTGGGCTGTCTGCTCAGCTCAGTCTCCGGCGGCGCTGGGTGTGGTGGTTCTGTAGTTTGGCAGAGACCGAAGCGGTTGAGGGGCTCTGAATGCCGAGCTCCCCTGCACAGCCGCCTCGGGTCGAAGCCCATGCTTATTTCTTCAAACAAATGGCGAGAAGTGAAATAAGGCCCCAGAAAGTCTGTACCAGTTTGTATTTTGTCGGGACAGATGTTTTACTCCTGTCTCTCTGACTGTATTTTCAGCATAACTTTTCCTTTTGTTTATTACGCCTTCTTTCGAACCCACGCGCCCTGCACACGCCTCCGTGCACCGGATGTCCGGGCCGGAGTGTGGGTGTGTGGCGAGCTCACCGCTTCTCTGTTCCAGGCTACACGCCCGGCACCCCGTACAAAGTGTCCTGCTCGCCCACCGGCGGGGCCGTGCCGCCCTACTCCTCCTCCCCCAACCCCTACCAGGCCGCCGTCTACCCCGTGCGCAGCGCCTACCCCCAGCAGAGCCCCTACGCACAGGTAGGCGGGGCGCCCCTCGGTGGTGGGGCTCCGGCCCCGGGGCGGCCGCTGCAGTCGTCTCCCTCCTCCCGCAGCAGGGCGCCTTCTACACGCAGCCGCTGTACGCGGCGCCCCCGCACGTCATCCACCACACCACGGTGGTGCAACCCAACGGCCTGCCGGCGACTGTCTACCCCGCGCCCGTACCCCCTCCGCGAGGCAGCGGGGTCGCCATGGGCATGGTGGCCGGGACCACGATGGCCATGTCAGCAGGTGAGTTGGCGCCCGCGGCCTGGCACCTAGGGCAGGCGAGCAGGGAAGGGCCTGCTCGTTGCCTCTGCGACCGTGGCCTCGGCCGCGCGTGCGGAGCCTGGCGTGGAGACGCCTGCTCTTCCGGGAGGGGGCGCCTCTCACCCCTTCCTTCCGACCCGACCAGGCGGAGGAGAGAGGCCCAGTGGGGATGGAGCCACGGGGCCTGACCGGGCAGCCGAGGCGGCAGAAGCCGGTCCCCGCGGGGAGCACGCAGAGCTGGTGCGAGAGGGGACTTCAGTGCCGGGGGCTGGGCTCCTGGGCAGGCCCGTCTCTGTCTAGGAGAGCCGGCCCGGGGTCCCTAGAGAGCAGCCGCTTGTAGGAGCCCTCGGGCATTCATCCACGACGTTCCCCAAGGAAAGCGGACCCGGAGACGGCGCTGCGCGTGCACTCCGGTCCCTCCCCGGGCAGCGAGCTGTCTGCGGCAGGCCCCGTGCAATGTGCACTTGGTTGCCTGTGGCTGGGATTTTTTTTTTAAATAGTTCCTATTTTTATTAAAGATTCTATTTATTTTTAGAACGAGGCTGAGGAAGGGAGAAGGGGAGAGAAACATCACCATGTGGTTGCCCACTGGAGACCCAGCCTGTAACCCAGGCGGGTGCCCTGACCGGGAATGAACTGGGAGGGGCCCTTTGGTTTGCAGGCCGGCGCTCAGTCCACTGAGCCGCACCAGCCAGGGCTTCTTACTGGGTTTTTTATGTTACTTGAGTGTGAGAAGATTGTGCCAGAGAGACAGGTGCTTCTGCTCGGTGTCCGTTTTGTTTGCTTTCCCTGCACTGATCTCAGAAGGCAGAGGAGCCTGTGACGCAGGCGGATGGGGGGCTGGGGCCAAGGAGACAGGTGTGGGGGGTGCCAGGTGAGACCCTGCTGTTTGAGTCGGCGCTTGTCTGTCAACAGACTCAGATAATTGCTCCCTTTTCTTTAGGTTTAGGGAAAATACGTTTGTATTAATGTTCTCAGAAACCTAAGGGGCTTGGACTCTCCCGCTGCGGGAGCAGCCGGAATCCCGCAGCCGCAGGTCCGGACAAGCTCCGCCCCTTACGCACCAGCCGCCGCCCCCACCCAGCGACACCGAGGTGGTGCCGCCCCCGCCCCCTGGCGCCCAGGGCGCTGGGTCGAGCTCCGCGGTGCAGGGCTCATCTGTCCGGCTGGCCTTTTTCACTTCCCGTGAGGCCCTCAAGGCTCGCGCTTGTAGCATGTGGCAGATTTCCTTCCTTTTTAAGGCTGAGTGGTAATACGTGTTATTTTGTCGTTCATTATTTCATCCCAAAGAGTAACGGAGCGTGCCTGCTTGAGTTCCCGCAAACGCACCGCGCACACGGGCTCACTGGGTTCACAGGTCCCCGCGCCAGACGGCGGCCAGGGTTCGGACCGCGCTCGCGGTCGTGGCCCTCCCCGCCACGGACACACTGTTGTTTCTTCCAGGCACCCTGCTGACGGCCCACTCGCCAACCCCCGTCGCCCCCCACCCAGTCACCGTGCCCACGTACCGGGGCCCAGGGACGCCCACCTACAGCTACGTGCCCCCTCAGTGGTGATCACCGCAAACGTAAGTGACGGCGAGGCCTGGGCTGCCTCTTGACTGAGATTCTGCCCGTGGGAGGGTGGCACATCCGCCGCAGTGCGGGCCCCCGTGGGAAAGCACTCCCCAGTTTGCGATCCCTGGCGGCGTGTGGTGTGCTGTTTGCTCCGGTCCGGGCTCCGGGAAGCCAAGGGAAGGAGGGGCCAGAGTCCCTGCTGCACGCGCTGCGCGCTCGTCCCCGAGGCGCCCGGGTGCGCCGGGCGTCTGCGTGCGCGCGGCCGGGGGCGGGGCGTGCCTCCTGCTCCGGGGGGCGTGCCGGGCGCCCCGTGACCGCGTCTCTCCCCCGGCCCCCAGGTGGAGGACGGAGCTGGCGTCGCGTCTCGGATGTTCTCAGCTGGTGCTGCGGGCCTCGGCCTCCAACCAGGACTCTCCTCCTGTTCCCGACACTCGGCTGAACGCGCCCGGCCGGCCCTGCGGCCTCGGCGCTCTCAGCCGCCAGCTAACTGTGGGTGGGTCTTAAAGCAAATCCTGTTTGGGGGCTGCCTGGCGATTTTTTTAGCTAACTGTAACGATAAAAAGGGAGTATTAATGTATTCTGAAATCATATCTAGTTGAATGCATGTTTAAAACACACACACAAAGCTTGCTCAAACTACCTGCAGTGACTGATGCAAAACCATCGTGTGCAGAGCCCGGAGGGACGGAGCTGTGTAACACTTGTCTCACTGACGCGTGTTGTCATGTGCGCAGAGTCTTACGGTCGTGAGTGTCACGGCGCATGTCTTCACGGAGCAGCTGGCATCTGCTAGGTGACGCTTCGACCTGTGGGGGGGCGCGGTTGCCGGTTCGAAGCGCGACGCTGGAGTCCTTGCCACCCGAGTCTTCCCCCCTCCCCCCCGGCCGCCCGCTGGCCGCCGGGAGAAGCGTGGAGGGCGGGGCGGCCAGGTCCCGCAGCTGCGTCTTTACGCCGAGGCCGTGCGGTCGGTGCCACGTGGACATTCTTAGCACGTCACCGCGAAAGACGGACCCGTGTGGCCAGGACATTGAGGGGCAAGCAGCGTCTCTGGGCTGCTGTGCACGTCTCCGCTGCAAACCTCTCGCGGACCCGGATGCCGCTGTGTCTGCGAGGGACAGGCCCGTGTGCAGGTCAATCGTTCTCCTGGGGTGGGAGGCGGGGCAGGAAACGGGCGCGCTCGGGGCGGAGGGGGTGGCCTCTTGTTTCGCTTCGTCATTTCTCGCCTCTGCTGAGATGTCTGCTTAGGCGCAAGCGCCCGTGGGCATCGCTGCTCCCCTCACAGAGCGGCGCGGCCCCCACGGCTGCTCCGCAGAAAGCCGCCTGGGTGAGCGCTCGGCGCGGGAGCGGGACTTGGTGTGAGGGGCTCGCTTGCTGTGGAGAGCGGGGCCGTGGCTGCGGCGGCGTGGGCCTGTGCCCCCGGTGGGGACTCGTCCACGGAGACCCTCTGAGGCGGGTGTGTGAGGGGCGAGGGGAGAGGCCGGCGGCTTGCGGGCCCCCGGGCGTCTCCCCGCCGCTGCGGGCGCTGGGCGGCAGCAGGACGCGCGCCTCTGCCGGGTTCCTTCGGGGAGGTTCTGTGTTTAACATGTGAATGTTGTACATAAGAAACCAAGGATTTTTTTCCCCCCTAAATGGACTCAACTTGTATTGGTGGGAGTGAGTCTGTTCCCGGGCGGTCAGAGGGCGTGTCGGGCCGGTGGGGGCCCTGGTGCGCCCCAGCTCTGGCCGGCGCTCGGCGCCTGCGAGGGGGCACCTCACCCCTGAGCCTCTGGGGGACTTATTTTTTATAGTATGTATCCTTCGTAATGTTTTTTCACACCTTATTTTGTAAGAAGTTTAGGGATATTTTTGCATGAATCATTGTAAAGAAGAGACTCCTTACTCCCGGTGTCTGTAACGCAGTGTGTTTACCGATGAGGACTTTAACTTCCCTCGGGAGCACTGGCCCCGCGCGTGCGCGCGCGTGCCCTCACTCCTGGGCCCCCGCGCTGCGCCCGTCTCGGGGCGGGGGTCTGCTGTGCCCGCGGGCGGAGGCCTCCAGGGGCCGAGCGGACCAAGTCACGGAGACCTGTTTCCTCAGTTTGCAGCAAAGAGCAGATGCGATGTCTGAGCAAGCTCGCGGCGGGGCGGGGGGGCACCTGGCCCGCTCCTCAGCCCCTGCTGTCCGGCTGGGCCGGGAGGCTTCAGCCGACCCGCTGCACCTCGGGACACGCCCGTCGGGGCGGCGCTGGGGCGGGACGGGGCGGCGGGGGGGGGGGTGCTCGTCCAGCGCGTGGGCGCAGGGGCGGCCGGGGGTCGCGGTGTAACTGGCGGCATTTTTAATTTCTTCTGGCGACGTCAGTGAAGGAGAAACCCTGTTACGAACTCACCTAGTCTGATACCCCAAGCACAATAGTGGAACATTTAAAGAAACTTTTGGTTTTTTCGTACGTGACATTCCTCATTTGAGTTTTTCAGCAGCTGAGACAAGCAGGCGTGGGGCCCGCTTCCTGTCTGGGTGCTCGGGGTTTGCTGGGCGCCCTGCTGTTTCCCAGCCTCCTCCCCGAGGCGCGGACGTCCCGGGTGGCTCTGCGCTGGGCCGAGTGGTCAGCGATGGGCAGGCCGTGGCCCGTGGGAATGGTGCTCCCGGAACCTGGACGTCCCCTGAGCTGAGTCTTTTCGGAACACCTGTGGGTGTGGGTGGGCGCCCACCCCTTGCTCTGCGGGGACGCTTCTGGCCTGCAGTGCGGGTGTCGTGCGCACAGAAGACCGAGGAAGATGCTGAGCACCTGCCCTCCCTTTGCGGGCGGCATCCTGGCCTGCGTACGGTGCGCGGTGCACCTGCGAACGGCTGGAGCGCCGCCCGCAGGGGTCAGGGAGTGTGCGTGCCGCGTGGGGCGGGGGCGGGGGGGCCGGCGACCCAGCCATCGGGAGGTGCAGGGCTGCTCTGAGTGGACGCCCACACGCGGCCCGGGGGAACAGTATTACTCGACCAGTGAGACCACGTCCCCTGAGCGGGCAGCCGGTCCTCGCAGCCTGAGCACCGGCCAGACGGGGATGGGGCTGCCGGACACGCTGCGTCGGGGCGGGGCTTGCAGTGGGAGCCACTTCCGCTGCTGCTCCGGTGCTTTCTGAGGCGGGGGCACCTGCGGAGTGTGGTGGGCGGAGTGTGGTGGGCTGAGGGGGCGGGCCGACTGGTCGGCGCTCTGTCACGTCTCACGTGTGCGTGCGTGGGTCCCACGTGCCCTCCGCATCCCTGTCCCTGAGCTTCCAGAAGGGGCAGCGCACTTGAGCGAGCGGATTGCAGGCCACGCACTGCAGAGCGGGGTCAGGCCTCGGGCACAGAGTTGCCCGGTGGATCTCCCGTGTTTCAGAGGCGTGGCCCCTTTCTCCACACCCTCTTTGGAAGGACAGAAAGCCTGCGGAGTCCCTGCCCAGGAGTCCCCAGGACTAAAGTCAGCCCACCAGGCACAGGGACAGGGCGGAGACGGGCGCAGCTGCGAGGTCCCGGCGCGGCGGCCCGCGGGGCGTGTGCATAGGAGCTGACCGGCGGCTCAGGCCGGCGCCCAGCAGGGCTGCTCCGACCGCCCCCGGAGGACAGGCTGCCTGGGCGGTGGCTCCTTTAAAAAACTTTTTAAATGATTTTTAAATACGGTTTTTTAGACTGTTCTCTTGGTACATTTTTAAGCTTAAGTCAGCATCGTCTTCCAGTGTTAACGCGCCCCTCCCCTGCCTCGGCCGTGGGCGGCGGTCAGCACGGAGGGGCGGGACCGTCCCGGGCCGGCTCTGTTACCTGTGAATCCATCCTGTTTTAATTTTTTATGCAACCTGATGAGTAGATGAGCTCAGATTTAAAATTATTAAAAGCACGTTTACTGTAACAAGAGTTATGTATTAACACTGCAGTTTTCAATAAAGATTGACTTGTGTTGCATATGGTGTTTGCCTTTCTCCAGTGCGTTTTGTGTTGAGGGGCTGCCTTGCTGAGCGGTGGTGTCATTTCCCTGGACTAAGGAACCCGAGTTCTGGGCAGGAGCCTCTGTGCTCAGCAGCCGGGGGGCAGGCGGGCAGGCAGGCAGCCGCCCCGTCCCTCTCCCGGTCCCGGTGCCCGTCCTCCCCAGAGGACATTTGCTTCCCCGGAAAGACCACGGATCCCGTGCCCGCAGACGCCTGTGCTACCTGCAGCCACACGCAGCCTTCGAGAGGCGCAGGTGGCGGGGCCCTACCCCCGGGGCTCCTGGGACAGGAGGAGGGAGGGCACAGTCCCCAGTGGAAAAGGAGGGCCGCGGCCAGGGTAGTTTCCATGTTTCTTTATGAAATTAAACGTCTCTGGCTGCCGTGAGGCAGAGGTGTGCAAGTGACCCCGCGCTGCTGCTGACCCGGGGCGGCGCCGTGGCGGGCAGGTCAGTGCCAGGCCCTCTGGCCCCGTCCCGCGGCCCCTCGTGCTCCCTCAGGGCACGGCGGCCTTCCTGCATCCGGTTCTTTTTCTCCGTCCTTAGAAAAACCGGGTTCTAGAGTCAACACGCAGCTACCTGGGGGCGTTCCCGATGGCGTTGGCTGCTGGCGGCAGACGCGCTGCAGGGGAAGACGGGCGGCAGCAGCGAGAGTCCAGAGAGGAACCGGGAGGCCAAACGGGGGCTCTGGGGCCAGACGTGGTCGGACGCGGGTTCCTGGTACCCACCCTCCAGCGGAGCCACCGTCTGGCACTCGGGCCTCGCAGGAGGAGAGCAAGTCTGAGCAGAGGGCCTGAGAGGGCCGTCCTCTCACGCCCGTCCGCCTGGCCTGGCCTGGCAGGCGGCTCCGTGCCGGGGCTCCCGCCCCTCCTGCTGGCGTCTCCCGTTCGTCCATCGTGGGGCAGAACCAGGAACAAGGGGGCAGAGCCCGGCTCCGCCCGGAGGCACCAGCCCCGCCCTCGCTCAGCCCCACTCACTCGGGTCTGCAGCGGGACAGGGGCCGCGGGTGGGCCCGGGGCGGGGAGCTGGCAGAGCAGGTCCGGACAGTGCGGCGGGGGGCGCGGGCTCACTTGCGGAAGGGCGCCAGCCGGCTGAGGCTGTGCCAGAAGGTGGACGGCTTCCGTTTGGGCTCCGCCAGCACCAGCACCTGCGGCTGGGGCACGCTGGCGGGCAGCGCCGGGGGCTTCTGGCGCATCAGGTAGTAGGGCCGGCCGAGGGCTGCAGGGTGGGGGAAGGGGAGAAGACAGCAGGGGTTACGCAGGCTCCTGGGGCGCGGGGGTGGGACCTGACCTGAGGCTCCGCCTCCGACCCCCACCGTAGGGGACGAGCTGGGGGGGCGCGTCACGAGGACCCAGGCGCCGCGGGCTCCGCTCTGGGGTCGGGAGGTGTGGTCAGGGCAAGGGCCAGGCCGCGCGTGAGGGAGGCTGCGGCACCTGCCTGCTCACCTTTGGGCTTCCCGGCCGCCTGCAGCTTATTGGCTTTCAGCATGGCCTGCCTCCGCTGTAGCTCGGTGATGGAGAAGCCTGGGGGGGACACCGATGAGCCGCCTGCCGCCCTGCGAGCGCCCGGCTGCTCTGCCCCGCCGGGCACCCACCCTCGCCCCCACCCTCCCGGCCTGGCGCAGCCCCGTGCACCCTGCCCACCTCGCGGTGCCCCGGGATTCCGTGCCCTGCTCAGCCCGCTAGCCTTGGCCCCAGGCAGCTACGGCCCCTCCGGGTGCCCCTCAGCACCCTCCCCACAGCCTTCTTTGCCCACCCCGTCCTTCGGCGGGTCCCCGACCCAGAGTTGAGTATCCTTTTTCTCGACTGTGGGGGAGGCTTTTCCCCAGGCCACGGGCCGGCCTGGCCATCGCTGAGTGGGAGGACAAGGGGCATGTGCCCAGGAGGGGGGGCAGAGGGGGGACGCCCTGCTGGGGGGGGACAGGCTTCGGGAGGCCAGTCCGCCTCCGCTCCCGCGCTCTCCCGGGGCTTGTGCTGGAAAGCGGCGCCCCCACGTCCTCGGCCCGAGCGCACGGAGGGTGCGCGCATGCGTGCGTGTGCTGGAAGCAGCCCCCAAGGAGGCCGGCAGACCTGTGCCCGGGGGCTGACACCCGGGTTACCCTTGAGGCGCTGGGGCTGCAGGACACGCTGTCCCAGCCACCGGCTGTCCCGACGGCCTCGCACGGACGGCGGGCGGGCGCGGTGCGGCGCGGCGCTGGTGTCTCGCACCTGTCTCCTGGTCCAGCCGCACCTGCTGCCTCTCCCTGGCGAAGGCCTGGAGCCAGCGCTGCTTCTGCTCAGGCTTCCTGGCACACAGCAGGTGACTCTCGCCGGTGGCGCTGCAGCGCAGCCGGAAGGCGTTCTTGACGCTCACATGCAGGTCCCGGTCCTTGCAGTCCTCCACATCCTCCACCTCCAGGCCGCCCAGGTCCACGCGGCCCTTATAGTACAGCACGTCGCGGCGGAGGAGGTCCTGCGGAGACACCGGGAGAGACCCGCTGGCCGGCCCGCCTGCCAGGCACGCCTGGTCCCAAGGCCCCGCCTCACCTCTGCCCTGTACTGGGAGGGCTGGCGGGGCCTCCACCGGCCTGGGGCTCAAAAGGTGGGGCGAGACTGGTGGGCCCCCACCGCCTGCCCCCGTGAGGAGGAGCCGCCTCCTTCAGTTAGGCTACTGGCTGGCCCAGGGGTTCTTGAAGGGCCTTGCAGGGTCGTGGGGAGGCAGCCCTGGCTACAGGCGTGGGCCACGGCCCAGGCCACATGACACAGCAGAGCACCGGGGAGATCTGGCCTCCCAGACAGGCCGCATGGCAGCGTTAGGAGAGGCGGCGGGAGGTGCTGGAGCACCGGGGGCTGGGGGTGGGCGTGGGAGCCACAGCTCAGCCGGGTGGGGCGTGTTCCCAACAGCAGGGCCCTGGTCGCACTGGGAGGTCCCCCCGCGGCCCCTGGGCGCCCCCCCACCCCTGTGCCAAAGGGCACGGCCTGTGCCCTCAGCACTCCCTCAGGGCAAGGGGACCGCAGCGGAGCAGCAGCTCCGTACCTTCTTGCAGTAGATGAGCTGGTGGTCGAAGAGAAAGAAGACCCTCTGCTGGCTCTTGGCCGGCACCAGGGTGACGAGCGCCAGCTCCCCCGAGTGGATGAGCTCGGAGCTCCGCGCCAGGAGGTCTTCCCCCTGGGGACCCGTGGGGAGCCCAGCTCAGCGCCTGCGGCCCGGAGCCGCGGGTGGTGGGGGGACCACCGTCCTCAGGGTGCCGCCCCCTGCCTCCACTGTTGGGGGGCTGCTCTGCCTGCCCTCCCCCCAGGTGGCCTGGGGTCCCCACCAGGCCAGCGTTTGCAGGGAGCAGCAGGCCACAGGGACATCAAGGAGTAAAATGGGGGTTAGAGTCTGCGGTCTCTGCAAAGCCGGGCCCATGGCAGCCGCCGCGAGAGCCATGGGCGGGGCTGACCCCAGCGAGGGGTCACTGGGACACGTGGACGCTAGAGGCCTTTCGCAAGCAACGTTTCTGCGGAGACTTGCGGGAATGAGATCTTATCACTTAAATAAAACATTGACGTTGGCTCCACCTGTCTCTCCCCCTCTTTTGAGGCAGCCACTAGATCATGCGAACTTTGGGGGGGGGCCAGGGGGCTGGGTTGGCGGGGGTGCCCTAGAGACGATCAGACGGGGCTGCAGGCCCCCCCAGGCTGGCCTTCGGGGGGGCGGGGGTTGCCTCTCTTAGAAGACCTCCTTCCTCCCCCTGACCGAGGTCTGTGTCCGAAGTCCCATGGTCGGACTGCAAGCTTCCGGAGGAAGTGCTGCCCCTCCAGACCCCCAGGGGGTGAGTCTCTTGGGGCTCAGCCAGGGCTGGCTTCAGACCAGCCTCCAGGAGGGAAACACCAGGACAAAGTAAAGCCCACAGGGGTTCTGACTGCGTATCTCCAGGATGGGGCCCCGGAATCTGTATTTTTATACCCTTTTATGGCTGGCGGGTGGGGGCAGGGGTGAGACAGGAATGTCACTGTCAGTTCAGGCCTCTGTGCAGCCTTCGAAGGTGACCCTGGCGGGCCCGGGGGAACTGCAAGCCAGAGAAACGGGACGGGGCCCCTGATGGGTGGCGACCCATCTTTGCGGATGCCCTGCACGGCCTGACCCCTTCTGTCGGGAGCCCCAAACCTTGGGGATCTGCCTGTCCCCCCGGGGCAGAACCGCAGCTCCCTTACCCGGACGGCGGCCACGGCCGCACGGCGGGAGCAGCGGCGGGAGCAGCGGCACATTCCACGCCGGCGGCCGCCCCCCCCGCGGCCCCTGTTCCCTCGCCAGCCCCAGGAGCACAGCCCCCGCCCTCCTGCCTCTTTCAGGAGCCGGCTGTAAAGCGCAGTGGCCCTCACCTCCCAGCCCTCTACCGAGCTCTGCCACTGCGCAATCTTGTCGATGTTCTCGAGCCTCCGCTTCCGCTCGTTGATGAGCCGGGCCACCTTCTTCATGGCGTCTAAGGCGGCCTCCACGTCTTTGAAATCCCTGCAGCGGGACCGCCGTGGAGGAGGGCCATGTGGGGCGGGGCGGGGGCCTCCCGGGGCGGGCCCCGCCGCCTGCCCACGTCGCCCCCCTCAGCACACCTCCGCCCGCCCTCTGGGCCACGCAGGGCAGGACAAGTGCCCCCCTCGCGCCAGCGTCGGCCGGTGGGAGCCGGGATGGCGTGACTCGCGGTCACCCAGCGCCTGCAGCGGTGCCCCGCAGGCCAAGGGCCGCCCGCCCGCCCGCCCCGCGCAGCCGCCTACCGGTGCTGGGGGTGCGTGTACTTGAGCAGCTCGGCCAGCTGCAGCGGGTACTGGCAGATCTTCTGCACGGGCGTCAGCAGGAAGCCGTCCAGCGAGATGTCGATCATCCTCTGCAGCAGCCGGCAGGCCTCGAAGAAGTACGTGTACTTGCTGAGCCGGGCGAGCCGGGACAGCTCCGCGCAGGCGTCGGGGTGGTTGTTGCAGTAGTCCGAGTAGATCTGGAAGTGCGCTTGCTGGGGGCACAGCGGGGGTCAGGGGGCGGCCCGCCTGCCTGCTGCCTCCCGTGGGCGCCCAGCAGGGGCGGGGTGGGGGTGGGCGTGGGGGTCCGCTTCCTGCTGACCCTGCATGGGGGCCCAGGCTCAAACATCGCCGAGTCACGCCCGGGGACGCCAACGGCCTCTGCAGACGGCAGCGGGGGCCGCCCGCGCAGGGCCCGCGGCCGACACGTGACAACCAGGGAGGCCCCAGGGGAGAGCGACTAGGAGCCTGAGCGGTGCCACCCAGGCCTGGCCTCCTTTCCTTTCTTTTTCTTAAGCCTCCGTCTACCCGGAGCCAGAGAGCAGCCGGGTCTCCCCCGAGCGAGGGGCCGGGGCGCCCTGGCTGCCGGTGGGCATGGAGGGCAGCGGCCGCTGCGACGCCCACGCCGGGCGAGGTCGGCACAGAGCCGGGGGCTCCACGCGGCCGCTGAGTGACTGGACCCCGATGCCGTCCTCACTCGGGGGCTCAGACGCCCCCAAGCGCCTGCAGGAGCAGGGACACGGTCTCCCCGGTGCTGCCCCTGGGAGAGGTGGCAGGCCCTTGGCGGCGCCCCACGGGGAGCAGCCCTCGCCGTCCCCAGGGGGCTGGCCTGCATCTCCTGCTCCAGCCGCCAGCATCACAGGGCAGGACACAGCCTGTGCCGCCCCGTCCTTACTGAGTGGGGGCGGAGGGGGCGCCCCTCGAACCCAGACCAGGCCAGGGGGCCTCTGTGAGGCTGGCGCTGGGACACGAGTGGAAAACCCCCGAACTTGCTAAGAACCTGCAGCCCGTAGGTGCTCAGCGGCCAGCCAGTCCCCCTCCCTCCACCCCCCTCTCTGGCTCAAGGAAAGGCCGGGGCCGACCGCAGGCCCCTGCTCCAAGGAGCCTCCTGCGATGTGGTTTGGCCCCCAAGAACAGTGTTGAAGGGTGAGGGCCTCTGGGCAGGTGAGGGAGTGAGTGGGACCTGGAAGCCTCGGGAGGAGGAGGCGATTGCCCGCGATCGATCGGGCGCAGGCCGCCTCCTGGGTGCCGGCGGGCGGGGCGGGAGGCTCACGTGCTCCAGGAAGCAGGCGCCCAGTTCGCTCAGGTGCGGGTGCTCCCTGTTGAACCTCTGCTCCAGCGCCTTCACGAAGGCCGCGTGGCACCGGTAGATGTCCTCGATGTTGCCGAAGATGGTGCGCAGCTGCTCCTCGCTGAACATGTCGGCGCGCTTGCGACACTGCCTGATGTAGCCCTGGGGACAGGTCCGGTCAGGCACCCTGCGGCCCGGCCGCGCCCCGCGTGGCGCCTCGCCGCCGCGCGCCCAGCCTCACCTCGCAGATGTCGCGCAGGTGCTTGATGTAGTCGCGCTCGGTGCTGAGGATCTCCCGGATGACGTTGGTGCGCATCTGGTCCCTGACGCTGCTCTGCGCACCCGCCGTGCCGTCCTCCGCCCCGCCCACCCCGGCACGCAGCGCCTCGTCGTCCGCGGGCTCGTCCTGGTTCACCCGCAGCTGCAGGCGAGGGGGCCGGTCAGCACCCCGCAGGCCTGGGCACCCCTCGCGCCACCGCGAGCCATGCTCAGCCGAACTCGGGGACGCAGGGCCCGGCGACCGGGCCGTGGGCGGCGCCTCTGGGACCGGCCTCCTCCGCGGGCGCCCTGCCGCCTCTGAGCACAGGGCTGGGGACGGTTTCTGAGGCGCGCCTGTTGCACCGGGCTCTCTGGCGACCCGAGGGAAGGGGATGGATACCGGCCTTGCCGGCTTTGGGACCGTAGCTGGGAAAGGCTCGGGGTACAGGGCGGATGCTTTAGGGAGTCCGGGCAGAGGGGCAGCCAGCTGGATGGGGTCTCCACCCCCGACCTCCCGCCTGGCCCTCTGGAGTCAGCCCCTGGGTCTGCTCCTTGGAGACCAGAGGCCACGGAGGCGGCCCCTGGGTCCTGCCCTGTGAACTGCGGGCCAAGGACCTCACGCCTGCACACCTGGGTGTCCCCTCCAGGGCTGCTGTGGCCGTGAACCGAGTGGATGCCCCCTGGTGCTCAGGCAACGCCTGCCCACCCGAGCGGGTGGGGGTGAGCTGACCACAGGCGGCCGGCGGATGGACCCGCACCCCGGCCGGCCGACCGCTCCTCTCCCGCTCCTGGGGCCCTGGAGGGAGTCCGGTGGCCCGGCAGGAGGAGGGCAGCTGCCACAGCGCCCGGCGGGCCTTCCTGACCCCCACCCCCCAGCCCGCAGCCCCAAGGCGGGGTCCGTGGCACCCCAGGCCAGAGCAGCTTCTGGCCTCGGTTTCTGGGCAGAGCCCGTCGGCTCTGCGCGGGCAGGGCCGTACCCGCACGAAGCCGGCCGGAAACCAGCCCTCGCCGCCGGCCACGCGGCCCCACCACCACTCCCGGTGGGTGGCGTCCATCACTTCCACGACGTCCCCCGCCTGGAAGCCCAGCTCCTGGTCGTCCATGGTGACGTGGTCCCAGAGCGCTTCCGCACAGACCACACCGCCATCGCTGATGAGCTGCGGAGAGAGCCAGGCACAGGCTGGTCAGCCGGGCAGGGCGGCACCCTGCACGTGTCGGGACTGGCAGGGCTCATGGTGAGGCCGGGAGGGACCGGGACCACGGGAGCCTGGGTGGGCGTGGAACCTGCGGGCCCCGTGCGCCACTCGCTGCCCTGTGAGCCTCCGCCCTCCTCCGTCCCCGTCGGGCCAGCGATTAAACAGCCGCCTCTCGGCGTCATCCCTGTCTCTGCCCCGCTCGGACACCGGCCGGGGCCAGGTCACCACCAGCTGTGCCCCGCTGTGCCGGCCACTCCCTCTGGTCCCCCTAGTGTGACGCTAGAAGGGACCAGAGAGCTGCAGGGGTACCTGGGGGGGCCCCCTGACAAGCCACAAAGCTGCCTCACCCAGTCCGGCGGCGCCCCGATGTGGCCGGCCCACAGTGCGCCCTGAGCGCCCGCAGAACCAGTCGGATGCCCCTCTCTGCCCCCGGGGCCACAGCGGCACGGGACCCCTCAGGGGGTGAGGCCCCAAGCCCAGGGGTCTCCCCTGCGCGCCCCCGTGTGACAGGGCCTCGACGTGGCTCCCGTGCGGCTCTTGGCGCCTGGCTCGCCCTCTGCTAACTCCTCTCGGCAGCGATTCCCGGTGAGGGTCCACCTTCCCCGAAAGGCAGGCAGCCGCGTGCTCCCGGCGCCGCTTCCCGCTGGGCTGACAGCAGCGTTCCAGGAGAGGGGGCTCCGTCTCTGCCCCTCCAGGAACGAGGGGCTCTGGGGCTTAGGGCAAGAGGACAGGCGCTCCCGGGGCGGCAGGGCAGGGCCGTGCTCCTCTCCGTGGGGACCCGGCGCGGCCCCCGTTTTCCGTCTCACAGCCTCGGGCCGGCTCTGGCTTAGAGCGAGCCCGTTCAGAAACTGCCCGTTCTCCCCGCTTCCTGCCCCGCGCCCTGACGAGCCCGCTCCTGGGATGAGCGCACCCAGTCTCACGAGGCCTGCGGGGTCCCTGGGCTCAACGGGGGCCCTGGGCACAGAGCACCGCGCGGTCCCTGGAGGCGGCGGTTCTCCTCAAGGGACCCCGCGCCCACCCGGCTGAGAACACGGATCTGGCACGTCCCCCGCTGCAGGGAGGCCACAGCCTGGACGGGGAGGGTGAGGGAGCCCGCGCCCGCAGCGGGCCCGGCACCCGGCCTCAGGGGCCAGCCTGGGCGCAAGAGGCCGAGCGCGCAGAGACGGTCTGCGCTGCCGCGGAGCACGTCCCATTCGGGGGCAGTGACCCCGGGTGAGCGTGAGCTACACAACGGAGGGCCTTTGTGACCTCGCGCACGTAGGTGCGTCACGATTCGCACACTTTGATGAGTCGCCAAGACAGTGGAGCGTCTTGAGTAAACAGGCTTGGATCCAGCAGGGAACCAAACGCTATGTCCAAGCTTTGTCATGTTGGCCCTGGAGAAGTGGGGTCCTGAGACCCCCCCCACCTTGCTGCACAGCCCCTGGTGCGCACCTGCCCCCACGTGTGGGGCTCCCGAGACACGCCGTGGGTCCCGTCCACCCTCCGTCCGCAGCGGCTGCACACACACGCCCCGGGACGGTCGCAGGCTGCTCTCGCCGCGGGGGCCCAGGCGGGAGGACGCGAGGCTGCTGCACCCGCCATTGCGCAGCACGCTCCCGCCCGCCAGGCGCTCGCGGCAGATATGAACCAGGTCAGGCGTCTCCCCGCCCCCGCCCCCCCTTTCTCAAGGGAGCCCTGGGCGGGAGCCCCCACCCCCGCCCCGCTTTGGCCTGCCAGCCGGGCACAGGTGCGGTCCTGCCGCACAGCACAAAGCCCCCTTCTCAGGCCCTGCTTTGCCGGAGCTGCTGGACCCAGAAAGCATGAGGGACGCTCGTTGTTTCCGAGCCTCTGCCCGCAGGCCTAGAAAAATCACTGGAGACGCCCTGAAGGCGCAGAGGCTCCGGCAAAGCCCGGCCACAAGGACCGGACCCCAGACCCCACGGCCGGACCACCGGACCCTGCGCCCAAAGAGAACATCAGACGAGTCGCAGCCTATACGAGGCCAATCAAGACGCCTGCTCCCCAAGGGCCCCCTCGGCCCTCCCTCGCCCCCCCAGGCTGGCACTCGGCTCCGTACGGAGCCCTTTCCCTCCCTTGGGGAAGGAAACTAAACACTGCTCGCTGCGTTTTCTTCCGTCGGTGAACTCTTGCCGAGCCCGCGTCCCGACCGCCCTCACACGGCTGCTCCGCGGCCGGGAAGCGCGCAGGCGCAGTGCAGAGGCAGGGCCTGGAGAGAGGCCAGGGGCCCTGCACCCGCAGACAGGCCCCTCCCCCGCCCTGCCCAGTCACCTGGCAGCCCTTGGTGGTGTCGGAGGGACTGCTTTTCTCTGTCACTTCCTTGTCCCCGCACCCGGCCAGCGCCAGAGGCGCTTGATACACAGGCAGGAGCAAGTCCCCCGATGTCCCCGTGTCCCCCGCCCCGGGCGCCCCAGTGACACTGCTCCGCGTGGGTCACTAAGCTCTGGTGCAGACTCACAATGGGAGGCACTCGGAGCAGGTGCAGCAGTCCCGCCACTGTGGATGTGATGTCATCGAGACCACAGGCTAGAGGAGCACTGTGTCCCCAGGAGCGCCCAGAGGCTGCCAGGGGCCGGGGCCCAGGGCTGAGTTCGGGACAGAGGCCCTTCCTGGCCGCCGTGACTAAGGTGCAGGTGCCAGGGCGCCCAGGCGACGCTGCAGGCGGAGGGGGCGTCAGGCTCGCTGGTGGCCTGGCAGTGGGGAGCAGACGCTGGCTCTGAGGCACCGGGTGTTTACGCGGGGCAGGTGAGGGGCTGTCCTAGGGGAAGAACAAGGTCAAGACGAAGGCAAGTGGGATCCCCCCACCCCATACCCCTGAGAGTGTGACAGGCCCTTGGAAGCCAGACTCTACCCCTAGGGTCCCCTGAGGACCCCCACTGCGCCCCACCTGGCGGAGGGCTGCAAGCGCAGCCCGCGGACGCAGCTCCCAGGCCCTGGAGCGGCGGGGCTGCGGGCTGTGCAGGGAGCCTCCAGCGAGGGGTGGGGACACGCTAGGCGAGACCCCGCATCTTGAGACCAAAAATGGGGAAAGCAGGTAACGCGTGCAGAAGAGCCCGCTCGCCTTCCACAGACACCTCTCGCGCGCACACACACCCCCGCCCCCACAGAGACGCAGGCCCGGTGCGCAGTTTCCAGCCACCCACAGCAGCCACGGCTGGAGCGGCAACCGCATCACCGGGCGCCCACGGCGATGCGCCATTTTAGCCGCGCGCGCGCGCGCACCCTACGGATGCCAGAGGGAAGGACCCGCGCACATGGGTCACCACGCCCCCAGTCTCTGAACGCCGCATTCCCGGGCGGGCAGGGGAGGCCTCCTAGCGCGGGACTCGCGGTGCGGGCGCGGGGCTGGAGGGGGAGACACAAGGCGCGAGGGTGCACCATGGCGGCGCCACTCACCCGGAGGAGCCGGGGCGCCTGGCCTTGGCGGTCAGCGGAAGGCCAGCAGGAAAACCAGCACGACGTTGATGAGGACCAGGAGCGCCAGCACGGCGAAGACCACCACGCGCTGAGCGCCGGGCGGCAGGTTGCAGCGCAGCACCGCGCGCAGGGCGCTCCCGGGGGCCGCGGGGCGATGCCGAGCCTGCGGGCCCCTGGCCATTGCGCGGGGCCTCCGCTCGGCGCCGGAGATCCCGCGGCGCAGGGACACGAGCGGGGCCGGGAGCGCCCGGAGGGGGCGGAGCTGCCGTGCGCCCGGCCGGCCGGCTTCTTCTGCGCAGCCGGCACGTGCGCGCCAGGGCTCCCAGCCGGAGCCCGGCACCGAGGCGGGGCGGCGGGTCACGGGGCCTGGGGCGAGCGCAGGCTCCGACCTGGGCGACTCCGTGGGAGGCTCAGGGGACTGGGATGGCCAGGCGCACGGAGGGTGGCTCCCAGGTGCCGTGGGGCTTGCGGGTACAAGCGAGCCTGAGCCCGGAGTCGGGCCAGGTGGTCTGATTCCCGACACCAGGAACTGCCCTTGGCCCCCACCCCGCGGACGAGTACAGGCAGCTCTGACAGGTCAGGGAACTGGCGCAGCCATCGAACCGCACAAAGAACACAGGGACGCGGAGCCACGCCTTGAACTGCGGGCGGGCGAGGCGCTCCCGGGAGGCCCCGACTCAGGGACCTCCCTGCTGGCCTTGCCCATCAGAGCACCATGTCGTCCTTGCAGGGAAGCAGCTGGCTGTTTCGGCTGCTGACCACCCCGGCCCCCGTTTTGTTGAGGTAAAATTGACAAATAAAAATTGTATTTAAGGTGTGCAACTGGATGTTTCGATAGACGTATACGCGGTGAAACGACCAGCACGATCCAGCTCATGACAGCAGCGTCGCCTTAGCGCTGCCGTGTCACGGGTTTCCAGTGTCCAGGGCGGTCTCGCTGACCACCGTCACCACGCGGCAGCCACGTCTCCACATAACTGTCACTTTGCCCTCCGACCAGCACTTCCCTCCTTCCTCCTCCGCGAGCCCCTGGCAACTACTGTCTACTCTCCCCGCCCCCGCCTCCCGCAACTGACTTTCCGCTCCCACCCGTAAGTGAGAACACGCAGTGTTTGTCTCCACGCGTCTTGCTGGCGTTGCTTGGCATCATGTCCTCCAGCTGCATCCACACGTTGTAGCAAAGGGCAGGCGTCCCTTTTCCAAGGCTGAGTAATAGCTCATTGTCCCTACGCACCAGGTCTTCGTTATCCATTTATCTTCGTCAAAGGACGTCACATTGTTGCTGAGTCCCGGTGACTGGGAATAACGCTGCCGTGAGCACGGGAGCGCAGGTATCGCTTCGAAATTCTTACTTCCTTGTTTAGGCCGGGTACCCGGAAGAGGGGTCAACGCATCCTACGACAGGTGTTTTTAGGTTTTTGAAGAATTTCCACACTGTCCTCCACGGCGGCTGCACCCCCCCGACAGGCACTGCGGGCCTGGCCCCCCGCACTCCCGCTCGGCTGTGCTCTACGGCCTGACTTCACCCAGCACTTGCTGAGTCCCCCGCACGCGTGTCACACGCACGCGCACTTGACACCCATACCATTCACTGCCCGTGCGCCTTCTTTGCGCATGAGTGTGGGCGCGCGCACGCACGCAGGCACGCAGGCCCGTGAACCCGCCCGAGCGCCGCGCTGCGGCCCAGCGTCTGCTGCTCTTCAGCCCCAGGGCTTGGGCCCGTCCTGCTTAGGAAACTGAGATGAGATCAGTCCTAAGGTCGATGCGAACGAGAAGTTGCCGCAACCTAGGACAAGACGCTCCCACGTTCTCACAACAGCACAAGCGAATGTGAGGTTTTAGAGCGAGCCAGGCATGACTTATTATGGGCTTTTCTCTGGCACCCGTTGCTTCTGTAATTTCCGCGTGTGAACTCACGCGGCCCCCGGCGGCCTTCGCGCCACTCGCGCGAGGAGGCAGCCGCGAGCCCGCGGGGTCGGGCGCGCACCGGAAGGCCCAGCGAACCGGCCCATCAGCGACCAGGCGCCTTCTGTCTCCTGGGAGCTTCTGGTAAAGCGAGTCTGGGCCACGCTGGTCACAAATCGCCGCGGGGGCTGCCTGGCCTGAGCGCCCCCAACGCCCGCGCACAGCCAGCCTCCTGCGCCCCCTGCGGGGCTCAGGCTGCACCCGCCCGCCCACCGCGGGAAACCAGGAAACAGAGGCCCGGAGAAGGAAATGACGTGCCGCGTCCTCCACGGGCCCGGGGCCGGAGGGCGTCAGACCCCCCGAGGTCAGCCCTCAATCCCAGGCCCTACCCTCCACGCTGGCCCGCCCTTTAGGACACATATCAGGGGCCTATTCAATGTCCGGACTTGGCAGTGCCGGTGGGTCTCGGGAGGGAGAGCAGCCCAGCCCCTGCCCGCAGTAGTTGGTGGCTTCCCTCCCCCCTGGAAAGGGCTCTGCAGCGGCCTGGCCCAGAAGTCCCCGTCTGTGAGGTGACAGGTCCTCCCCCATCCCGGGGGCAGGGGGCAGGCCGTGGGTCCAGGAAGGACGAGTACCCGGGAAGCACTGGGCGCTCTACACACGAGAGACGACATCCCCACCCCGTCTGCTCAGCCACCTCAGCCACCAAGGACCTTGGAAAGAAAGAGGAGACGGATTCTCCGTGCGATCCACACTCCAAGTGCCCGCGTCCCCCTGGCCAGGCGCCTGTCGGGGCCTGCAGAGCCGCCCTGGCTCCAGCAGGAGCACCTCGTCCGGCAGGAGGTACCAGCTCACCAGCAGCAAGGTGTGGCGGACCAGAATGTCACCATCGGGTCCGGGGCCGCGTCCCCGACGATGCAGAACTGATGGCCAGCCCAGTAACGCCGCCCCCTCTGGAGCCCCCGAGGGCCCTGTTAGTGCTCCGCTCGGGCGGTTGCCCTGTCCCCTCCTTGCAGTTGTTGGAGAACGAAAACGTGCCAGGGAACCCCCTTCCTCTTTCCGTCCATCCTCACGTGACCTCGCGGTCACCCCGCTGCACAGAGGGGACCCCTGCTCACAGCAGAACTCCTGTCCGGGCCTGGGGGGCCAACGCTCAGGTTCCCCTCCCGCACCAGCCGCCTCCCCCCTCCCCGGGCGGGGCCGAGACCCAGGAGGGCAGCCTGGGTCTTAAGCAAAAGCAAAACCGTTATCTGTGGATTCCGCTGCAGGGGACGTAATCTTACAAGGCCTTCCAGATGGCTGATGAGAAGCAGTGACTTTTTTTGGGGGGGAAAAACAATTCAACCTATTGGGATGTTTATTCTTTATGCCTCATAGATTTTGAAAAAGCACTATTTAACGACTTCAAAACATCATTATTCAGAGCCGGGCTTGTAAGAGGAGCCCATTTGCCGTGGACAAGCTGTCAGGTAGTGAAGCTCCGCCCGTTCATTAACGGGAATGTTAAAGGTCGTTTGTAAATCGATCCCCTCCTGAGGGGACAGTCATCCGGCCTGCAGACCCCGGGGCCTCAGGTTGTGGTTTCAGTGGAGCAGAAACAGGCGCTGTACTCCGACCCGGAGCAGAGCCGGGTGGCATTGTGCACGGGTGTTTATGCCGAGTAACTACCGTGTTCTGTCCCGCAGCCCCTCCGAGTTAAGTGGCGAAGCAGAGTGGGGAGAAATAAGAATACAAAGGAGAAAAACGAAGGATGGTCAGTGTCTCAGAATTTCTCTCTCCTCAGAGAATGCAAAAGAACTTAGTTCTGCCTACATGACATTTCTAATTTCTTCTGCTTATTTCTTCTGCTTCCAGGAAAAAAAGGAAGGAAGGGAAGGGAATGAAAAGAAGAGAAAAAAGAGAGGCAGGTAACCTGCACACAGTTTCCACGGCAACAGCAGTTAAGTTTCGAACTCTCCGCGTGGTGGGGGAGCCATCAGTGTGCGCCCGCCCCGCCCGCCCCGCCCGGCCCGGCCCGGCCCAGCCCAGACGACTCTTAGGAGGATCGACCGCCCCCACCCGCTTCCCGGCAGAGCTCCTCCCAGCCGGGTGGCCTTCCAGGGGCGGCCGGGCAGGACAGACCAGCGCTCTCCCTCCTGAGGTCCTGGGAGTCCTGCCTGCTCTCCTGCGCCCGTCACAGGCCCCATGAGGGCACGCGGGAGAGACCTGTCTCTGGACAAGCTCTGCGGGTGGACACCCCCTCCTGACGGGAACGTCACAGGCTGAAACTGCACCGCGGGCCCAGGACACAGACTGCGGGCACGCGGGATGCTGCCCGCCGCCACGCTCCAGAGGACGCTGTCCCTCCCAGCCCCGCCCCTCACCCCGCCCCTGCCCTACCTCGTTGATGGCCAGCTGCTCCCCGCCCCCGCCAGGGTGGCTGTAGTGGTGGCCGGAGCCGTGCACGTCTTCGTAAAGGTCCTCCTCGCTCCCGGTCTTGTCCGCGTGGACGGCCGCGTCCAGGCCTCCGTCGGGGATGGCTGGAGGGAGAGAGACCAGTTGGCAAAGGGGGGCTGGGGGTTGGGGGGCAGGACACGAGGAAGAAGACACCAAACTTTCCAGGATAAACGTTCCGTCTTTGAGAGGAGGGAGGAGGGCTGGAGCCAGTTCTCAAACCACTGCTGCTGCAAAAACGCGGCCTGGTTGCGAGGCCACGGGCCGGCGTTCACACCCACTGCGACCGCTGCCCCCGCGGTCCCCACCGACCGCGTCACCACGGAGCCCCCGGTGTCTGCCACAGCCCCACGCGCAGCGCCCCTGCCAGCTGGGTCCAATTCAAAACCATAGATCAACGTGTCTCTTAGAGTGTAAGACCCTTAAGAGAAATGCCAACAGTATATTAGGAAATTAAAAAATTATGATGTATATGTATATAGTATATCCACACAAATATACATTACATACATGCAAGTACAGTTTGAAAATTAATATAAGAAACACCTGCAGTACGTATCCTCCTGCGTAAGAGAAACCCCGGAATCTCAGACTTCGACTTCCTGATGTCCTACGCCAGTCCTATTCCCTTCAGCCTCCTTTAGAGAAATATCTGATATTCCCACCCTCTTATAAATGACGCGCTTTTGTTTCAGCATTCACGTGTGTTGAGTTTTGCAGGGCTTGATTTTATAGAAATGGAGTGACTTGTAGGTTTTCTCCTCTGACTGGCTCGCTATGCAGCTGCTTGCGTCGCTTCGATCGATGGACCCTCTCTGAGGTGCCGTCTTGCATGGGATGAATATTTCAGACTTTGCATGCGGTTCCCTGGGCTGTGTCTGGCACCGTTACTGGGGAAGGGCCAGTCTGTGCATCGGGGCGTCTCCCCCATGTCGGCCAAGAGGGCGGCAGGGACAGGTTCCTCCCCTCAGCGCGCACAGACCTGGCAAGATAACTGGATAGGAAAAGAGCCCTCCCCTCCCTCCGGGACCAGACTGGGGTGGGGGGGGTGGGCAGGGCAAGGCGGGCACACGGGCCACAGAAGTCAGGTGGTGCAGGGGAGGTGCTGGACCAAAGACCGAGGGAGGGATTGGCTGGGAGATGACCCATCCGAAGTGCGAAAGTTTGGGAAGCTCATTGGTCATTTTGGGGAAGGACTTGGTCTGTCCCACACAATATAATCCCAGAGGGGAAAAGTGGATCCCTGGCTCGTAACTTGCACAGTGCACTCGCCTGATCCCTCCTTGGGCCCCGTGTCCCTCGCAGCCACACGGCCGCGGCCTTCGCGGGGAGCCTCGCTCGCGCTCGCTCTCTCGCCCACCTCGTGATACTCTCGCCGGCGCATTCACGCTCCCTCATCCAGAAGCGCGTGACTGTGTGGGTCCTGCAGCCGCGTGGCCCGTGGCGGCTCAGACCCCACACGCAGCATCCGGGAGGGAGCCTGGAATGCACAGCAGCCGGGAACAAACTCAGCCACCTGGAAGGGGACTGAGACCGCTGCGCAGCCACCTGCGGGCCCCCGAGGCCTGTCCTTTAAAGTGCAGCCGGGGCTCTGGGCGCGGGCTCTTGTCCCGGCCCCACTGAGGACACCCCTGGGCTTTCCCGCGGCAGAAAGAGGAGACGGGCTTGGGGACAGGCATCTCCGCTCTCCCAGGCGGCGCAGCACCTGAAGGGGACCTCGGTGCTTTTGCGCCAGCACCTGCCCCACGAGCTTGGTTTCCGCGGCGGCAGGCCGTCGGACCCCCGTTTTCGGTCGGTCACGGTACGAACGATGGGGCCCAGTCGCATCCGCAGGCCTGAGCCCACATCTCAGAGATTGTCCCTCAGACAATGTCTTGCCTCCTCTTTTCCACGACTGAAGCCTAAATGAGCCTTCATATGTTGTTTTCCTAACCCTCCTGATGAAATTTTAATGCCACAAACACACCGAATGTTGTCTATGTTCCGTGGCTCTTGGAGGGCCGCCAACCACTGTAACGTGTAAGATTTGTGTCCGTTTGCAAAATCAAAGCTCCTGGAGTAAATCCATGCTCTAGGGTGCAGCCCCCCAGGTGTGGCACCTCGGGGTACCAGGGACGCCACACTGCCTCCCAGAGCTAGTCTCCCAATGTATTTTTAAAAGATTTTATTTATTGTTTTAGAGACAGCAGGGAGGGAGAGCGCGAAACATCAGTGCGTGGCTGCCTCTTGCGCGCCCCCTACTGGGGACCCGGCCCACAGCCCAGGCCTGTGCTCTGAACTGGGAATCGAACTGGCAGCCTTTCGGTTCGCAGGCTGGGGCTCAGTCCCCTGAGCCACGCCAGCCAGGGCTGTGCTACCCCGTTAGATTTCTGACAGCAAGTACGAATGTTCCCACTGTGAACGTTAACAATCAGGAGCCACATTTAAACTGAAGTTGGGAGGGTAGAGGAGAAAACGCTCAGCACACACTACTGACCCCAACGGGAAGAGAGGGGCCTTGCATCTCCGACAGGAAGTGATACTCCTTTACGTCGGCAGAAGGAAAAGGCGTGTCCTCCTTGCCCAGCAACGGCTCAGCCATTGGGGGACTGCCGCCGCAACCCAGCCAATGAGAAGTCACGCTGAGACAAACCTCCAACTTCCTCCAACGGGCTCTTTGCTACCGCAGCCCCTCCCTAATCCGTGGAAGAGGCTCTTCTCCTTTCTATGGACTTGCATGTGGGTTTCCACTAGACCACCTGTCCCAATTGCAGTTTTTTTTTAAATTTATTTTTAATTAAATTTATTGGGGTGACATTGGATAATAAATTATACCAAACTGCTGTTTTTATTTTTTTGAATTGTTAATTTTTGGTTCCAGAGACAGAAGATGGGAGAAGGGACAGAGAGAAACATTAATCCGTTGCCCCTTGTGCACACCCAGACTGGAGACCACACCTGCACCCGAGGCTTGTGCCCCGACCTGGAATTGAACCCACGACCTTTCGGTCTATGGGACCATGTTCCAACCAACTGAGCCACACCAGCCGGGGTCAGATTGCAGGGGTTTTTTGTACCTGGATAAATCCATTTTGCTGGCGAAGTCCTGGCTGTCTACTCGTTTAAGGTCAACAACAGCTGGCGGCCCACTGAGGATCCGAGGAGGCCCCGGCAGCTCCAAGGCTGGTGGGCAAACAGGCGCAGCGCCCCGAGACCCCCGGACGGCACTGCCTCCTGCCCCCGCGTCTGAGGCTGTCTTTCCCCCGGACCTCACTCCCACTCTCTTCGCATTCGACCACACCAGCAAGCCCAGGAGATGTAACAGAAGCAGACACCGGGAGGCCTCCACGTGGGGACACGAAGAAGCATGGCCCCCATGGAAAAACAGAGCAAAACTCCGGGAAAAGAACGAAACAAAATGGAGACAAGCAATCTACCCGGGATGAAGTTCAAAGCACAGCTTGTCCGGATGCTCAGGGAACTTCGGGGAAGTGGAACTTAGTGAGAACTTCAGCAGTGAGGTGAACACATAAAAATGGAGGTAGAAAAAGTAAAAGAGAACTAGTAAATGAAGAATACACTAACTGAAATGAAAAATAATTCACAGGGAATCAACAGTAGAGTGGATGAAACCAGTAATCAAAATAGCAGTTTGTAATAGAAGGAAGCAGGACACCCAATCAGAACAGTAAAAAGAAAAAAGAATCCAAAACCATGAGGCCAGTGTAAGGACCCTCTGGGACCACTTCAAGCGCAACAACATCTGCATCATGGGAGCACCAGAAAGAGAAGAGAGAGAGCAAGAAGTTGAGAGTCTATTTGAAAAAGTACAGACAGAAACCTTTTCTAACCTGGTGAAGGAAATAGATATACAACTCTAAGAAGCACAGAGAGTCCCAAACAAGAGGAATCCAAAGAGGCTCACACCAAGCCACATGATAATTAAATTAAAGGTTAACTCAAGGAGAACCTTAAAAGCAGCAAGAGAAAAGCAGTCAGTTACCTACAAGGGAGCTCCTATGAGACTGCTGGCTCATTTCACAACAGAAACTTCGCAGGCCAGAAGAGTCTGGCAAGAAACAGTCAAAGCGATGAAAAGCAGGGACCTACAGCCAAGATGACTCCACCCAGCAAAGCTGTCATTTAGAATCAAAGGACAGATAAAGAGCGTCCCAGACAAGGTAAAGCTAAAGGAGTTCATCACCACCCAACCACCATTCCATGAAATGTTAAAGGGTTTTCTTTAAAAAGAAGAAAAAGAAAAAAGAAAGGCTAAAACTATGAACAATAAACTGATAATAAATACATATCTATCAACAAGTGAATCTAAAAAACCAAAATAAACAAACAAGCAGAACAAAAACACGCCCAGAGACCCAGAGCACATTTCAACGGTTGCCGGATGGGAGGGGCGTTGGGGGAATGGGTGACGAGGGTGCAGGGGTTAAGGAGGGCGAACAGGTTGCCACAGAAGAGCCGCAAGGGTGTAAAGCTCAGCCCAGGGAACGTAGTCGGTAACATTCTAACGGCTCCTTACGTTGTCAGAGGGACACGAGACCCATCGGCGTGATCCCTTAGTAAGTTATTACATGGTATCCGATCACTAAGAAGCTATGAAATGTCTAATCCCTGGGGCAGGCACCTACTACAACACTAACATAATACTGTATGTCAACCGCAACTGAAAAATAAAAAAAGGACTTTAAAAAATATAAAAGAACGTGGTATGTCATGCAAGCACTGACCCAAAGAAACCCACGACTGCTGCATGTACCTCCAGCAGACACCGAGGTGAAGGAATTATTGGAGACAAAGAGGAACATTTAATAAGGACAAAAGGTTGATATTAGATGAAGATATAACCAAATCTAAATCTGTATGCTCCTAATAACACAGCCTCTCTCTATGTAAAGCCACTAGAAACACTGAAAGTCCTAGGGGAAGACTTAGGCATAGTTTTCTCAGCAACTGATAGAACAAGCAGAAAAACAAATACAGCAGGGAGATTTGCTTTGAATAGCGTATCCTGTATTCAACAAGGACAGAATACAGATTAATTTCAAGTACATATGAACTACTGAAAATACTATGAAAATAAACCAAGTTTCAACAGATTAAAAAGGGTTGAAATCATGCAGATTTCTTATGTCATAATGCCAGTAAGTCCGAAATGACTGACAAAAAGCTAATTAGGAAATCCGTATAGTTCTAAATTAATAATATACTTCTAAATAACTCCTAGGCCACAGGGAAAAAAAATATTTCAGTAGAAATTAGAAAATATTTTGAACTGGATGATTATCACAATACTATAAAAATTTCTGGAATGCAACTTAATTTGCTTCAGCCTGTGTTTGGAAAGAGAAAGGGCCTCAAAGTCTTTATTTTAACCCCACTTGCGAATGATACTTTATTTGGGTAAAGAATTCTTAGCGCTGACATTGTTCCCCTGGCTTCGCTGTCGCTGCTGAGGAGCCAGCTTCCGACCCAGTATCCTTCCCCGGCGACTCATCTGCTTCTCTGCCCCTTACGCTGCTGTTCGAACCTCCTGCTTGTCCTTGGCGTTCCGGGGCTCCCCCACGCGGGGCGAATTGTGTCCACTGAGTTCAGGATCCGGATCTCTCACCAGCTTTGGAAACCATGTCGCCCTGCGTCCTTCAAACACGGTCTCTTATTCTTGAACACATGTAGATACATGAATGTTCCTCAAATACCCCGAGTTATCCCTAGAGACTGATTTTCAGGTGATTTCCCAATTTCATCAGCATTTAACTTTTTTTTTTTTTTAACCACCTCATTTAGGTTCTCGGACTGAAGGAGCTGACGTGAACTGAGCGCTCTAGCCACGCAAGGTTTTAATTCTCAAGGAGAGTTTTTGTTTTCCCACCCAGAACCCAAACAGCAATAGGAGGAGTAGAACGGAGTGAAAAACTGCACCTTCCACTCAGCACAGCCCGCAGAAGGTCTCCGTTGTGAGTTAGGTGTTGGTTCCATCTCCCGGCTTTGCTCTTCGGTTCCCGGGTGGATAAGAGCACCTCCAGCAGCTACATTTTCAGGCAAAGCACCCTCTGCGCTGCGTCAGCTGCGGTGTTGGCGGCGGTGTGGCCGTCCACTCCCGTCGGGTTCCCGGCGCTGGCCCCGGGGGCTCCCTTCCATTCCGAAGGGGTCAGCCACGCGATACGGTGACGCCTGTCATACCTGAGGCGCCACGTGGGGATGTCTGAAGCCAGCGAGTTTTTCAAGCTCACCATCTTGCAGGACTGAGAGCTGTAATGTTCTCTTCACCAAAACAAAACGTACCCGCTGAATTGCAGCGCCTGCAGCTGCAAACTCACCAAGAAACTAATGAGAAGTTAAATCTCTACTCTAACAGAGGAATCCTGAAGTCCGGCTGTGTAAAATGTCACGTCGGTCAACTTTTTCCACTTTTTTTTTTTTTTTTTTTTTTTTTACCAACGCCGAAAATACTTCTACCCGCGAATGTTTCACACACCTTTCCACTGTTTATCACACACTCACTCTCCCTGCCCAGGCACAGAGACAAAAAAGGAACAGAACTCAGCTAAGCAGAAAGAAGGCTAAGCTGTGGATGTAGTCAATTTTCTTTAGGAAAAAAAGATACGCAACCCGACTGCTATTAAGGATTTGTTTGAACGCCTAACCGGTCCCCATCCAGAGGCCCTGGTCTCCGTGGGCTCATCTGCGCCTTCTCTGCTCCCGGCTCTCGGGCCCAGCTGCAAGGCCTGGGACGGTGGCCTCAGGGTCAGATCACGGACCCCAGTCCTTCGAGGAAGCAGAAAAAAAGACTAAATACTCACTAAGCATCTACCACGTGCCAAACACCGTGTCAGAAACTCTCCATTCAACATGTCAACTAATTAAGCATCATCAGTCCTATCTCAGAGGTGAGGAAGTGCAGGCTCCAGGTCGGACAGCCAGGCGGTCCGCAGGCCGAGCCAGGGTTCCGTCTCCGCTGGCGCTGACCAGGGCCCCCCCCCACCCCACAGCCAGAACGAGGAGCAGCGCTAGGCGAGGTCAGCGCCTGCGACGGCCCACCCTCCTCCACTGTCGGGCCCTGCCCAGGGGCCGTGTGCCTGTCGCTGGTCACGCGGCCACCGTGGCACCCTGGACGTGTGCAAGGCACAGAGAAGCCGGCGTCTGCTTGCCGCGAGGGGGAGATGGGTGACAAGCTGCCACTTTGCCAGGGCCCAGGAGGGGCTCTTTCCCACATCACCGCCTCCCACCCGGGCTGACAACCCGGGGCAGCGTCACCCAGGGAAGAAGAGAAGGCAGCTGCAAAGCCTGCTGAATCGCCAAAAGCAGAGAAAGGGGACCGGCCAGGAGCAGGGAGGCACCAGGAGAGCCGGCACTTGCAAACAATTATGACCCCCAGGGAGGATTCTTTCCCTCGAAGCCCACCCGCCCCTCCCGGCTGGCTCCTTCGCAATGCTGCCTTCTGCAGGGAGACGGCTGCACCCAGAAAGGAAGCCGGCGGCCCTGGCTGGCGCGGCTCAGTGGGTCAGCATCGTCCCGCAAAGCGAGAGGTCGCCGGTTTGCTCCCCGGTTGGGGCACACGGCTGGGTGGTGGGCTCGGCCCCCCCGTGAGGGAGGCAACGGATCGACGTTTCTCTCTCTCCCTCCCTCCCCCTCTCCCTACAGATAAATAAAATCTTCTTTTTAAGTTTTTAAAAAGTTAAAAAATAAAAACGAAGCAGACGCACTGATGAGGTGGTGTCCCCCGGGGCAGGCTACGCTCCCAGCCTGTTTTGGTGCCTGGGCTGCAGGGTGGCGAAGCGCGCCTCGCCAGGCTCCCACGCGGTTCCTGAGGGAGCGGGGCCGCGCCTGGCGTGGAGAAGACGCCCAGCAGACGTCCTTCCGCACCAAGCCCCCGCCCCAGCCACCCCCGTCAGCCTTTCCAACCACGGCTCCTCCCCTGACCAACAAGCCCGAGGATGATTCTTTGAGCGCCCATTTTCTCGGTCTCTCCCAAGGACGGCAAATAGCCACGATGCCCCGCTCTAGAGGGGAGTCCACAGCGTGAGGCCTCGGCCCGTCAGGGCTCAGCTCTCTCCCCGAATCCAGCCGAAAGCGGCCTTGGTGGATCCACCCGGCTCAGCGGGGCCGCGGGCCGTGCCTGGCACCGAGCGGAGCTGATGGGGCGGGCGGGGGGCAGAGGGGGAAGCGGTGGCTTGGAATTCTTTCCCCCGTCCCTGAGGCCGGAGACGGACCAGCCTGCCCTGGGAACAGGTGGGACGCGGCCTGTGTGCTCAGCAGCGCCCAGAACCCAGCCTCGGTGGCCTGGTGCTCTGGGTCTGTCGACGCTTCCAGCTTCACGGTGCTTTCAACCCCGCCCTGCTCTGAGCCGCTGGGGAGCAGCCCCCAGAGCCCCCCACCCCACTCCAGGCCTGCACACGCTGCTGTTTCGTCTGACCCCATCCGGCGGCCTCAGGGCCCCAGGGTGTCTAACAAACCCAGGTCCTGCCATCTCCGCCTGCTCTGCCCCTGCCTCGGGGAGAAGGGAGAATGGCCAGGGAGTCCAGGGGGCACACGCCCCCGCCACGGCCCCGGCCGCCTTGGGCAGGAGGCTGCTGCTGAGTGGAGCAGGTCAGCCCTCGGGCTCTGGAAAGGGAAGGAAGAGGTCATTCCCTGGTTCGCTTCAAGTGCCAGTCCCGGCGCGCTCTCCTTGGAGATCTGAAAGGGAGCGGGCTCTCTCTTCCAGTCGCCCGCCCCCGGAGAGGAGGGACCCGAGAGCTCCCAGGGGCGCTGGGTGGGGCCAGCGCTGGCTACGGGAGGGACATTCGGCCGGTGGAGTCCGCCGCGGCTTCCAGCCTCGCGGTCCACCTCTTCCCGGCTTCACCGGTTTGCTGGGGACAGGGCCGCCGGTGAGACTCTCGCAGCGCGTGGTGCGGGTCCCGGGCGGCCTTCGCTTTTCCAAACCCACCGACTTGAGCGCAGAGTCTGAACGCGGCACCCGCCGTTCCCGGCGCTCTCGGGACCCAAGGCGGGCCCTTCACTCTTCTCTTCCCGACAGAGCCCCGCACGGCCTGGGCCCCAAGGCGTGGGGGGGGCGCCCCTCAACCCTGCGGCCCCCATGCCCCCTGCCCTCGGGCCGCGCCGCTCCGGCCGGCACTGGCAGCGCCCCCTGCGCCCCCACCTCCTGGCGGGGCTCCGAGGCGGCGGCGGACTCGCCCCCACACCCCGCGGCCGGAGCATCGTCGGGCATGGCCTCCCTCGCTGCCAGGCGGCCCCTATTTTCCTTCACAACTTCCACTGCAGGGGCTCGAAAGGAACTTGTTGCCTGTTTCCAGGAAGTAAAATAACAAGAATCCCGTGTAGCGACTCACCAAGGAGCACCAGTCCTAACACCCTCGGGGCCTCCTCGCCTAATATTTAGGGTCCCGGTCTTTCCCTCCTAGCGCACCCAGAACTCAGCCCCCTTGGTAGAAAGGGGGGCCCCCGCGGCGATCCCATCCCGGGGAAGGCGCGCTGCTTTTTTCAGAGGGTCCCAGACGAGCCCCCCCCCTCTGGGCCGGGGGACTCAGACACACCGAGTCCGGTCCCCCATGGGCCCACAAGTCCTCGCCTGCCCCCACCCCCTGCCCCCCATTTGGCACAGGTCACGCGGCTGCAGCTCAGGAACAGCGGGCGACGGCACCGAGGCCCAAACACCCCGTTTCCCAGGGGACCAGGCGCCCCGCCAGGGCGGGCTGCGCGGCGCCGGGTGAGAGCGACGCAGGGGAACAGGGCGCCACCCGTGGAAGCAGGGGAAGGAAGGGTCCCGGGTGGTGGCAGGTGATGGTGGGAAATCCGAAGAAACCCAGGAAAAAGCATCCAAGAGGCAAAGGAAGCAGAAGCAGGGGAACAGAAACGGGGGGAGAAATAGAAAACAGGAGAAAACAGGAGGAGAGACAGCCTGGCGGGGAGAGAAGCGCTGGGGCTCCAAAGGGGGCGCCCCGGGGCGGGCGGCGCCCTTACCGGCGGTGGCCGAGCGCAGGCTCTCCAGGCTCCAGGAGCGCGACCGCGCGCCGCGCAGGCCCCCGCGGCCGCCGCACACCACGCCGCTGCTGTCGGAGTCGGAGCCCGGGGACAGCCCGGCGCTGCTGGCGCCGCCGCTGCTGCTGCTGGTGCCCAGGTCGCCGCTCGTCTGCCCACTCGACTCGCTCGGGCACTGCTGCGCCCTCGCGCACGGGGGCCCGAGCTCCAGCCACAAGCTTGCGGGCGGCTGGGCCGCGGGCGGCGGCGCGGGCCAGGGCGGGGGCGGCGCGGGGGCGGGGGCGGCGGCGGCGGGGCTGCCGGGCGACGGAGCCAGCGAGGCGGGGTCCGCACCCGCATCCGCTCCCGCAGCGCCGTCGGAGGGCGAGGGGCGCGCTGGCAGCCGCGCGGCTTCCTCGGCTCCGTCCTCGGCTCCGTCCCCGCCGCGCGGCCGCCGTTCCGGGCTCGCGGACATCCTGGGGCTGCGCTAAGGAGGCTCGGGCCGCCGCCGCCGCTCGGACTCCGCGGGCGAGGCCGGGCGCCCACCCCGCAAGCGCACCGGCTGCCCGCCCGCTCCCGGCCGCCCCGGGGCGCTGAGCGGCGGCGGAGGCCGCGCAGACCCGGGCGGCACGCGCTCACGCACGCGCGCACGCAGACCCCGAGCGGCGGGGCGAGCGCGGCGCGGGGCCCGGACGGCCGCCGGTCCTCGCGCGTGGGCGCCCCGCGCCGGCGTTCGCACGCGTGGGGCGCGGCAGCGTCCTCCTCGCGGGAGACGCGCAGTCATCCCAAGGCCGCGGTGGTGAGTAGGGCCGGCGGGTCCTCGCTTCTATTGCGAAGGATGCAGCCGAGAGCCGGCGGGCGGCGCGCCCAGCCCGTCAGGCGGGAAGGCCCCGCGTAGCCCAGGGTCAAGGCCCGGGCAGGCCGCCCAGCCAGGCCCCCGGGGCGGGCGCGCGGGGCGTGGGACAGGCCGGGCAGCCGCCTTCCTCGGGTAGCCCGCCGGCAGGGATGCGCGTACTCCGGTCCCCGGCCCGCGGCCGTGGCGGGAACAAGAGGCCGCGTGAGGCTGAGCCGCGGGCCCTCCCCCACAAACGACTTTAGAGAGTGTCAGCACAAGTCCAGCGGCCGGCACGAAGGACAGTGGAGCCAGGGCTTTGCGAGGACGGGCACGGGGGAGGGAGCCGCTCTTTCCTCCGCCCCCCCCCACCCCGGCATACTCGTGCGTGTCCTGTGGGCTCTCGGAGGGCGCGAGCCTGGAGAACGAGGCCGCTCGGCAGCCGCAAACGAGTTCGAAAGTCAAGAAGTGCTCAGGCGACATGCAGAATCTGGGAGGCGAAAAACAGGGGAGCCGTGGCCTCTCTTGGGAGGCTCGGTGGGCGCGGGGGCGTGAGAATAGGAACCGACGAGGGCTGCTGACCCCCCACCTTCACCCCTTGCTCCACCGAGCTTCAGGGCGTGGGTGGTAAAGCGTTCGAGGTTCGGGAAGGGCGAAGAGCAAAGCCCCCCCACCTGGGAGAGGGGTCCACCGAGAAGGCGGCCACTCAGTCCTCTTCCCTCCTTCGGGCCCGTTTCTTGCAGTGCGTCTCCTCCCCTAAGCCCCACGGGCTCCTGCCCCTGAGCCATAAGGAGCTCGCGTCTTCGTGGACGCCTCGATGTCGCTGTCCCCTGTCCCTGTGGGCTCTGTGCTGTCTGTGAGTGTGGCAGTTCCTGCCCTCATCCCTGGGGGGCGGGGCGGGGCGCTGGGACAGCAGCCGGCAAACGCTGGCGGTGGGCCCGGGGCTCTGACCAAGCCTAAGGCAATGCCAGCGGTGGGCACTGGGTGGCGACTCGGCCGTCTGCGCCTTGGAGGCCCCTCGGGTCCCAGTCTGGGGAGCCTGCCCTCAGACTGAGAGGGAAGAGCGGTGTCCCCATCTGAGCTCTGGTGTGAAAAAGGGACCCGTCTTTCTTCAGGCCACCGGGGGGGGGGGGGGGGCTACCCTCTCCCTCTACAGTCCTTTCCGGGAGCCTCCGTGACTTCCTGGAAGGCGGGTGTTAGAGAGACTTTATTTCTTGAAAAGATGCTCCCCGCGGTTGTCACACACCGTTCCGTGACTTTCCGTGCTGTGAGTTTAAGATCACAGCCATATCCAAGAAGGACGCGGCGCCTGCGCTCGCCGTTGCTGGCGGGAAACCACCTGTTCGCCCGCTGCTCGGCGCGGCGGGCACGCGACGGCCGGCACGCAGGCCGCGCTGCGTCAGGCCCGGCCGGACCCGCCTGTACCGGGGCTGGACCGCGGCCCCACGCGGCACCTGTTGCTCCCTTCCCCGGCTTTCTGCGTGTCTTCAGCGCCCACAGGACCAAGCCAGGGAAAGTCTTGGATGTGAGCCATGTCCCTGCTCCCCAGAGTCCAGACAAAGTGCGTGTTCGGTAGAGCTGTTCTGTGTTGGCAGCCCTGTCCAAGGCTTTCGTCCTTAAACACCAGAGTGGGCCCGGCTCCCAAGCCAGCTGGGTGCTTCCAGACGGTCACGTTGCCACCGGACAGAATCGGCAGCCGTTCGAGACCTGGCACCCAACATCCGCCCTTCCCCGGGGAGGCCCCGAGCATCGTCAGCTCGCCCAGCCCCCGCGCGGTCAGGGCTAGAAAAGGCGCCCCAGCCCGGCTGGCCCTGCGCCCCGGTGTCCTCCTGGTCCAAACCCAGCCCTTTCACACACCAGCATGTGCTGCGATGCCGTTGGCCGTCGTTCCGGGAAAGGGACCCAGGCGACGGCTCTGCAACTCCAGGAAGAGCCTGGTCCCTCAGAAGGGAAAACGCCCAAGGCCCTGGACTAGATTAGAGACAACTCTCTCTGCGGTCGCTTCTTCTGCAAGTCGTACCCTATAGTGAGACCCAAGGGAGGCCCCGTAGTTCTGCTCGAATTAAATGAATGGAGCCAGGTTTGGGGACTCCGGCGCAGTGTTCCCTAAGCCGAGCATCCCCTTTCTCCGAGTGGAGGGGAGCCCTTCCAAACCGAAAGGGTAAGAGACCGCGCTTTCTCTCTGCCCCCTTCGAGCTACCTCTGCCAGAGCAGGAGACAGGGTGAGCCAACAGCCCTCTCTCACTTCCAGGCGGCAGGTGGTGCAAAAAAGCAGGGAGGGGGCAGGCAACTCACCGGGGTCGGGTCTGCGCTCGGGCTGGCCCAGGCGGTTCAGTCCGGTCGGGGCGCTCTGGGAGAAGGGGTGGCTTCTGCTCGGGGGGCTCCGAGGCCCTGGGGGCGTCCCAGTCCTCTTGCTCCAGCGCTGGGAGGGGAGGAAAGGGACCGAGAGTAAATGAAAAGGGACGACACGTTGTGCCCACACGTCTCAGATTGCCCCAGGCTTTTGCTCCCAGCAGAGCACACGGCCGAACCGTGAACAGCTCTGGGGGGGCCGTTCGCTTCAGCACCCGTGGGCGATAAGGAGAGGCTGCCCCTGGGTTGAGTCGGCGTGGCAGCCGGGGCAGACTAGGCCACCCCTCAGCAGCGGGAAGTGGGGCCTGTCGGGAGGGCCCCCAGACCCGAAACTCTACCCCAGCGGGTGGGTCACCCAGCCGGACATTTCCCCCAAAGCAGAACTATTAGCTCTAGCTGTGGCACATTCTTTTAGGGGCGATTCATTAAAAGGCGACTCATGAAGCCTCTGACACCTCGTAACCATGAGACAGTAAGGGCTGGTGCTGCGTGGGGCCCGGGGGAGGCAAGAGACAGCATCCCTGCGGCGCCCCAAGGTCCAGAGGCAGCTTTGGCCCCTCCCAGTTCTGCTTACTTTAAAAAGTTATTATTTCCCTGGCTGGTGGGGCTCAGCGGACTGAGTGCCGGCCTGGGAACCAAACAGTCGCCAGTTCGATTCCCAGTCAGGGCACCTGCCTGGGTTGTGGGCTGGGTCCCCAGCAGGGGGCGCACGGGAGGCAACCACGCATGGATGTTTCTCTCCCTCTTCCCCTCCCTTCCCCTCTATCTAAAAATAGACAAATAAATCTTTAAAAAATAAAAATATAAAAGTTACTGTATTAACTTAAAAAGTGAGGGCACCTGCCTCGGTGGCAGGCCGGGTCCCCAGCAGGGGGCGCGCGAGAGGCAGCCACACATCAATGTTTCCCTCTTTTTCCCTCCTTTCCCCTCTTTCTAAAAATAAATAAAGAAAATCTCTCTTTTTAAAAATCGTGGTATGCTCCCCGTCCTTTTCTTTCGTATCCCTCACACAAAGAAGCAAACAGCACTGAGAAAAGTCATTCAGTGATTTCTGGAC